GAAAGGGAAGAGGGACGACACTCGTCGCGCAAGCCGTTCCGCAGGCGGAAGGCGCAACGTCCCGAGCGTTTTGGATGATTAACCACACCGAATGGATGCAATGACCCAGCTACTGGGTTGAGTCGCTCTTACTCGATGAAAGGAAATGTCAAATGGCTACCGCCTCGACTTTCGAATTCAATCTCGATTCCAATACGAGCTTCAACGAAGATTCTGTCTCTTATCGACGCAACAGCTCACCGGAACGGAACCGCAGCCGTCGCCCAAAGTATGCACGTTCGGGTAAGGCCACGAGCAACGGTCCGAGCAACGGCTTCCACCGTCGTCGATCGAAGAAATGGGCCTGGTAAACCCAGCCGTGAAGCTCCGGTCGGCCGACCCTCTGCTAGGCAACGAGTCGCACAATCGGGCCTTGCAAGACTGACAACCGGTCGACCGGAAACGTAGGTGAGTATCAGCTGGGCTGGCCCTCTGGCGACACCGGAGGCCAGCCAAGGGGCAAGAAAGCCCGAACGATGAGACGGTGAAGAGCACCAGCTCTCATCAGCACAACCAATGTCTCCGCCGAGTGGCTTGCCCACGAAGGACGAACACCCGACGAGGATGAGCCTCAGGCCACCTAAGTGGTCACTGTCGAAAGGAAGAAACGATGCGGGACAACAGCAACGAGCTCGACGCGGAATTGGCCGAAACCTCTCGATCGGAGTTCAATACCCGAGCGATCAAACCTTCGCGACGCAATTCGAAGTGGAACTTCCACGGAACCAAGAAGCGCCCGAAGGCCGTCAATGGGATGCACAAACGCCGGAATAAACGGTCGTATTAATCTGGCTCGATGCACCTGATGACCACACTGTGTCGACATCACCCTTGAACTCATTCCTCAGGGTTCAACAACCGCCGGCGACGGAAGATTACTCTTCGGCCGGGTTGACCTTCATCCGGATCTTCTTCGGGGTCATCAACTGCCGGTTCATCCTCGGGCGAAGGTGCCATCGGTTCGATGCCGGGGCTGATCAACTCCGGCAGCTCATCGACGGGAGCCGGTTCGGCGGTTATGGGCTCGGGGCGTCGGCGACGTCGTAGACGATCCAGTAAGCGACCACCTTCTTCGGTTGAATCTTCCCCATCTTCCGCGGTTGCCGGTTCGGCTTGGCGCTGTTCGCGCCATTGCTGCCACAGATCAAGAATCTGCCCGTCACCGATCACGGCTTCTCCCGTCGGTTCTCCTGCCACACCATCGCCGCCACCAGTTCCCAACAGGCCTCCCTCGCCGAACAGCCCGGTGGCTTCCAGGATGTCCATCACGGTCGCTTCATCACTCTCTTCGTCTTCGGATAGCGCATCGAGCGCGCCCAGTACGGCTTGCAAGCTGGAACGCCCCAGAGCTTCGGCATTGATTCGCGGTTCTGCGAAGGTGCCCTCAATCGGTAGCACAATCGTCTTGCTCGAAAGTGCCTGTAGGAAAGGGCGGTCGACCAGTGCATCGCCCGGCAGATCGATTTCGGCCACGATATCGATGGTCTGATCGAGCCCCACCGAACCGTGGGTACGAAGCCGCAGGTTGCCCAGCCCCATTTCGAATCCATGGTGGTGCACTCGACCGTCTTTCATTTCAAAATGCACGACTGAATCACGTGCCAACTCGAAGGTCGTCGGCACGCCTACGGCCATGGTGCCGGTTGCATCGTTCCGAGCCATCAGTAGTCGCATGGTAGCGAGAATCGAATTGAGCACCGGGCCGGGGCCGACTTCGATGCTGTGGATGCTGAACCGGCCCCCCATCACGCCGGCTTCCGGTTGATCGAGTGGCAATCGCCATTGATCCAGTTCGATGGAGAACTCGCCCTGGGCCATCGTGGCTCCTGAGAGTGCGGGAGCGGCGTACTTCAGCACATCGTCACACATGGCCGGAGTGACCTTCGCCTGCTCTAGCAGCGGTCCCGATTCCACAATCAAATCAGGCGGTGAATTGGGAGCATCGGGGCGCCGCACCAAACCGGCTTCTAACCGGATGCCGCCCACGTCCCACGGGACCGGTGAGTTGGGGCCCTGCCATGAGAGTCCTCCGTCGAACAAGGCCACGGCCACCGTGAGCTTCACTGAGGAAAGCTTGTCGATCGATGGCGGTTCGACTTTCTTGTCGGGGTCGGGTGGTGGGAACAACTCCTGGAAGTTCGCTCCCGCTTCGCTGACCTCAACATTTAGATGTGGTGAGTTGAGTGTGAACTCGCCCAACTCTTGATAATTGAATACGAGTCGCCACAGCGGAACATCTCCTTCGACCGAAGGGACGGTCATCACCGGTGGGCCTTCTGGTGGGCTAACTTCGATGTCGTACAGCCGCACTGGAGAAAACCATCCCAGCGGAGCACTGCCTACATCGACGGTGCCTTTGAAATCGGTCATTGCCGACTTCACCGCAAAGTTGCGGACGGCCCGAACTCGAAACAGGTAGGGGGCCACGACAATCAGCAGCAATACAATCGCCACCGTGGTGGCTAGCCAGCGTACCCAACGGCGCCGGGGTTGTGGCGGTGGCGTCTCAGCGGCACCCGATTCTTGTTCGATGTTGGCGTTCTCGTTCATCATCCGTGTTCCCAGGGCATTCCAAATAACCCTTCTAGCCTACCGCTGGGGTGACCCGGCAAGCAATCGCCCCCCTCGGGGAAAGTGCCACACCGTGAAATCTAGCTTGATGCAGGCACGCGGGCGGTATGATATACAAGAAGGTGTGGTCGGGTCGCCGCTCTGGGGGCGATCCCCATACCAACGCCGCGGGTGTAGCTCAATGGTAGAGCATCGGCTTCCCAAGCCGACTACGAGGGTTCGATTCCCTTCACCCGCTCTCTGGTCTCCCGCATTGTCGTTCTGACCGTGGGCAGTGCATCGGCGAAAAAGTTGCGAGCCAAAAGACTGCTGAACGCGACACAACGCGTGGAGCAGAAGAACCTCTCAGGCACGGCACCAACGATGAAGAAGCTGGCGGCAATTGGCGGTGAGTTCGCCGACCCCGGAAGCCCTGCGATCGATCGAGAGTTGATTCTATTCTCGGGCCGTCCCAACCCCCGCGTGGTGCTGTTGGCCGAACCACGTGAGCTGGCTGTTCTCGAGCCCCGCTTCGAGGAAGTATACAAAGACCGCTTAAATTGCTCGGTCAGCTCAATCCCTGATTGCGAAGATCGGCCTTGGAGCGATGCCGAGCGTGAAGTATTCGATGCGGCCGATGTGATTTGCTGCACCTCCAGCAATGCCGTGGAGACCATCGAGCGGTGGCGCAACAATTCCGTTGATGAATCGCTGCATGCCGCCGTCGCCGACGGAAAGCTCGTAGCGGTAGCTGGTGAAGCGGCGGGCTGTTTATTTCGCTATGGCTTCAGCGACGGCTGGCGTGATCGATCGCCTGACGAATGGGACTACATTCGGTTTCGTGGATTGGGTTTCATCGATGTGTTGGCCACGCCACACTTCGACGGTGGCGAACGTCAGGAAGCCTTGAAGCACATCATTTCCCGCTTTGGCGGATTGGCCCTTGGCATCGAGCAGCATACCGCGTTGATGGTGCGTGATGACTCGTTCCGAGTAATCGCCCCCCTTTCGCGTTTCGGAGTGCATCGCGTGCTTCGAGCTTCCGATCAAGTCCTCGTTGAATCGGTCCAGCCGCGTCCGCATCTCGCGCCGCTCACTCGCTTGTTGTATCCCCGTAGTATCAACGCTTAGCGATGTGCCCAATCGCGCGCAGTGATGAAAGGCATCAACGCAACTGATGTATACAATCTCTGCAACCGGTCTCTCGGCGTGATTCAAGTGTTATAACTTGAATTACTACTTAATTTCTTTCGCGAGAGCCGTTGAATTCGCCATCGCGTTTGACGATGATAATTGAACATCGTAGTTGCTGCCGGTTGCGGGGATTCCGATGATGCATCGATTTCATTTGCCATTTCGGCCTCATCCGCTGCTGCGTAGCGGACACAGTCAAACCCTCGCCGGGTGGTTGCTCTCTCAAAGCAACGATACCTATAGGGCGAAACGTCACGAAGTCATTCTTGATGACTACGATCGTCTGCTAATGCACGACGATTGTCCCGAGCAATGGCAGCCTGGCGATCGTACCGTTCTCTTGATCCACGGGCTTGGCGGCACTCATCAGAGCGCCTATTTGGTGCGAGCTGCCAGCAAGTTAAATCGCATCGGCATTCGCACCTTCCGGTTAGATATGCGTGGGGCTGGTGCCGGGATGACGCTCGCCCGCAACGTCTATCACGCCGGACGCACAGAAGACATCGCCAGCGCACTGGAAGCTGTGGCCAAAATCTGTCCCGGCTCGCCAACGGCGTTGGTTGGGTTTTCGCTCGGCGGTGCGATTTCGCTGAAACTGCTGGGTGAACGCGGTGACAATCCACCCGGCAATGTCGATCGCGCAGTGGCCGTATGCCCTCCGCTGGACATGAAGTCGTGCGCCGACTCGATCAGCCGCCCGCGGATGCAAATGTACGAAAGGTACTTCGTCAGCAGTTTGATGCAGCAGGTTTCGCAACAACGCATCAAGGTCGAAGACAGCGAGCTAGTCGAACCCCAAGGTCGGGTCCGCGGCATTTGGCAGTTTGATAACGAAGTGACTGCCCCCAGTTGCGGTTTCGAATCGGCCGAAGATTACTACAAGCGTTGTAGTAGCGGGCCCCATGTGCCTCACATTCGTGTGCCGACGTTGATTCTCACCTCACGCGATGACCCGTTGGTGCCGGGCACGCAGTTCGACGATCTCAAGTTGTCCGATTCCGTAAAGCTGGAAATCACGGAGTACGGTGGGCATCTTGGGTTTATCTGTTCGGCAAAACATGTGGCCGATCGCCGCTGGATGGATCAACGCGTGATCGCAGCCATCATTCACGACGAGCAAGATAAGTACCGCCCAAAGTTGATCATTGCCGAAGGCTAGCGATTCGACTGCGACCGACCCTGTTCATGGGTCGTGCAGGAATAGAATCTCCGGCCCATCATCCCGCTTTGCGGAGTTTGGTTCCTACAGATACTTGCTTCTGCTTGCTGCCGAGCGTCTCGGAAACAATCCAGCGGGGCCGATTTCGCACTTCCTCGTAGATCCGGTTCAGGTACTCGCCAACCACACCCAGGCACACGAGCTGCACGCCGCCGATGAACCACGTGCCCAGGGTTCCCAGGCCGAGTCCCCAACCGGAGTAGGTGCCAATCAGTCGACTGGCAAGACTGTCTAGCAGTCCAACACCGGTCACTGCCAACACGGTAGCGCCGGCGAACAGCGACAACCGGAGCGGCAGATTTGAGAACGCCAGCAATCCATCGATTGCCAGCCGCAACGATTTCAAGAAGCTGTACTTGGCTTCGCCTTCGACACGTGGAGGGCGATCGTACTGCACGGCAGTTTGTCGTCCGCCGGTCCAACTTCTCAGCCCGCGCCAGTAGATGGCGTGTTCACGCATCGCAACGAGTTGCTGAACTACGGCCGCATCCATCAGGGCAAAGTCGCCCGTATCGCGGGGGATGTCGACTTCGCTGGTCCGCGCAAGCAGGCGGTAATACACATAGGCGGTGAGCTTCTTAAACCAGGTCTCCCCTTCGCGCCGCTTGCGTTGGGCATACACAACGTCGTAGCCCTCAGCCCAGCGGTCGAGCATCTCTGCAACCAGCTCGGGTGGATCTTGCAAATCGGCGTCGAGCACTACGACCACTTCGCCAGAGGCCCGTTCCAGCCCCGCCCCTACGGCCGCCTGATGTCCAAAGTTGCGGGCCAGCCGGATGCCTTCAACCCGCGGGTCAGAGTTGTGCAGCTCGCGGATGATCTCCCAGGTATCGTCCGAAGATCCGTCGTCGACCAGCAGCAACTCGAACGAGTCGTTCCAGTTCCCGGCCACTTGGCACACGGCCCGATGCGCCAGCCTGACCACGGGGCCTTCGTTGAAGCAGGGGATAACGACGGAGATCAACGCAGGTACCTCGATAAGTGGGATTAGTGTGCTGCTGTTGGGAACGCTCTCTGTGGTGTTCCTGGCGTTAAGGCGATTCTCGGAACGCTACGGAGGGCGTTCCCTGCAGAGTGACAAGGGTTAACTTCAATTAGCGAATGATGCGCAACGAACCGGCGTCGGCGGTGAGTTCCCGATCGACTCGGAACAGGGTGATCCGCTCGCCTTCGGCGTTGTAGCGACGAACCGAATCGCAGCGATCCACCGGATACGCTCTGCCGGAGGTGGCAAGTTGTGATTGCATCTTTTCCGGGGCCAGCACGTACCAGGGGCCAGCGCCCACTTGGGTGTTCTGCAACTCGTCCACTTCGTCGACCCGCACAACGGGCGACTTCAGATAGTAAGTGATTTGATTTTCAACTAACCCCACGACGTATACAGGCACCTCTTCGGAAAGCCGCTCGTTGGCTCTTCCGGCCAAGGCCGTCGCATCGTGGTACGAATCGTGGTGTCGAGCGACCAGGTACAAACTGCCCGAGCACACGATCCAAGTGGCGATCGACATTGCAACAAGTTCGGCCCGCAGGTGCCCGCGGAGTTCGAAGAAGATCATCAACAGGATGCCCGAGCCGAGTACGGCCGCCAGGATCGCGATGAACCTATAACCCTCAGGCTGAAAGGCCAGAATCGCTCCCACTCCGGCAGCGGTGCCCAAGACGCAGGCCACCAACGCAGCGACATGCCATTGCCATGCGTTCGATTGTCGCCACTGAAAATAGCGGACCATGGCTACCGCCCCGATCATTGTAAGCGGAGGCATCAAAGGGGCCGGGTAGTGTTTGCTTTTGAACTCACTCATGCTCAGCACGAGCAGCCCCGGAATTAGCCAGCAGATGGCCAACCGCAGCAGCGGCTTGGGAAACGAATCGCTGCGGGCCGCCCAAACCGTGCCGATCAGACAGAACGGTGCCCAAGGCAACAAGATCATGGGAATGGAATACAGATAGAAGAAGGGGTTCTTCTCGCCCTGCAACTCACCCTGCATTCGCCCGAAGTGATGCACGATCTGGTCATGCAGAATAGTCGGATACTGACCATACGCCAAAGCCAGCCACCCGGCCGGAACCACCAGCAGTAGGACAATTCCCACGGGGTTCAGCAAGAACCGAAAGACCCGCCATTCACGCGAGACAAGCAGGTACAGGCCACACGCACCCAGCGTGAAGATCGGCCCGACCAGACCCTTGAACAGGAACGAAAGCGTCACGCAGCCGTAAAACACCCACGGCAACCACCGCGCGTCGGAACGTCCGCGGGGGCTTTCGATGTTCGCCACCGCGAAGGCAAACAGGGCTCCGGTGGTTGAGGCGATCAAGAACACATCGCACTCGGCCAGGCGACCCAGTTGAAGCACATAGTACATGGAAACCTGCATCACGCCGGCCACAACGCCCGTGAGCGTACCGAACCATCGGGCCGTCATCGCGGCGACGAGTAATGCAGCGATCGTTCCGGCAAGTGCTGACGGAGCCCGCACCACCCATTCCGATTGGCTTCCGGTCACCGCCATGGTGGCGGCCAGAATCCAATTCGTTCCCGGCGGTTTGTGCGTGCAAGGCACCCCGGCAAACTTTGGCAACACCCAATTTCCCGTGACCAGCATCTCCTTCGCTGGTTGGGCGAACATCACCTCGTGATGTGTTAAGGCCCGCGTGGGACCGAAGTGCGCCAGCAGTAGACCACCGGCAAAGACCGCAACTAGTGCGGCCGCCCCGAAGGTCAGGCGATACTCGGTGTTTGCACCGTCTCCCGAATCCAAGCGATTTGGAGTCGCGTTGTTCAAATCAGACATGTCAGAGCACTCTCGTAGCCCGTCGAGGACACCACCACTGATGGGTCGGCCTTCGGTAACGTCTTTCAGATTCACAGATTAGATAAAAAGCGTGAGCCTAGTGCGTCGTACGCGGATCGCCAGCATCGGCCGTTCGGTTGCGATCGACGCGAAACAGCGTGATGCGATCCCCGGGTTGCTCACCTCGCCGAATCGACGCACACTGGTCGACAATCTCGACACGTCCCTGTCCGGCGAGCACTGCGCTCGTGTCTTCGGGAGCGATCACATACCAAGGCCCATCGCCGGGTTGAGTTCTGACGAACTGCTCCGGCTCGACCACACGATCGACCCGCGAATTGAGGTAGAACGTAATCTGATTCTCCGACAGCCCGACGATGTACGCCGGTTCGTTCGCAGGAATGACTTCATTTGCTCTGCGGGCCAGCATCGTCGGGTCGCGATACGAATCGTGATCGAGCGAGACCAATGTCAGGGCCCCCAAACACACAAACCAGGCGGCGGTGAACAAGGTGACCAACTCGGTCCGCAGTTGCCCGCGATACTCGAAGTAGATCATTGAAACTTGCGTCAGGCCGATCAGCCCGACCAACACGGCGATCAAGCCATAGCTGTCGGGTTGAAGTACCAGGACTGCCACAACTGCGGCCACGTTGCCTACGATGCAGGCGATGGCGGCCACCACGTGCCACCGTAGCGGCGTGTGTTGCCGCCATCGGAAGTACTGAATCATGGCCACCGCGGCGATCATCGTTAGCGGTGGCATTAATGGGGCCGGGTAGTGTTTGCTTTTAAACTCGCTCATGCTCAGCAGCACGATGCCCGGGATCAAGGCACATACTGCCCACCACCACAGAGCCCTTGGGAAGCGTTCACTTCGGGCGGCCCACACCAACCCGATGAGGCAGAACGGCGTCCACGGCAGAAGGATGAAAGGAATGGTGTAGAGATAGAAGAAGGGATTCTTGCCACCTTCCATCTCACCTTGAAACCGGCCCACGTGATTGAGGATTTGATCGCTAATGATCTTCGGATAGTCCTGGTACGCCATTAGCAGCCAGCCCACAGAGCAGCAGAGAAGTATCCCGATCCCGATCGGGTTCAGCAGAAACTTCAACACGCGAGCTTCTCGCCGCACGACCAAGTAAAGCCCACAGGCGGCCAACGTAAACACGGGGCCGACGAGCCCTTTGAACAGGTAGGACAATCCCACACAGGTGTAGAACAGCCAGGGGAGCCATCGCGCCTCGGAACGCCCGCGGGGACTGTCGATGTTCCCGGCGGCGAACGCGTAGAATGCCCCGGTGGTGCAGGCGATGAGAAACACATCGCACTCGGCCAATCGACCCAATTGAAGCACGTAGTACAGCGTGACTTGCATCAGCCCTGCGACGACACCCGTGAGCGTGCCGAACCACCGTGCGGTCATCGCCGCCACAATCAGAGCGGTGATCACCACGGCAATCGCCGAGGGAACCCGCAGGACCCATTCCGACTCGCTGCCGGTTATCGCCATGGTGGCCGCCAACACCCAATGGGTCCCCGGCGGTTTGTAAGTGCTGGGAATCCCGGAGAAGCGCGGAACGAACCAATTCCCTGTGGCCAGCATTTCTTTGGCCGGTTGGGCGAACAGCACCTCGTGATGCGTCAACGTTCGCGTTGGCCCAAGATGCAGCAGCATTAGACTGCCTGCGAACAGCGCCACCAACAAAGCGGCCCGCCAGGTGAGGCGGTACTCGGTTTCTGTCGATTCGATTTCAATCGCTGAACTCATCGATAGCACATCCATAACGCACCCGAATCCTAGACGCAGTCCATCGACCCTAAGGGGTAATGAACCGGTCGGGAGACGAGCGGGCGAAGGTGGAGAAATGTATTCCGACGGCGGACTTTAGTAGCTTCGAGTGCCGTCTCCAAGATCAATCGCGGCGGGGGCGGATTCCGCGGAGTCATCACACCTTGTGGCCGCCTCATTCTCCATCTGTAGGGAACGCCCTCCGTGGCATTCCGAGCGTAACGGCAATTCAAGGAACGTCACGGAGGGCGTTCCCTACAGGGGTTTTTGTGCGGCTACAGAGTTTGCGGTGATCTCCTCCATCCTCCCCCGGGTGCAATCATGCTGTCGTAGCGGTAGAATCACCCACTTGGCTCATTGCTATCGGGCGGTCAGGGGAATCGCCCGAGTCGTCGCTAGCACTCCCGCACGGTTACGGCCGCGTTCGCGAAACTACGAGGGACACACCAACCATGGGTTGCTTTGTTACGCATTTGGAAAGTGCGATCGACGGAACACATCTGCCAGCCGGCCAACTGCAAACCATGCACGCCGATCGGCCTCTGTGGGTGCGTTACGACTTGGAAGCCGTCGGCAAGGCCGTCTCTCGCGAGCAACTCGTCGGCCGGCCAACCACGATGTGGCGATATCGCGAGCTTCTGCCGCCAGAGCACGACGAATCGATTATCTCCTTTGGTGAAGGGATGAGCCCGACCATCCCGTGTCCGCGGCTCGGCGAACACCTGGGGCTACGCGACCTGTGGGTGAAGGACGAATCGCAGCTTCCCACCGGCAGCTTCAAGTCGCGTGGCCAGGCCGCCGCGATCACGATGTGCAAAGAGTTTGGCGTCAATCGGGTGGCGATCCCCACGGCCGGCAACGCCGGAGGGGCCATGGCCGCCTACGCAGCGCGGGCCGGGATGGAAGCGTTTGTTTTCATGCCAGAAGACACGCCCCTGATCAACCAGCGTGAATGTTTGCTGGCCGGGGCGAAGACGTTCCTTGTGAACGGTCTCATCACCGATTGCGGGCGAATCGTCCGCGAAGGCAAAGAGACCATGGGTTGGTTCGACATCTCGACGCTGAAGGAGCCCTACCGCATTGAAGGCAAGAAGACGATGGGTCTCGAGCTGGCCGAACAGTTCGAGTGGACGCTGCCCGACGTGATTCTGTATCCCACCGGCGGCGGCACCGGGCTCATCGGCATGTGGAAAGCCTTTGCTGAATTGGCCACGCTCGGTTGGTTGAACACCGACAAACGCCCCCGGATGGTAGCCGTTCAGTCGCGGGGTTGTGCCCCCATCGTCAAAGCTTACGAAGCCGGCGAGCGATTCGCAGAGCCCTTTGCCAACGCCCAGACCATTGCCAGCGGAATTCGGGTGCCGGCGGCCGTGGGCGATTTCATGATTCTCGATGCGGTTCGCGAAAGCGAGGGGCTTGCCATCGCCGTCGACGAAGATCATCTTCGTCGGTGGATGCAGTTGGGCACCTCGAAGGAGGGCATTTCGTTCTGCCCCGAAACAGCCGCCTGTATTGGGGCCGCAGAGCACCTCACGCAGACTGGGTGGATCAGCCCCAACGATCGGGTCGTGATCTACAACACCGGAGCTGCTCAAAAATACCCGGAGGCCATGGCCGCCGAACTTCCCAAGTTGGACCACACGCAACCGCTCGACTGGGATCGAATCGCCCGAGGCGGGGTTTAGCGTCCATCAGTTCGAATCACTTTACAACCAAACGCATATCAGGAGATACACACCATGGGTTCAGATGTCAGCCGTGAGATTCGTCTTCGTGAGAATCCCGTGGGAATGCCGACGGCCGATACCTTCGAGTTGGCCGAAGTGCCGGTGCCGCAGCCGGGCAATGGGGAGTTTCTCGTTCGCAACATCTGGATGTCGGTCGACCCCTACATGCGGGGCCGGATGATGGGCGTGAAGACCTACGTCGATCCGTTCGAGGTCGGCAAGCCGCTCAACGGTGGCTGCGTTGGGCAGGTTGTTGCATCGAACAACGAGAAGTTCGCCGTGGGCGATTACGTGATGGGCATGTTGGGCTGGCGTGAGCATTGGGTCTCCTCCGGCAGCGAAGTCCGGAAGATCGACGCGTCGCTGGCACCCATTCAAGCTTACTTGGGCGTACTGGGAATGCCCGGAATGACCGCCTACGCGGGAATGGTTCGCGTGGGCGAGGTTGCCGAAGGCGACACAGTGTTTGTTTCCGCCGCCGCAGGAGCGGTTGGTTCGGTGGTGTGCCAAATCGCCAAGAACAAAGGTTGCCGCGTCGTGGGTAGCGCAGGCTCGCAAGAGAAGATCGATTGGCTGCGCGACGAAGCGGGCGTGGATTATGCCTTCAACTACAAAGAGGTCGATAACCTTGCCAAGGAACTGGGCAAGGCCTGCCCCGACGGAATCGATTTGTATTTCGAAAATGTCGGCGGCGATCACCTCGAAGCGGCCCTGGCCCGTATGAACGACTTCGGCCGCGTAGTGGTGTGCGGCCTCATCGATCAGTACAACTCCCCCACGCCGCCTCCAGGCCCGCGATCGTTTGTGAACATCATCCCCAAGCGGCTGAGAATCCAAGGTTTCATCGTTACCGATCACCTCGATATCACCCCGCAGTTCTTTGGCGAGATGGGCCCTTGGATCGCGGCCGGTAAAATGAAGTGGAAGGAAACCGTTGTCGAAGGTCTGGAAAAGGCCCCGGAGGCCTTCCTCGGGCTGTTCAAGGGCAACAACATCGGGAAGATGCTCGTGAAGGTGGGGCCCGACCCCGCCGTGTAAGTGGTTCCCTTCCATCTTTCTCAACCGAACGAAAACTAAGGGAGAACAACCATGAGCAGCGACGCACCTCTGGATAAGTCGATCGAAGAGCTGCAGCATATCATCGACCGCATCGGTTCGGAGAAGTCGCCGGTGGGGATCGACGCCAAGCTCACGCACGCGATCATCATCGAGTACCTCCGACAGATCTCGGCCCGAGTCGAAGCCATCGAGCGGCATATCGACCGGGGCGATCATGAAATGGTTCATGAGCAAAAGTGACCAGTTCGGCGAATTAACCCGTATTGTCAAATTCTTCCTCGTCCCCCAGGCAAGTGGTATACTGAAGGGAGTCGAATGCCGATCGGCATTCTGGCTCTTTTCGTCAGAATTCTCGCAGTCTTGGCCGGTTGCCTCGGAACACAATCGGGCACGCGCGAATCCTCTCCGTTGCACTTGTCGACAGGGAAGAGAGAAGAATCATGGCCCAAGCAATCGTCGACCCGGACGAACTTCGCCGCTTCGCTCAAAGCCTCAAGCGTTTCACGAACGAACTGCAACAACACGGTTCGTCGCTCAACAGCCAGCTCAACACGCTGGGCAGCACGTGGCGCGATCAAGAGCACACGAAGTTCGTCGAAGAATTCGAGCAGCATCTGAAAGTGCTCGCCCGATTCACCGAAGCTTCGGACCAATACATTCCCTATCTGTTGCGCAAAGCCCAGCGGATTGAGGAATACCTCCAGCAACGGTAAGGCCTTGGCATGAACAGATCGGCCCGGGTTGAATCAATCGATGCGGTGCAGGCCCTGCGGGTGGCCATCCCTCGCTTTCAAGAAGAAGCCAGCGACGCGATCGTCGCGCTGCAGCAGGAGATCCACCGCTTTCTCGATTGGCTTGAACACGACCAGTTGAAGTATTGGTCTTACCAAATGCGGAGGGCCAGCGAGAAGGTGGGCGAGGCAAGGGCCGATCTCGAGCGGAAGCAAGTCATCACCGTGGGTGGGGTAGCACCGCCGTGCTACGACGAGAAGCAAATTCTCGCCCGGGCCAGGCAGCGCTATCGCTACGCTGAGGAGAAGGTGGCCGAAATCCGCCGTATGCGCCGCGAGCTTGAGCACGAAGTTGCTGAGACCGAAGGACGCCTCACCACGTTGAGCGATGCCCTGATGGCCGATGTACCCAAGGCCGCCGCATTGCTCGACCGGATGGTCACTTCGCTGCAGGCCTACGCCGAGATTGGGAGTGAGAGCACAGAGGAGACAAGTTCGGCTGAGAGCGATATTGCCCAAAACAAGCTAGCGGCCGACGACAATACTTCCCCGGACGACGCCCCGCAGGACGAGGGCGATTCTTCCCCCAAGAACACATAACCGAGTGCTACCGATGCGAGCATGCGACCTGACAACCGGTACCGGAAAACTACGGCACGCCCTGCGTACGTTGGAGGAGGTGCGGCTAGAAACCGAAGAACATTGGAAGGATGCCAACGGGCGGAACTTCTTCGAGAATCACCTGAATCCGCTGGAACCGAAGTGCAATGCGGCCATCAACTCGGTGAATCACCTGGCCCAGGTGTTTGCCAAAATCGAACAAGCTTGTCGCGATGATTAACGTTCGCCAAGCCTTGTTGAATGAAGCGATGCGGAAACTCCAGCAGAGTATCGAGGCGGAATGAGTCAGCCACTTTCAATCGACAGACAACGCGAGTTGATTGCCGACTTGCAGCGTTCGATTGCCCACAGGGCCGAGCTCGAGAACCATCTCCGCCAGCAACGCGACGATGCCCTGCAAACCGAAGAACGTCGCTACCAGAAAGCTACCGACGATTTGGCCCACCGCTTCCGCAGCGTGAAGACGGCCACCGAGGCTGAGTATGCGAACGTGGCTCGCAAGATCGTCTCCCGCTTCGAGAGCGATTCGCAATCGATCGACCGGCAATACCAAACGGCGCGATCCCGAACTGTCAGCCGTTTGAAGGCGGAGAAGGCCGACGCTAAACAGCGGCTGCAAGAGGCCCGCTGGGAAGCCGCCACGCTGTATGAGGCCAACAAGCCGCTACCTCGTAAAGAACTGGCCGCGAAGAAGAACAAGCTTACGGCCGTCTCCCGCCAGGCCGGCGAGCTTCGCGAATTGGCCATCGACATGCTGCGGCAGCGGTACATGTGGTCCTCGAAACTCGAGCTGCCCAACTCAGAAGACCAGCCCACGGGCGATGTGGACGAGTCTCTGTCGATAGACGCGTTACTCGCCGAGGCCAGCGAAAGACTGGAAAGTTTGCGAGCCCAGCGACTGCCTAAGCTTTTCTCCGGTGCGGTGCCCTTCGTCGTTATCCTTGCAATTGGAATTGCTCTCGCCGTTACCTCTGGGTCGCTGCTCGGCTGGTCGAACCTCAACTGGGTGTTTGTCAGCGGCGGAGGTACGATCGTCGTTGCCGGGGTATTGGGGGCCGTGTTGTTTCCTCGGGCCCGCAAGCAGTCGGCTACCGCCTATGCAGATCTGGCCGAATCTTTGGGCCAACTGAAGACACTCATCCGGAACACGGCCAATCGAGCCGAAGAAGAGCGCAGTAATCAAGAGGCCGGTATCCTCAAGCGACGTGACGATGCGGTTTCCGATGCGGAAGATGCCTACGCCCACGTGAAGTCGACGCTCAGCTACCAGCAGGAACGCGACCTGCAGCAAGCCAGCGATACCCGACGTTCGCGAATTAGCGAAGTTGAAAACCTTCGCGAGCGTGAACAAAGCGAAGCCGATTCCAAGTACCCACAACTGCTGCGTGAGATCGAAGAGCAGCGGGTCGCCGAGATTGAAGAGACCGAACGAGCCCACCAAGAGCGGCTGGGAAAAATCCAACACCACTTCCAAGAAGAGTGGGACCGGATGCGTCAGCAATGGTTCGAGGCCCTGGCCAACTTTCAGTCGGGCGCGGCCGAAATGAACTCGCTGGCCAACGGCTATTGCTACGATTTCTCGGGCGACGTTCCCTGGCAGCCCCCGCAGCAATACCCGCCGGGGCTGAAGTTCGGCGAGATGAATATTGATCTCACGCAGATCAAGAACGGCATTCCAGACGACCCATGGCTGAAGCCCGACTTCACCAGGGCGACGCTTCCCGCGGTGGTTCCCTTCCCTGAGAAACCGTCGCTATTGTTTCGCTGCCACGATGCGGGTCGCGAAGTAGCAGTGCAGGCCCTGCAGGCGATGATGCTTCGCTTGCTCACGTCGTTGCCACCCGCCCAATTGCGGTTCACGGTGATCGATCCGGTGGGACTGGGCGATAACTTTTCGGCGTTCATGCACCTGGCCGACTTCGACGAGAAACTGATCACCAACAACATTTGGGTCGAATCGTCGCATATCGAGCAACGCCTGACCGATCTCACCGACCACATCTCCAGCGTCATTCAGAAGTATCTCCGCAGCGAGTTCCGCTCGATTCAGCAATACAACGAACAGGCCGGCGAAGTGGCCGAGCCATATCGTGTGTTGGTGGTCGCGAACTTCCCGGCCCATTTCACCGAGTCGTCGGCGCGTCGATTGGTGAGCATTGCCAACAGTGGAGCGCGATGCGGTGTGTTCACGCTCATCAGCGTCGACACTAAACAAAAGATGCCACACAATTTTTCCCTCGAAGACCTGCAATCGCAGGCCACCTCCCTGGTGTGGGATGGTCAACGGTTTATCTGGCCCGAGCGGAAGCTCGAGGAATTGCCGCTGAAACTCGACACTCCGCCCGAACCCGAGAAGATGGTTCAGCTCATTCGCACCGCGGGTGAGGTGGCCGAGAAAGCCGGCCGTGTTGAAGTGCCCTTCGACGTGGTCACGCCCAGCGAGGGCAATCTCTGGTCGCTCGATGCACGCGGCGGAATCGATGTCCCGCTCGGTCGGGCTGGCGCTGCAAAGCTTCAACACTTGCGTCTGGGGCAAGGTACCTCGCAGCATGTGTTGATTGCCGGTAAGACCGGCTCGGGTAAGTCGACACTGCTGCACGCCCTGATCACCAATGCGGCCCTTTACTACAGCCCTGATGAAGTTGAACTCTACCTGGTCGACTTCAAGAAGGGGGTCGAGTTCAAAGCGTACGCCACGAATAAGTTGCCTCACGCCCGGGTGATCGCCATTGAAAGCGAACGGGAGTTCGGTCTGAGTGTGCTGCAACGACTCGGCGCCGAATTGCAGAAGCGTGGCGACCGCTTCCGCGACTTAGGCGTGCAAGATCTGAAATCATTCCGAGGTGCCCGCCCCGATGAGCGGATACCGCGGATTATGCTGATCGTCGACGAGTTCCAGGAACTGTTCGTCGAAGACGACCGTCTCGCCCAAGAGGCCTCGCTGCTGCTCGATCGACTGGTTCGCCAAGGTCGAGCGTTTGGCATCCACGTGTTGCTCGGTTCGCAAACTTTGGCCGGCGCCTACTCACTTGCTCGCAGCACCCTTGGCCAGATGGCTGTGCGAATTGCCTTACAGTGCAGCGATGCCGACGCGCATCTCATCTTGAGCGAAGACAACACGGCCGCCCGCTTGCTGGGGCGGCCCGGCGAAGCGATTTACAACGACGCCAACGGGCTATTCGAGGGTAATCACCCCTTCCAGGTTGTTTGGCTTTCGGACGAGCGTCGCGATCATTATCTGCACCGCATTCGCGAAATGGCGGACGCGGCATCTGGTGAAGAGTTACCCAGGGTGGTGTTCGAAGGAAATGTTCCAGCAGACATTACTCGCAACACTGATATGCAGTCGATGTTCGACGGATCGCCGTCCGCGACCCCGAGTACCTCGCTCACGGCCTGGTTGGGCGATGCGGTGGCGATTAAAGACCCCACGGCCGTGGAATTCTCCCGCCAAGGTGGAACCAACCTGCTCGTCGTGGGGCAACAATCCGAGGCTGCACTCGGTTTGATGACGGCCTCACTCTTCGCACTTGCAGCCCAGCAGCCGCCGGAGTTGCCCGATGATCAGGCTCATGCGCAGTTTTACATTCTGGATGGAAGCCGCCCCGAGACGGCCGAAGCATCGGACATGTGGCGATCCTTCGCTGAAGTGTTTCCGCACCGCACAAGTGTCGTCAGCCCGCGGGAGTGCAAGAATGCCATTGCTGAAGTGACTGAGATTTTGAAGCAGCGGCAAGACTCAGGCGAGGAAGGTGGTCCACCGATCTTCGTCACGATCTTCGACCTGGCTCGATTCCGCGATCTGCGCCGCGACGAAGATGATTTCAGCTTCTCCGGGATGGGCGACGACAAGCCCGCGAGTGCTTCGAAGCAACTTGGCGAAATCCTTCGCGAGGGTCCCCCACTGGGAATTCATGTGCTCTTGTGGTGCGACTCGTACAACAACCTCAGTCGTTGGGTTGATCGCGGTGCTCTTCGCGACTTCGAATACCTGGTGGCCTTCCAGATGAGTGCGAATGACTCGAGCAACCTAATCGATTCGCCGGCCGCCAGCCGACTGGGTATTCACCGCGGGTTGCTCGCCGACTTGACTCAGGGACGGCTCGAGAAGTTCCGCCCCTATGGCTTGCCCACCAGGGAATGGATGGAAGCTCGCGCGGAGCAGATCAATTCCCAGCGTCAGCAAGCGGCCGATTGAACTCGCCGTTAGCGAGGTTGATTGGGGGCCTGGAACTCGTCGAGATCCTCGTGCCCAGCTTCCACCTCTTCATCCTTCATCTTGCCAACCAATCGGGTCATGGTATTGGCGTGCACACCCAGAAGCTGCGAGGCACGGCCCATGTGACCACCGGTGGCTGTCAGGGCTTGTCGCACCGCTTCGTTGCGAAGCCGGTTGAGATTCAAGTGTGGAAGTGCCGTGCGATGCAAACGCGAATGCCGCCGATCGGGAACCGTCGGTTCGCAATCGAGGATGTAGGCCTGCTCGATGACGTGGGCCAACTCGCGAATGTTGCCCGGCCAGGGGTATTCGCAGAAGCGGGCCAAGGTCTCGGGGTCCGGTGTCCAGGCCTCACAGTCGTACTGGCGGGCGAACATGGTTGAGAAGAAGGTGATGAATTCGGAGATGTCTTCCACCCGCTCGCGTAGCGGCGGAATGACGAATTCGACCATGCTCAAGCGATAGTACAGATCTTCGCGGAACCGGCCTTCGGCAACTTCCTCTTCCAGGTTCCGGTTCGTGGCGGCCACCACCTGCACGTCGACCGTTTGTGGGGTCGAAGAACCGACGGGAGTGACTTCATGCTCTTGCAAGACACGCAGGAGCTTCGGTTGCAACTCGAGGGGCATCTCGCCGATTTCGTCGAGAAACACCACGCCGCCTTCGGCTGCACGAAAAACACCAAGCGAACTTCCGGCAGCACCCGTGAACGCGCCCTTTTCGTGACCAAACAACTGGCTCTCAGCCAGGCTGACCGAAAGTGCAGCACAGTTCACTGGAATGAGAGGGCGCGTCTTCCGCCCGCCACAACTGTGAACAAGACGGGCCCAAACTTCTTTACCGGTTCCCGTCTCACCTGAAACAAGAACGGTACAGGGGAATTCGGCCACGCGTCTTACATGCGACGCAATACGCCGGATAGCGGGGCTATTGCCCATGACCCAATTGCCGGCCAACTCTTCTGGAAGGATAGAACCTTGCTCAGAGTTCGGCGCTTGCGGGCGCACTTGGGAGGTGCGCTTTTGGTCGGTTGTTGACATAGGTCGGGCCTCGATTGTCGAACGACGCTGCTGCTAAGAGCTGCACCGTTGTCCTTCTCTGTTCGCACGACCGCGATGCGCCATCTGGCGTACGCATTCAGGTCGCAGGTGTTTCATCATTAGCGGTAAGTCTCAAACTCGCAGAGGAAGCCGATTCCTCTAGTTGACTCAACGTGGTGCCTCAGCCACGTCTCGTCGATGCACGATGAATATTGGCCCGACGCCGATTCATTGCACACGTCAAACACATTCACAGGACTTGGTCGCGTCTGTATCTCGCAGCGGTTCCCAACCGCATTGAGCACGACTCGCGCTGTTCGAACGACGAAACCGTCTGGCGTTGTTGCAGCAATACCTAAGTGCAGCGAAGCCTGGCGGTATTCCGTCTGAGCAGCGATCCGAACAATCGGATTCCTCAGTCGCGACGAATACAACCATCACACTCGCCGCGACTTGCAGGGGCTATAGTAGACGAGCCCCTTTTCCGACGCAATCAGAACGTGCATGGATACATTCCCCATGCCTACCACTTGCGAGGTATCGCAAGTGGTTGTGCTTAGAATACTTACACCGCTTCATCTAAGCGCGCTAATCAACGTGTAAGACGCATCGCGCACCATGGATGGACTTATCCTAAGAGGTTAATTTGCATGGAGAAATGCATTGTCCACCAAGCGCCTGGAAGCTAATAAATGGTAAAGTCCGCAAACATCTTGCAGCCCGTCCCGCTAGGTATGGAGGCCAGGAAGTGGACGTATTGTCGCAGGTTCGGCTGGCACTTCCAGGAGTGTGTGTAGTGAAAATACTACACAAAAAAATAGGAATTTAATGTAGATAAATGCTGACCGACTGGTCCGTCTTGGCTTCTGGGCGATAGCAAAAGATCGATTTTACTTTCGAAGACTACTACGGCCGAAAGAATCACGTAGCCGGTGTGATGGGAATTGGGCTCCCCGAGAACTCCACGCTACTGGCTTACCGAGTCTTCTTCGTCATCGACTGCGAAGAACATTACGTGTTGCCAGGGAAGGTCGTCGTACTTATCTACCAGACGAAAACCATTCGGTAAGAACTCTTTGAGCATTTGTTTCTTGCTCATCTTGTGCAGTGGTTTGATTGGCACGAGTGGATCTTCTTCGCGAAACTCGACCAGTGCGATTCGTCCGTTCGGTGCCAGGCTTCTTCGCATGGCTTGCAGCATGTGTTCTGGATGCGAAAACTCGTGATACACATCCACGAGAAGAATCAGGTCGATGGTTCCCTCTGGTAGGTCCGGGTCGATCACGGTCGAGAGAATCGGCTCGACGTTCGTAACGCCCTCTGCCTTGGCACGCTCGCGCAACAGTGTGAGCATCTCGGGTTGGATATCGACTGCTAGCACTTTGCCTTCGTCGCCGACGAGTTCAGCGAGCTTCAGCGTGTAGAACCCGTTGCCACACCCGATGTCGCAAGCCACTTGCCCGGGCTTCAGTTGGAGAGCCTCGAGTAGTTCTCTGCACGATTCCTCTTTCTCCCTCGTCGCTCGCGTGAGCCAGGGCGCGCCGCGGTAACTCATCGTGGGCGCGATGGTTCGCCCTTTGTATTCGGTGAGTGGTGGCGGAATGGCTTCCGAAACTGCAGGCCCCGTCGCCACGTCGGGCTCGGCGGCAGGAACACTGCCATCCAAGCACGCGCACAGCAACAAGCAGCCGCTCAACCAAGCCAGACGCTTCGAGCAGACTTTGGTTTTCGAAGGGTTTCCCGCTACCGGATTTGAACGGACGTATGCCATGGTTCGAATTCCGATCTGGAAGAGTCTCGGCTGTGGTTGCACGGTCCGAAAGCGGTGCATGCACCGGTGAGTCGGCTACTTAAAAGCCGACTGCAATCGGGTGGAAAGATCGTCGATGGCCTTCAGAAAAGACTCTTGTTCCTCGATCTCTTTTCCGTCGCCCGTTCTGAATTCGAATCGCCGTCCGTTGCGAGTCATCGCGAGCGATTTTACCAAGAGCTGAGCCTCGTCTCGTGTCAGCTCGAGCGCGACGGTCTCTCCCGCCGTAGAGTTTTCTTGCGTTGCCATAAACCACGCTTTCCTTCCACCCGCGATGGAGGCGATCGCAGAGATCGATCGCCATGCGTTCCCTCATACCACGGTCGTTACAATGTTTCGTCGTGCTCCAGATAGGAGCAGGACCCCACAACCGCCAGTCGCCATGATAGCCGAGATGGGGCGCGGGGCCAATTCAGGGAGAGAGGGCGGGCCAGGCAAGCCGCCCTTGGGGATGCCGCCAGATGAGTCGCGAACGATTGCTCGCTTGCCGGGCCCTAGGCCGCGGCAGCGTCTGAGTGTTTTCCCGTCATTGCTTCTTCATCCAGAGCGATGATTGAGATTCGGTGTCGTTGGGCGAAGTCGACGACATTCGCTTCATCGACGATGATCGTTCTGCCAGCCTCGATCGCGAGCACCCGTCCGCCGGCTTGTGCGATGGCCTGCATTGTTCCCATGCCGATGGTGGGTACATCGAACCGCATGTCTTGCTGCGGCTTGGCCACCTTTACTACGGTGAACCCTCCGGCCCGACAGAGTTGGCCAGCCCGAACGATGCACTGGTCGGTTCCTTCGATCGCTTCGACCGCGATAACGGCACGTCCCTTAATCACCACGCTTTGGCCAATGTCGAGCCGACCCATCTGTTTGGCGATGTGCCAACCGAACTCGATGTCTTTCCGTTCGTTCGACGAGGGGCCTTGCCGGGTGAGTGTTCCGCTCTTCACAAGCAACTCCGGAACGAAATCGGTCGGCGGTTCGAAGTGGATGCCATCCATTGCAAACTCCGCGATGACTTCGTTGACCAGAGTGTCGTCCCGACGGTCTTTGCGATTGAACAGGATGATGGCATAGAACCGGCGAATGGCCCGCCAGTCGGGAAGGTGTTTGAACCACACCCAAGGTTGGTACAGCATGACCTTGTGAACTTTGCCCGCCATGGTCACCCGTGTGACATTGCGTTCCCGGAAGTACCGAATCGCAAACCCTAGCTTGGCCAACCCGACCCAGTCGAACTCGGTGCAGATGTCGGCCAACGCTTCATCGGCATGGTCTTTGATGCCCAGTCCGTACACTTCGTAGCCTTGCTCACGCAGAGCGGTGGCGATCAAAAGAGGGTAGCGCCCCCACCCGGCCAGCAAGCCGATCTTAGGTTTGGTTCCATCATCCGCGTTTATGGACAACGTAGTCTGCGAAGTTGAGGGATTCACCGTCCGTGCCAACCTGTGTATCGGGTCGCGTGATATGAGTTGAATTGATTCCGTTAGGCCGCTGCGCCGCGATCCTTGCCCTTGTCGGTCGACTTCTTGGCGGGTGCCTGCGGCGCTTCGTCGAGCCATTCAGGCGCGAGAGACGCTTGCTCGGCATTCTGGACCAACTGCTCGACCTGTTTGCTCAGCTTCTTGAACTGCCGCCGCATCTCGGGCAACTTCGAAAGGGCTACCTGTTTCAGCTTTTGTTCGCGATCGGGGGTGGCCGGGATACCCATCATCACGCTCTTATCAGGAACGTGGTTCATCAGGCCACTCATTGCGGCGATGATCGATTGCTCGCCGATGTGGATGTGGTCTCGTACGCCAGCCTGCCCACCCATGACGACATAGTCACCCGTTGTGGTGCTTCCGGCGATGCCGACTTGCGAGCACAGCAAGTTGTGTCGACCGATACGGCAGTTGTGGCCAATTTGCACCTGGTTGTCGAGCTTGGTCCCAGCTCCGATCACGGTTGCACCATAGGTTCCGCGGTCGATCGTGGTGTTGGCCCCGATCTCTACATCGTCTTCGATTCGCACGTAGCCCAACTGCTGGGTCGGTACATGCTTTCCGTCTTGGAGGTCGTATCCGAAGCCGTTCGCTCCCAAGATGGCGCCCGCGTGGATCGTCGATCGGGCACCAACCTGAGTGTCTTCGTAAATCACAACACCGGGATAGAGTGTCACGTCGTCGCCGATGGTACATCCCGGCATGATGTGAACCCCGGAATGAATCGTTACGCGGTTCCCAATGGAAACATCTTCCTCGATCACCGCCATCGGATAGATCGAAGCTTCGTCGCCGATTGTGGCCTGAGGGCTAATGATGGCCGCCGGGCTGATGCCCCGATTGGGGCGAATACGCCGCGGACGGAAATGCAGCACCAGGGCCGTAAACGCAGCATGCACGTCATCCACTTCGATGGCTGGGAAATCGCCGCTGGTCACTCCGCTGGCAACGACCACTGCCGCGGCCGAACAGTCGGCCAGCAGTTTGCTTTTGTGTTCTTGGTCGATAAACGTGATATCGCCAGAAGCCGCTTCGTATAAAGGTGCGGCGCCGTGAACCATGGTTTGACCATCGCCACGAAGACGACCGCCAACCAATGTGGCTAATTCTGCCAGCCTGCTTGGCATGGGTTGCAATCCTTTGCATCTGCTCGGAGTCGATCGGCGGATAGGAGGAGCGAATCTAACCGGAGTGCGGTGGCGCAAGCAAGATCAGAGCGGGGGAGAATTGGGCAACCCACGATCGCGCTGAAAATTGGGGGGTTGGAGACCGCAACACGCCGAGAAAGTAAGGCCCCACCGATAGAAGTGCTAGCAGAATGCAAAGCCTCAACCGTACCGGCAAGCCGAGGCCAGGGTGCCAACACCTTGGTGTTGCTAGAAGGGATCGACCTGGTGGTTCATGGCGATTGACTCGAAGCGGGTAACCGAGCTTCGCCAGGCGAGGTTCACATCGCCGACGGGGCCGTTACGATTTTTGGCCACAATCACCACAGCTTTGCCTGCTAGCTCGCGGGCTTCGACTTCCTCGGGCGAGTGATAGACCTCTTCACGGTGAATGAAGAGCACCGAATCGGCATCCTGCTCGATGGCCCCCGACTCACGAAGGTGACTCAACCGGGGGCGGTTATCCTTCGTGGCTTCCGCCTGCCGGTTTAACTGGGCGAGACAGAGTACCGGAACGTGCAACTCGCGGGCGAGGATCTTCAGCCGCCGCGCGATCTTAGCCACCTGCTCTTGGCGGGGATCGCGGGAGTTGTCCGGTTCGATGAGCTGCAGGTAATCGATGATGATCAGCCCCAGGTTATTCTTCCGTTTCAAACGCCGCGCGATGGCGGCGATTTCCATCATCGAACGGCTCGGAGTGTCGTCGATAAACAGGGGGGCCGAATGCATGGTGGTCGAAGTCCGCACCAGCTCCGCTCGTTCGGCTTCGCTGATGGAGTTGTCGCGCAATTTGTGACCGTTCACGCCGGCTCGGGAATACAGCAGGCGGTTGGTCACTTCTAGCTTGTCCATTTCTAGGCTGACAAACAGCGTGCCCACATTCGAGTCGACGGCCACATGCTCGGCGATATTACAGGCGAGTGCCGTCTTTCCCATACTGGGGCGAGCCGCGAGGATGATCAGCTCGGCCGGTTGGAATCCGCCGGTCAGATCGTCGAGATCGTGAAAGTGAGTTTCGAGTCCTCGGATTGCCTTCCCGGTCTTCATTGCCTCGTCGATACGAAGCATGACTTCCACAAGCGATTCGCGGAACTCGGTAATTTCGCCAGTGCCCCGGCGTTCGAGAATCGAGAAGATCTTTTCTTCGGCCGCCCCTAACAGGCTGCGGGATTCAATCTGGGCTTCGTAGGCGTCGCGGAGGATTTCGCTGCTTGCGTAGATCAATGCCCGTTGGGTTGATTTCTCGCTGACGATGTTGGCGTAGTAGGCAGCATGTGCGGCATGAGGCACATCGCTGACGAGTTGAGCGATGGCTACGGCGCCGCCTACCGCTTCGAAGTCGCCGGCCTTCCGCAGGCGGTCGACGAGCAACGTCGAATCGACTTGAACGCCATCGTCGTTCATGTCGATTAGGTGCCGGTACAGCTTCTGATGCCGGTCGCTGTAGAAGTCGTCTGGACGAAGGGCCAGTGCCACATCGTCGACACAGCGGGGGTCGAGGAGGATGCTGCCCAAAACGGCGCGTTCGGCGTCGAGATCACACGGCGGCTGACGATCCAGGATCTCGGATGACAACCGTGGGGCTGCCGGAGCGTCGACGCGTTTCGTGCGGGCGGGGGTGCTGTCTGCCATATGAGAGAACCTCCATGTCGGTGGCAATCCAGATCACCCTGCAGCTCATTGCAGAGCGAGATCGGATGATACACGATGCCGACCGATGAACGACGATGACTCCCTGCAGTTCGACGGAAAAATGCTGCAGTCACGAGCTAAGTGACTAGCACTTCGCTCGTTAGCCGTTTCGAATTTTCAAGAGCGTCGCCGGAAGGACGCACATTGCAGATGTGCAAAACCGGACGAGCGCAAAACACGCAGCGGCGGATGAGAGCGCATAACCGCTCATGCCGATTCGTCCGCACTCTGCGTCAGGAACTAATCCTACGTCGTTTCGGCGGCTTCACTTCCAACCGAGGGCACGACCCACACCTTGAGCTCGGCATCTACGTCTTGACCGAGATGAATCTTGACAGTGTAGAGCCCCAGTTCCTTGAGCGGACCTTCGAGACGTACCTGGTCGGGAGTGATCGAGATATCGGCTCGCTTCAAGCCATCGACAATTTCCGGGGCACCCACCGAACCGTAGAGGTGACCATCGTCGTTGGCATTGGCTTCGATCGTGATGCTCTGTTTGCTGAGTTCCGCAGCTTGCGAGCGAAGACCGGCCACGCGGGCTTTCTGGATCTCCAGCAACTTGGCTTTGTGCTTTTCGACCATCCGCTTGTGATGATCGGTGGCAATGGCGGCCAAACCTTGGGGAATCAGGTAGTTCAACGCGTAACCGCGCTTCACTTCAACCACTTCGCCTTGTTCGCCCAGGTGATCGATCGAGTGGATCAAGAGCAGCTCGATGCCGCCATTCTTGCCTTGGGGGAGTTGAACGGCCTTGGGGCGTGTGCGAGTCCGACGGACAGATTTTTGCTTCGGCATGCTACTTCTCGAAAGTTAGCTTGTTAGTGATGTGCGCTTCCCATGCGAAGATGAGAGGCGATTAATTGTTACTTTGTGTGATTGCCACTTAGAACGGGATGTCGGCGTCGCCGCTATCTCCGTAGTCTCCGGCCGAGGAATCGGCGTAGCTGTCGCGGTCTCGACCGCCACCTTGTTGCGAGCCGCCGCTGCGTCCTCCGCCCCCTCCACCTCCGCCGCCGCGTCCTCCGCTGAGCATTTGCATCCGCTCACCTACGACGTGCAGCTTCGAACGTTTTTGGCCTTCCTTGGTTTCCCAGGTGTCGAGCTTCAACCGGCCTTCGATCAGCACGGGTGAACCCTTGCTGAGGTATTCGTTGGCCACCTCGGCCTGGCGGGCCCACAGCGTAACGTCGACAAAGGTGGTCTCGTCTTGCCATTCGCCGCTGGCAGTCTTGCGGCGATCGTTCACGGCGAGCCCAATGTCGGTCACCGCGGTTCCGCCCGAGGTGTAACGCAATTCTGGGTCGCGGGTCAGGTTGCCAACCAGAATCACTCGGTTATAGCTGGCCATGGCACCAAACTCCTTTGCTTCACCAAAACGGCGTATCTCTTGTAACTGCGACTAATTTGTTTCTCTCAAACGTGGTTTTCCGTCTGCTGAGAAACTACTGAACACTTGCACCGTACCGAAGTTTTGGGGTACCAGCAAGTTTCTATGGATTGAACCCCGCATCCCGTGTGGGACGGAGGGGTGCTACGAAGTAACGGTGCTCTCTTCGCTGTCAGCCGTCTCGTTCGAGCTGTCGTCATCATCGTCGTCGTCATCGTTCCGCTGGGGCTTGGCCGAGGGGCGTTCGCCTTCGGGGCGGGCCGTGGCGTGGGAGACCAGCGTCTCGACAATTCGCGGATCGACCTTAAGCACCAACGAACGGAGGATGTTGTCGGAAAGCTCGAACTGGCGATTGATGTTCTTCACTTCCTCGCTGTCCAGGCGGAAGTAGGCCAGCCAGTAGGTGCCCTTGCGTTGTCGCTTGATCGGGTAGGCCAGACGTCGTTCTTCCCACAGACGCGAGGCCAGAATTTCGCCACCGGCATCGGTAATGGTGCTCTCGAGCTGACCGGAGACACCGCTCGGGTCGCGTCCGTATCGATTGGAATCGAAGATAAACAAGCCTTCGTAGACGTTGACTGCCAAGATCTCACTCCTCGGAAGGTTTCTGGTTGAATTGATTCATACAGGTTTCAACCCCATCGCGGGCCCAAACCTCGACAGCGTCGGCCGCTCGCCCGATGGCGAGTTCAACGTCCGGCAGTTCTGTCTTGTTGAATTTGCTCAGTACAAAGTCGGCTGCGTCCCATTCGGCTGGTGGTGAACCAATTCCGAATCGCAGTCGAGCCACTCGGTCTGTCCCCAGACAGCGAATGACGTCTGCCAATCCGTTTTGGCCGCCAGCCGAACCTCCTCCCCGCACGCGTAAACGCGTGAGCGGCAGGTTGAAGTCGTCGCAAACGACCAACACATCCTCTGAATTCAGTTTATAGAAATCGCAGGCGGCCAAAACACTGGCACCACTGCGATTCATATATGTGTGCGGGCACAGCAACAATGCGGGTGAACCGCCCAGGCTGGCCTCGACCACTTCCCCACGAAACCGTTCTTTGGGCTTCGTAGTGCCAGAACGCCGGGCCACCTCGGCCAGCACGTCCCATCCAATATTGTGTCGCGTTCCAACGTATTTGCGGCCCGGATTGCCGAGCCCGACGACCAGTCTCATGGCTGCGTTCCCAAAACGTTTAACGGTTGAGGGCACGCGCGTCGATAACGCGGTCCGCGATTGCTATCTCCATTGAGAAATGCCAGCCGTTACGATTCCTCGCCGGCAGTCTCCTCTGAATCCTTTTCCCCAATAACTTCCGGCTCGGCACCAGCTTCGGCACCTTCTTCTTCCGGAGCCTCTTCCACAGGCTCGTTGCACTGCACCATCACCGTATCTGCGGGGGTAAGCAGCGAAACGTCGTCGGAGATTTCGATATCGCTGGCCAGCAGTGATTCGTTCAATTGCAACTCATTGATGTTCAGCTCGAGCGATTCCGGAATCGCTACGGCTTTGCATTCAACTTCCACTTCGTGCACAACCTGCTGGACAATACCGCCCTCTTTGGTGCCAGGGGCGATGCCGCGCAGGTTCACTGCCAGCGTGATTTGCACCTTTTCGTCGGCCGAGACGCGGGTGAAATCGACGTGCAAGATGTCGATGCCAAACACATCGTATTGAATTTCGCGAATGAGCGCTTTTTCTTTCAAACCACCGGTCAGGTCGACCACGTGGCTGCCGTGTCGCAAGACGGCTTCAAGTTGATCGGTGGGGATGGTCAAACTCACCGGGTCGGTACCGTGCCCATACAGCACTGCGGGAACCGAGCCCGAGGCGCGAAGCCGACGATTGTTTCGTTTACCAACCGCGTCGCGGGACTGAACCTCTAAAACCTCAGACATGCGTCTTCCTTCTACGATTCGTTTCGCGACTTATACGCGCAACGGAAATACAGACGGTGGACCGGTCGAGCGCTCTCAACCCGAGCCCCCGTAAATTGCAACATCTAGAATCCCGCTATTCTGCTGTACTTAGCGAAGATTTCAAGCCCATGTCTGGGAAGATTTCGGGCGAGGTCCCAAGATTTCGCTCCGTGGCGGCGATCGGAGCGGTTGCGAGAGGTGCGTAAAATACGGCAACCAGGGTCAATTCTGTGGGAATAGACTCCCCAGCCCACGAGATCGCACTACGACCGGCACGCAAATCTCGCGTGTTTCAGATTGGCCAGCCTACGGATTTCGGCCGCAAACTGGAGAACTAATTCACCACGAACAGCCGGCTGATCGACTCGTTGCGGTGAATTCGCTTCACCGCTTCGCCCAGCAGTTGAGAGACCGAGAGAACCTCGATTTTTTCAGACAAATGCTCGGGATTGCGGGGAATTGTGTCGGTAATCACCACGCTGTCGATCGGCGAATTGTTCAGCCGCTCAACGGCCCCCCCGCACAGCACGCCGTGAGTGGCCGCGACGTGGATTTCCTTCGCACCCGACTCGTGCAGCACCTTGGCAGCCCCGCAAATCGATCCCGCGGTGCTGATCATATCGTCGAACATCAGGGCAATCCGCCCCTCGACGGGACCGCCGATGATGTTCTCCTGCTTCGTTTCTTCGGCACTGGTGCGGCGTTTGTCGACGATGGCCAGCTTGCCCCCCAAACGTTTGGAATGGCCCAAGGCCCGCTTGATGCTTCCTTCGTCGGGGCTGACGATCACCAGCTCGTCGTGGCTGTAATTCTTGGCCACGAAATGGTCATTCAGCACGGGAGCCCCATACAGGTGGTCCACCGGAACATCGAAGAACCCCTGAATTTGGGCGGCGTGCAAGTCCATGGTCAGCACGCGATCGGCCCCGGCCCGAGTGATGATGTCGGCGGCGAGCTTCGCGGTGATCGGAACCCGACCGGCATCTTTCCGGTCTTGTCGGGCGTAGCCGAAATAAGGGACTACGGCCGTGATTCGTTCGGCGCTGGCCCGTTTGCAGCAGTCGATCATGATCAACAACTCGATCAAGTTGTCGTTCACCGGGGGGCAGGTGGGCTGCACGAGGAAGATGTCTCGCCCGCGGATATCCTCTTCGACCTTGCAGGAAATCTCACCATCGGGGAAGTCGCCCAGCGAGATATGGCCCAGCCGGAGCCCCAGATAATCGCAAAGCTTCTGCGACAGGCTGTAATTCGCGCGACCGCTGAAGATAACCAGATCGTTCATACGACTAAGAGTCCGTAGCTGTCCGCGATTCTCGCATGGCTGCCTCGACGACGGCCAGTTCTTCCACGGTGTTGATGCTGAGGGCTTCGCACGGCTGTAAGACGTCGAGCGCCCGTACGTCTTTGCCTTGGGCCTGCAGAATGCCCGGGCAATCGGTCACATAGTACTCGCCCTGAGAGTTTTCCGGAGAAAGCTCGTCGAGGGCCGAAAGCAAGTCTTGGCTGTTGAAGATGTAGCAACTGAGGTTCACTTCGGTAATCTTCCGCTGCTCGTCGGTGGCATCTTTCTCTTCGACGATGCCAACGAATTGACGCTGATCGTCGCGAACAACACGGCCCAGGCCGAAGGGATTATCTTTGTAGCCCGTGCCCAGAATGCAGGCCGGGCGTTCTTTGTTGAATTCTTCCAGCAGAGCCGCAATCGAGGTGCTTTGCATCATGGGCGAGTCGCCCGCCACGACGAACACTGCTCCGTCGTGATCGGCCAGTTTATCGCGGCACATCATCACGGCGTGACCGGTGCCCAACTGCTCTTCTTGGAGGCAGAAGACTAACTCAGGGCGGTGGGAGAGTGTTTCTTTCACCAAGTCGGCCTTGTAGCCCACCACCACCAGAATCTGATCGATGCCGCCTTCCTTCAGGGCATCGAGCGTGTATTCGATCATGGGGCGGCCTTCGACTTCGACCAGCACCTTCGGCAGTTCCGATTTCATCCGGGTGCCTTTGCCGGCCGCCATCACCACCGCAACACTTTTACTCATTGTGCCTTATCCCGATTGGTCGATAAGCATCCCAGACTCCGCTGGATGCCCGAATGAATACCCCCCGCGAGAAACAGAGGTTCCATCTTGCCACGAATCGAGGGCCGCTTCCAGTGTCGGCAACCAGTCTTCGTGGTGGGAGTTCACCATGCGTGCTAGTCTGACCTATACACCCGATAACACAGGCACAAAAGGACGATCGACGCCATGATCCGCACGCTGCTAGCCCTGGGGCTGCCACTGATCGTCACCATTTCGCCAACACTCCAGGCGGCCGAAACCGTGCTGCCAACCACCTACGAGCTGTCGATCAACGGTGAAGTATTTCAGGTGGAACTGGGCAAGCCGACCACGGTGAAAAGCCAGGATCAGACCGGGGTGGAGTACAAACTCTCCCTTGGCGTGGCCCCCGAGCAGTCGATCCGGCTCGAAACAGTGCAGTTCGACTACGCCCGAACCTGCCGCGCCCAAGAAACCCGCGGGCAAGGCGCGCCGACCGCAACGCTGAGCAACGATCTGGGCTTCACCATGATCATCACCGATCTCGGCGGAATGATCGACACGGCCGATCGCAGCCCTGTCATGAAGCTATTGGTCGAACGAATGGTCCGGTCGTTCGTCCCCAACGCCGACGGAACCCCCGTGGTTTCCGAGGAGAAGAAAGTCTCGTTCGATGGCCTCGCGGGCAACGTCGTCTCGATCCAATACCGCGACAAAGATGGCTACGATCGCACCTGCGTGGTCTATCTCCTGGCCGACGACACCCACGCCTGTTCCTGCATCGTGCAATACCTCAACGAAAACGCGGTTGCCATCGCTCCGGTGGTGCAGCAGACGTTGGATTCAATTAGGCCTGTGAACACAAGCCCGCGGCAAGACGCGGTCACACCTGGAGAGCCCAAACCGTAAGCGGGGCGCTTCTTCTACCTTTCACTCTTCCTGCTGGCCGTTGCTCTGCTTGGCTTTGTACCGCTGAATCTGGGCTTCTAGTTCGGCTCGCTTGATGTGGTGTTCGCGGTTGAGGTGATTGATGTATGAACGCGAGTGCGTCAGGTCGGCCAGGGCTAACACTGCAATCCACAGCGTGGATACGATTACTACCAGCCAGTAGAACGCAAACGCCAGCGGCCATCGCTGCCAGGGGATGATCATCCCGGCGGCGATGGCGATGCCCAACAGACCAATCATCGCGCTGGCTTGAATCCGCCGGCGGAGTTGCCGCCGATGAAAGGCGTCCAGCTCGGCGTCTTCAGAATCCTGCCCCAGCCCACGCCATTTCTTGATATGCAGGGCCAGAAGAATCGCAGACAGGGCACACAGCACCAGTGGGAACAGAAACGCCAGGGGCTGTTGCAAAGTCTTGCCTCTCCTGAGTTGCCCTGCGCCCGCTGGTCTAACGCGTCGTGGAGAGCCACTCGCTGATGACCCAACCGACCTTTGCCAGGCTCTGCGGCGAGCATTTATCCGGCGTGTCGGCCGTGGTGTGCCAGTACGGATAGTCGAAGTCGATAATGTCGCAACTGGGGATGCCGGCCGTGTTGTGCAGCGGCAGGTGGTCGTCGCGAATGCGGTGTTTCGCACGGGGGATGAACTCGGTCACGCCCAGCCGCTGTGCGGTGGACCATATCTCTTCGACCATCGGTCGCGAATCTCGCCAAGCCATGGTGTTGCGTTCAAAGAATATTTGCAGATCGGCATCTCCGATCATGTCCAGCAGCACCGCCCAACGATATTCGAAATCGCGTGGGGCTGCCCGATAGTCGCGCGAGAAGTATTCCGACCCCAGGAAGTAGCGGTCTTCCTCGTTGAACACGAACTCTTCCGCATCGAAGAACACGAAGTCAACGCCTAAGGTCGTCTGCAACTGGGGCATCATGTTGCCCAATTCCATCAGTACCGCCACCCCACTGGCACCATCGTTGGCGCCCACGAATACCCCGCGAGGTTGTTTCTGGTCGCGATCGGGATATGGCCGTGTGTCGTAATGCGCGGCCAGCAGCACGCGCTCTTTTCTTTCGGGATGCCAACGCACGATGAGGTTTGTCAGTTGCACCGGCGACCCATCGATCGGATGCCGAATCCGCCAGGTTTGCTGTTCGACCTCGGCCCCCAGCTTCTCGAAATGTTTGATCAGCAACTGCTGTTGTTTCTGCATGCCAGGCGAACCGCTGTAGCGTCGGCCAATCGCGCAGATTTGTTCGAGATAGCCGTAGGCACGTTCGCCGTTGAAGGGGATTTCTTGCAGCGTGAGATTCGAAGGGCGTTCTGCCGGCCGGGCGTCTTCACCACCGATGGCGAACATCAACCCCGCAGCAATGCACCCCGCCACAACCAGGCCTGAAGCCAAGATAATGATGCGGTTCATCGAGCGTTTCTGCATCGTTTGTTCCGGACGAGGTGCCATAGCTGAATTGTACGCCTGTGCTGCCGAACGCCCAACCTGCGGCTGTCGCGTGTCGACCGTATCATCACGCGAAATCGTTTGAGTGCCGCTCAATTCGCTCTTTGTGATTTCAACCGGCATGGCGTGTCCGTAATGGAAACATGGGGCTAAGGGTCGCATCGAGCGCCGCCCAAACCCGCTCGGGCGTGATCTCATCACGACAGTGCATCGTGGGGCAGGTCTTCAAATAGCTGGCCGCGCACGACACGCAGGTGGCGACAATCCGATGCCCCGTACCGTGAGGCCCGGCTCGAAGAGGACTCGTGCAGGTGAACACGGCCACCGTCGGTGTGCCCATCGAGGCGGCCAGGTGCATGGGGCCAGTGTCGCCCGAGAGGAATACGTCTGCCGTCCCTGAGACGGCGGCCAGGCGAAGCAGGCTCGTCCGGCCAGCTACGTTGATCATGGGAGTCGAAGGACCACCGCGTGATAGAGCGTTCAGTTCTCGTTCGAACTCGCCACACAGTTCGACCTCATCGGGTCCGCCGAGGATGATCTTTCCGCCGCCGTATTGTTCATACGCCCGTCGGGCCACCTGGGCGAAGCGTTCACCCCCCCAGCGCTTCGTTTCCCACTGGGCCCCCGGGTGGATTGCCAGCCAGGGCCGGGGAAGGTCGTTCAACTGCTCGCGGGCCCAACTCCAATCGTCGGTCGACGGCTTGGGGCACAGCGACGGTGGATCGCCTTCACAGCCGAGAGCTTGGGCCAGCATCCAGTAACGGGCCACCGCCGGCATGTCTCGGGGTACGTCGACTGCGTGGGTGTAGGCTTTGGCCGCTCCCTCGCGGGCATTGCTCATGCCCAATCGCGTGGCAGCCCCGGTGGCCCAGGTCATCAACCCGCTACGGAGCAAGCCTTGCAGGTCGATCACTAGGTCGAAGCGATTTGCTCGCAATTCGCGCCACAGCCGCAGGAGCGATCCGGCCCGTTTCGCTGTGGGTAAGTGGCGATCGAACGGGATCGTGGCGTCCAGCTCCTCGACGCTCTCCAACAGAGGGCTTAACGGGCGATTCACCACCCAGGTGAAGTGAGCCTCTGGCCAGCGGGCACGGAGCCCCGCCAGGGTGGGAAGCGTCTGGACCACATCGCCCAGGGCACTGGGTTTGATCAGGCAGATCCGTTGCGGCTGGAGTCGATCGAGCGGTTGTGATGGTTTTTTGGACATGGCGACCGGTTTTCGGGACAGGTTGAGCGCGTGTATAGTAATGCGATGGGGGAAACGCGGAAACACGAGCCCCCAGGCCCTCGAACTTCTTCCCTCCCCGATTGCGAGCAACTCTCATGATGCGACGTTTCTCAGGTGTTTTTCTCGTTTTTGCGGTCCTCCTCTGCTACCACGCGACGCTAGCACAGGGCCAAGCCACGGCAACATCCGAGGACGTAATCACGGGCGAGGTTGAGTACGAAGTTCCTGAGAACGAAGACATCGTGCCCGAGCACTTCCACCTCGACGCTCACACGTTCCCCTACGAGCAAACGCCCGTCGAAACCGTCTCCGAGCAAATCAACATCTACGAGGTGACGTTCCCCTCGCCGGTCGAGACCGACTACGAAAACAACAACACCGTCCACTGCGAGTACTTCCAGCCCAAGGGCGAAGGCCCGTTCCCCGGAGTGGTCGTGCTGCACATTCTCGGGGGCGACTTCGATCTCTCGCGACTGATGTGCCGGCAGTTCTCCTACAACGGCATCGCCTCGCTGTTCGTCAAATTGCCCTACTACGGTCCCCGTGGAACCTCGGGCGTTGACCGTGAGATGATCTCAGCCGATCCCGCGGAAACGGTCGAAGGCATGACGCAGGGCGTGCTCGACATTCGCCGTGCAGCCGCCTGGTTGGGCTCGCAGCCGGAAGTTGACGCCGATCAGCTCGGCATCACCGGCATCAGCCTGGGTGGCATCACCAGTGCTTTGGCCTCCGCGGCCGAACCCCGCTTCAAGAAGGTGGGTCTATTGCTGGCCGGCGGCGACTTGGGCCAAATTGGCTTCGAGGCCGAAGAGTTCGCCGAGATCGCCAAGGGCTGGATCGAGAAGGGTGGAAGTCAGGAAGAATTGATCGAACTGGTCAAACCGGTTGATCCCGTCACCTATGCCGAAAATGTTCGCGGGCGTAAGATTATCATGTTCAACGCCCTCAGCGACGAGCTGATTCCCAAGGCCTGCACCGAGTCGCTGTGGAAAGCGTTGGGCGAGCCCGAAATCGTGTGGTGGGCCGGCGGACATTACACCGCAGGACGCTTCATCTTCGACGGCTTGGGCCGTTTGGTCGTGTTCTTCCAGCCCGACGAAAGCGACTCCGCAGAATCGGAAGAACAACCCGCCGCCGAAGAGTCCAGCAGCGAAGAGCCAGAAACCGAAGAATCTTCGAGCGAAGAACCCGAAGCTGAGCCAGCCACCGCTGGTGCCCCGTAATCGGGACGGTAAGCAGTCAAGCAGTCCTCACCGAGGGTGCCACCGCTGGCTTGTCCAGCGGTGCTGCGTTTAGGGCCGGGATAACGGGCCAAGAGACAGCAACGACGGGGCCAAACACTTTCAACGGTAGGCCCTCGGCTTGATTCGCATCCGACGAAGAACCATCAGGCAGCTTAGGTAAGTGTCATGATCAATCAGCTGCCAATCCTCGACATCGCGCAGACCAAAGAGACGGGAGCGGTTCAACTTCCCCCGGTAGCGACAGACCCGCTCCCGATGTCGCGCGAGGAGATGCTCGAGCGCGGCTGGGACGAGGTCGATATCGTCTTCGTCACCGGCGACGCTTACGTCGATCATCCCAGTTTTGCCATGGCTCTGCTGGGGCGGTTGCTCGAAAGCGAGGGCTTTCGAGTTGGCATTCTTAGCCAGCCCGATTGGAAGTCGTGCGACGCGTGGCGCACCTTCGGGCGACCCCGACTGATGTTCGCCATCAGTGCGGGCAACATGGACTCGATGATCAACCACTACACGGCGAACCGAAAGGTCCGCAACGACGACGCTTATAGCCCCGGCGGGCAAATCAATCGCCGCCCCGACCGTGCCACACTGGCCTATTGCCAGCGCGCGCGTGAAGCCTACAAGGGCGTGCCCGTCATTGCCGGTGGCGTCGAAGCCAGCCTCCGCCGCATCGCCCACTACGACTACTGGAGCGACAAGCTCAAGCGTTCCATTCTGTTGGATTGCAAAGCCGATCTCCTCGTGTTCGGCATGGGCGAACGCCCCATCATTGAAATCACCCACGCACTGAAAGAAGGGAAGACACCCCGCGACCTCCGTCACCTTCGCGGTGTGGCCTACCGTTTGGGTGCCAGCGAAGAGCCACCGACAGAAAACGTCGTCGAGCTACCCAGCTTTGAAGCGGTACAAGCCGACAAGCGTGAGTTCGCCCGCATGACGAAGCTGGCCCACCTGGAAACCAACCCCCACAACGCCCATCAGCTTGTGCAGCGTTTCGATCGCGAAGCCGTGGTGGTGAACCCCGCCTCGTACCCGCTGAAGCAACCAGAGATGGATCGCGTTTACGGGCTTCCTTTCACTCGCCGCCCTCACCCCAGCTACGGCAAGCAAACCATTCCCGCGTTCGAAGTGGTGAAGCACTCGGTGCAGATCATGCGAGGTTGCTTCGGCGGTTGCACATTCTGCTCGATCACGGCTCATGAGGGGCGAATCATTCAAAGCCGCTCGCAAGATTCGGTCCTCGGCGAAATCAAACGCATGACCGAAGACCCCGACTTCAAAGGCGTGATCAGCGATATCGGTGGCCCCACGGCCAACATGTACGAAATGCGCTGCACCCGCCCCGAGGTCGAGGCCGTCTGTCGCCGGCAGAGCTGCGTGCATCCAACGGTGTGCAAACTGTTGGGCACCGATCATGGCCCCCTGATCGAACTCATGCGAAAGGCTCGCGACGAACCCGGCGTACGCAAAGTGCTCATCGCCTCGGGGATTCGCATGGATCTTGCGCATCGCAGCCCCGAGTACATGCAAGAGCTGACCGAGCATCACGTCGGTGGGCACTTGAAGGTGGCCCCCGAGCACGTCGACCCCAAGGTGCTCGAACTGATGAAGAAGCCCGGGAAGCAGGACTTCATCGAGTTCGGTCGCGAGTTCCGCGAGGCCTCGGAGAAGGCCGGCAAGAAGCAATATCTGGTGCCCTACTTCATCGCCAGCCATCCCGGCAGCGACTTGAACGCCATGATCGATCTGGCCGTGTTCCTGAAACAAAACGGTTACAAGCCCGACCAGGTGCAGGACTTCATCCCCAGTCCCTTCGATGTGGCCGCCTGCATGTACTACACGGGCCTCGATCCGATGACGATGAAGCCGGTCCACATCGCTCGTCACCTCCGCGACCGCAAGCTGCAACGGGCACTGCTACAGTTCTTCAAGCCCGAGAACTACTTCGAAGTACGCCGTGCCCTCCAACAAGCCGGCCGACAAGACCTCATTGGCGAAGGCTGCGATTGTTTGATTCCCTCGCGAGCCCCCAAAGAAGCTTTGCGTGAGAACCGCAAGCGCCCCTCGGGCCAAAAGCAAGCTGGCGGCGCGAAGGGAAAACGCCCGGGGAAGAAGCAATCGGGCTATCGCCCGGGCCGAAAAACGGCACGTCGCCGCGACTAGCGACAAAATGCCGCAGTCTATTCGGCCGGTTTTGGGCGATCTCCACCTGAACAGTTTCTTTTCAGCAGCTATATTGTTGGGTCTGGATTCACTAGAAACCCGCCCTCGGGTGCTCCGAAAAATCTGCTTCTGGCCAAGGAAACACGAAGATGAGCGACACCGATAAACAGCTTCCCGATAACTACGCCGCCCAGGCATTGAAGGAAGGCCTGTTCGCCGTTCTTGTGGCGGTGATGTGCTACGGCGGTATCCTGCTGCTGTGCTACGGTGGCATTCAATTGCTCAAGGGTGCGTTCTCGTCGTAGACGGTTTAGCTACCACGCTCTCGGTTTTCTTGCTGCGCTCTCTTCGGACAGTTGTGCGTGGCAATTTTTTCTTTGCGTACGTGCCGCAGGGAAGATATCGTCTGTCATTCTGAGCACCGGCTCCCCGTCATCATCGAACTACGGAGACCGCGACGAACCGTATTTTTGTGCTACGTCGACACTCTATCTAAGTATCTTCGGTCCCTTACAGTCGCACGCGGCTACGTTGCAATACGCAGGGCTGATCTTCTTCATGGGCATCGCCAAGCGACGCTCGTCTTAACTCGCAACCAAAGCCTAAGCTCGGGAAGGTTCACCTAGTGCCCACGGGATTTCAGCATCGCAGCTATCACGATGACGACGGAGTCGAACATGGCTACTCGGTTTTCATTCCCGAAGCCTACAACTCGGCCACCCGTTGGCCAGCCATCTTCTTCATGCACGGCGCCGGCGAGCGGGGCACCAACAATCGCTCGCAACTAGAAGTCGGTCTGGCCCCCGTGGTCCGGCGGCAGGCCGAATCGTTTCCCGCGATCGTTTTCTTCCCGCAGGCTCGGCTCGATTGGTCGAAAGACCGTGCTGACTTGAATCGCGCGGTTGCCGAGTTCGCTCGGGTCGAACAAGAGTTCAGCATCGATCCCGATCGAGTCTACGTCACTGGCATCTCCATGGGAGGACACGGAACATGGGGCGCGGTGCACTTGTGCCCCGGGAGATTCGCGGCCGCCGTGCCTATCTGCGGCTTCTTCGATCGAGACATCGAACCCATGCTCAAGCTCCCCATGTGGTTCTTCCACGGGGCCGACGATTCGGTGGTACCCGTGCATCATTCCCGTGACGCGGTCGCGGCCCTCCGCTCAGCCGGCGCGGTGGTGCGGTACACCGAATATCATGAAGTCGATCATGACAGTTGGGTGCGGGCCTATGATGCGCCGGAGCTGTTTGAGTGGATGTTCAAGCAGCGCCGGGGTGGATAGACTTCACGATTCCACAGGACCGCTATCGATGTATACACGAGTAGCATTCTTTTCCGGCACGGCAGTCTTCTGCCTTGGCTCTCTAGCGTTCCTTGCCTTTTACGTACTCCATGGGGCAAGTATCTCGGAAGCTCTCGCGGTCTTGAGCAGCTTCGGATTCGATGACTCGGGGCTTCAAATCGATCCGCGACACACACTGATTCTCAAGGGGCTACTTCTTGCTGCAGGCTTTGGGTTCTTTGCTGCCTTCTTGGTAAGCCTGTGGTTCGTATGCACGCGGATAGGCTTCCTGATCCTTGCAGTTGTGAGAAGCTTGGCGTCTAAATAGCAATCCCTAGAGAATCAATTCGCCCGACGATCAACCAACACCACCCGCAGATCGCAAACGTTCGTATGCGTGGGACCCGTCTTCATGAGCCCTTCTAGCGGCTCGAAGAAGTGGTAGGCATCGTTCGATTGCAGAAAGGTCTTCGGGTCGAGACCTTGTTCTTGCATGCTGCGGATGGTTTGCTGTCCGCAGATGATGGCCCCCGCCGCATCGGTCGGCCCGTCTTCACCGTCGGTGCCACCGGAGAGCAACGCGATTCCGTCGAGTGCCTGCAACGCTTCGGGCGAAGCGGCATCGCTCACACCGGCCGTTTCTAATAGCCGCAACAGGGCTGCAAGCACCAACTGCTGATTCCGCCCGCCGAGCCCTCGCTTTGCGGCATCAACCAGCCGCACCACCGGTTCTCCTCCGCTGATGGTGCAGTCGGGGCCCGCGTTGTCGTACATGTTGCGGGCTTGATCGGCAAGCTGCCGGCCGAGTTCTTCGGCTTCGCCCTCGGGCCCGTTGGCCGACGACATCACATAGGCGTAGCCCAATCGCACGGCCTCCACGCCTGCGGCGTCGACCGCACGGGCGTTATTGCCAATGATCGAGGTAGTGAGCTGTGCGGTGATGGGAGTGTTCACCGGATGATCCTCTCCAGCGGCCGCCCTCTGCTGCAGGCTCTCCAACACACTGCCCGGGATATCGCTTCGTTGTTGTGAGAATCGCTCTAGGATCTCGAGCGCCTGCTGCGGTGTCGATGTGTCTTCCACCGTGGGGCCCGAACCGATGATGTCCAGCCGATCGCCAAGCACATCGGAAATGACCAGCGTAATCAGCCGCCCGGCCCGACAGGCACGCGCGAGCCCGCCCCCTTTAATGCGGCTGAGCTGCTTGCGGACAGTGTTCAGTTCCTCGATGTTTGCCCCTCGCGAACTAAGCAGTCGCGTGACCTGCTGCTTGTCTTCCAGCGTAATGCCCGCCGCAGGGGCCGGCAGCAAGGCGGAGGCCCCACCGGAAAGCAGACAGATGCAAAGGTCGTTCGCCGCGAGCCCCTCGACCATCTCCAGAATTCGTTGGGCGCCAGCCACACCCTCGGCGGTCGGCTCGTTCACCCCAGCCGGGCGACCGGGATGTAGCGTGATGGTGTTGAGCGCTTTTACACAGTCGGCCGGAACGTTAATCCAGCCGGTGACTTGCTTTTCGGCCAGCAGTTGGGCCCCCAGGGCCTCTTCAAACCCGGCGGCCATCCCAGCGCCAGCTTTCCCTGCGCCCACCACCACGATGCGGCCGACTTCATCGAGATCGACCACTTCGTCGGCCAGCAACAATTGCCGACCTTCGAGTTGCACTGCCTCGCGGATCAAACGGTCGGAGCGAACCGCGTCCACGCCGGCTTGCCAGATGCTGAGGGCGTCTTGGCGGAGTTGTTCTTCAGTGCGGCGAGGCGGGGAGGCGTTCATGGCGTGTTCATCCCCGTTTGGCGAGGACCCCGTTGACGACCAGGGCGACCATCAGCACCACGCCCATCACAAACGGCCGCAGCAGGTCGGGCACCCAGGAGATTTGATTCAGCCCGACGGCCAACACACTGAAGGTTAACACCCCGATCGCGGTTTTGGCCATGCTGCCTTCGCCACCGAACAGGCTGGTGCCTCCCAGCACCACGCAAGCCACCGCTTCGAGCAACAGGGCTGCGTTTTGATCCTGGCTCACATTGGCCAACTTGCCGGCCACGATCAGCCCGCCCAGGCCGGCGGTGAGCGCCGAGATGCCCAGACACACTACAATCACCATGCCGGTCTGCACGCCGGCCAATCGGGCGGCTTCGCGATTTCCCCCCGTCATGAACACGTAGCGGCCAAACCGAGTATGCTCCAGCACGATGTGCCCAATTAGGAAGACTCCCAAAGCCACCAGCGCACTGTAGGGCAACTCACGCACTTCGGTGATGGGGATGCCCCGGTTGCCGACCACTTCCAGCACTTCCGGCACATTCAGCGCGGCACTCTGCGTGATGTGCGCCGCCAGCCCGTCGGCGATGTTCATCATGGCCAGCGTGATGATAAAGCTCGGCAGCGCCGCCCAAACCGTAAGACATCCCGAGATCAACCCAAGCAGCAAACACGATAACAGCGGTAGCGCAATGATCAGGAAGATCCACCCCGCCCCGGCGGCGTCGACCCCCAGCGGTTCAAACAGCACCGTATCGCCCCGCGTCCAACCATCGAGCACCAGGGCGTGATACAGCCACCCACAGAAGCTGGCGGCCCACAGGGCGACCATGCCGACGGAGAGATCAATCTCGCCACACAGCAGAACAAATGTCAGCCCGACTGCCACGATGCCCAGAATGGCCCCTTGCCGGAGGACCTGTACGAACGTGGCGACACTGAAGAAATCGCCGCCGGTGGCGACCGTGAAGAAGATTAGCAGGATCACCAGGCTCACAAACGGAGCAATGTCGCGAGGAGTCCATCGCGATCGGGAAAGCGTCAATTCTTGCTGCGACAACGAACTGCTACTCCTGCTTGGCAACCGCGGGCATTTGAAAGTTTAGGCGTACTGTAACAACGTCGACTTATCTAACTGCGTGTCGGCGAACTCGTGCGTGAGCTTTCCACGACGCATGACGAGGATACGGTCGGCCTCACGCAACAGCAACTCCGGCTCGATCGAGGCCAACACCACGGCCACACCCTGCGAGCGAAGATCGGCCACGATCTTGAGGATCTCGTCTTTGGCGTGCACATCCATCCCACGGGTCGGTTCTTCGAGTATCAACACCCGAATCGGCCCTAGCAGCCACTTGGCCAGTACGACCTTCTGCTGATTCCCGCCGGAAAGATTCCCTACGGCCAATCGCGGATCGGGTGGGCGACAACCGACGCGCTTCAAAAGCGGTTCGGTGGTTCGCAGTTCGGCCCTCCGCGTTAGCCATCCTCCGACGGCGCTGCGAAGGTGGGCCAGCGTAGCGTTCTTATAGATTTCCGCCCGATGATAAAGCGACTGCGCCCGATCGGCGGCCACCAGCACCACGTTGTGTTTTACGGCGTTCGAAGTGCTACCCGATTTCAACGTCACTCCGTCGACCGCGACCGTGCCCGCGCTGGGGTGCAAAGCCCCGGCCACCGCATGAACGAGTTCTTGATGCCCCGCCCCCACGAACCCGTACAGGCCCACGCACTCTCCCGGCAGCACATCGAAGCTCACATCACTGAAGTGCCCCGGTAGCGAAAGCCCCGCCACGCGAAGCACCGGGGTCTCATCGCGACGCGGCGGCAACATGGCTCCCGTTTCGTAGCCGGCTTCGGCCGTATCCAGTGCATGCCCCAACATTGTGTGGATGACCGTGTGCTTATCGACCTCGTCGACCGACTTCGTTTCCACCCGTTGACCATCGCGGAGCACCGTAACGCGATCGCAGATCTGCAGCACATCTTCGATGAAGTGGCTAATGAAGATCACGGCCACCCCGCGACCGCTCAACTCGGCGATCATCTCGAACAGCCGTTGCGTCTCCGGCGGGCTCAATGCACTGGTGGGCTCGTCGAGAATCAGCACTCGGGCCCCGCTGTGTAACCCCCGGGCGATTTCGACCATCTGCCGAATTACCAAGGGGTAGCTGTCCAAGCGGCGGCGGACATCGATATCGATGCCCAGCTCTTTCAAATACTGCTGGGCTTTCGTCCGCATCATCTTCCAATCGATGCGTTGCATTCGGGTGACCGGCTGGCGACCGAGGAACAGATTCTCGGCCACCGACAAGCTGTCGATGCCTGAGAGTTCCTGATAGACCATAGCGATGCCTTGCGACATAGCCGCCTGAGGCGAACTGAGTTGCACCTCGTGCCCGTCGACTAACACTTCGCCTTCGTAGTCGGGCAGGGCTCCGGCCAAGATCCGCATCAACGTGCTCTTGCCGGCCCCATTACTACCGACCAGTCCGTGCACTTCCCCGGCGGCGAGGGAAAAATCGACATCGCTTAGCGCCACTTCCCCGCCAAACCGCTTGCTAATGCCACGGCATTCGAGCACCGCGGTCGCGGCCGGAGGATTCGGAGAACTGGCGGTCGTGGACACGTGGGGCTTATACCAGGCAGTGACGCGGATCGGCGAGGAAGAACATCGCGTCGATATTGTTCGTATCGAGCGAGACCAAAGGACCGGGAGTGATAATCTCCTTAGGCATGTTCTCAAGCTTCTCGTCGTTGCGACAAATGAACTGCCCGATCTCGAGCGCCATCTTGTGGATCAGGCACACAGGGTTCACCGTGGTGGCAGCCAGTTGCCCGTCTCGCACGGCGGCCAACCCTTCCTTCTGGCCATCGACTGCGGTGATGATCATGTTCTCGTGCGGCGTTCCACGCAACGCCGGAACGCAGGCCAACGCCATGTCGTCGCTGTGGAAGAACGCCCCGGCGATTGGGTCGGAGTTTTGGTTTAACAGGGCTTCGAAGGTATTTCGCGCTTTGGCTTTCTCCCAGTCGCACCAGCGAACCCCGCCGCCGAGCACTTCGACCTCGGGGTATTCGGCCAACACGTTTTCAAATCCCTGGCGTCGTCCGCGGGCGCCACTGTGGGCGTCTTTTCCGCCAATGTGAATGACCTTACCTTTGCCGCCGATCTTGTCCATTAAGTAACGAGTGCTCGTCTCGCCCATGTAGACCTGATCGGGCTGCACCTGAACCCACACCCCCGACTCCTGCTGTTTGGCCGGATCGACCAGGTGAGTGTCCATCGAGATGACCGGGATGCCTCGCTTGTTCAGCATCCGCACCGGTTCGGCCAGTGAGTCGATCTGCACGGCCTGAAAACAGCAGAAGTCCCAATCGTCGTCGACGATCAGATCGATCTTCTCCCGCTGCTTCTGCGAGTCGAACTCGCCATCGAACCAGACGACCTCAACCCCTAGCAGCTTGCCCCACAGTTCGGCCGTGTCTTTACCGAGTTTGCACCAGGTGCTCTGCAGTCCGGCGTTCGAGAAGGCTGCTCTCAGCGGTCGTTGGCCGTCGGCGCTGGCGGTCACTTGCGGTTCTGATGAAGAACATCCTCCCAGTGCCGCACCGAAACCCATCGCGGTGCCGGTGGTCGCCCATCGCAAGACGTCGCGGCGATGAGGAACGTTGGTCGATTGCTTGGTCATTGATTTCTCTCTACTGAAAGCGCGGGAACGAATCCCCAGCGGCTTTGCACCTACCGAAAGCGGTTGAACCCACCACACGCCGGACTCGGCGCGAACTTCAAACCCTTATCGTAGGCCGTGTTGAGGGCGCGAAGCAAGTCTTGCGCTTGCTGAAAAAACGAAAACGTACGGCCCGCTATTTCGCAGGGCGGTCTTCAGCTTTCACGCTGGAGATGGCCGTGAGAAATGCGTCCATCGATGGGCAACGCTTCGCGGGATCACGGCGCAAACAACTGGCGATCGCCTTCGCCAGGCGGGGATCGATCTGAGGGCGGTACTTAGTAATGTCGGTGTGTTGATGCATGGCATGTGTCATCGCGGCCCGACCGTCGCTGCCGCGTTCCCACGGTAATTCGAACGTGAGAATCTCGTAGGCGGTTACCCCAAAGGCGAAGACATCGAGCCGCTGATCGGTCTTCTGCCGCTTGACCAACTCGGGGGCCATGTAGTTCGGCGTGCCCGTGCGATTGCCCGGCATCATGAATGGCGGTGTGGCCGGCACGGTGAGCCCGAAGTCGATGAGCTTCAGTGTGTCGAGTTCGGCCGTCGTGCACATCAAGTTGCGAGGGCACACATCGCGATGGATATACCCGGCCGTGTGTACCGCCTGCAGAGCTTTTGCGGTCTGCCGGATGAGTGATAGCCGCTTGCCATCAAGGCTCTTGCTACGACCGATGATCAGCGAGTTCAAACCCGGGCCTTCGAGAAACTCCATCACCAGGTACTGTTGCCCCGAGGGCGTCTTGCCGTGCTCGTACGTCTTGACGATGTTCGGGTGATCCATCGCCATGGCGATTTCGCCTTCGACCGGTTTCTTCAGCCCTTTGAAACGAGACTCGAAGAACTCAGTCTTCTTGGCATCGAGAATTTTCAGCGCCACGATTTGACCGGTCTTGCGGTCACGGGCCATGTAGAACTCCGACATGGTGCCGGAGATCGCCTCGCGTATGAATTCAAAGCGGCTGTGCACGTCCGACTTGCCGCCGCTGAGCATCGTTTTGAAGCTATCGAGTAGCCCCATCGCGGGCACCTTCTGAGACAATCACCATCGAACGACGGTGAACGGCCTGTTTCCATTCCCGAAGCAGAAGCGGGCAAGCCAGCAGGCTTCACACAACATCCACCACCGATTTACTTTAGCGCCGAGCGAGTCTGCATGCAAGCAAAGGATCGTATCTCCAGGCACTGTCAACTCTCCCGATAATCAGGCGAAATCGAATCTAGTTGCACACCCTTCGGGAGACACAAAATGGGAAATATGGTTATTCGTACCCAACCGCGAAGCGGTTCAACAACAAAGCCCAGGGTCAGCGGTGAAACCGCGCCACCCTGGGAAGTCTGATCAGGCGAATCACGCGAACCCTGAAAGGGTTCCACGTCCCATGGTGCTCCCGGTGCAACCCTTTCAGGGTTGGCGTTTGGACCGTGGTACACAACCCAGGGTGGCGCTCCGCAGCTTCGCCGCTCCGCTGACCCTGGGCTACATTGTTGGACCCCGTTGGGGTCACGAGTCTGCTTTGGCTGCTGCGAGCTTGCCTTTTTTCCGGGATGCATACGACTTTCCCGGATGTGCATGACCTCAATATGCCTAACTTACGGCTCAACCTACTCGTCAGATTGTGGTCGATCTGGACCATGATACAATTTGCTAGATGTGATAGCAGATCGACCTGTTAATCACATTCAGCTCTTAGATTCCGCAATCAGGCGGAGGGAGGAAAAGGAGTTCCATGTCTGCGACCCGGCCGTTTGTGCATCTTCATTGCCATAGCCATTACAGTCTTCTCGACGGTGCCAGCCCCATCGACAAGCTCGTCAATCGAGCGGCCGAATTGGGCATGAACTCGCTGGCCCTGACCGATCACGGCAACTTGCACGGTGCCCTGGAGTTCTATCAAAAGGCCCAAGCCGCAGGCGTGAACCCCATCATCGGCTACGAAGCCTACGTCGCGCCGAAAAGCCGCAAGATCAAGACGGCCGACGGCAATCAGGAGGGCACCTATCACCTCACGCTGCTGGCCCAAAACAAAACGGGCTTCAAAAACCTGCTTCGCATGGCTTCTTCGGCCTATCTCGAAGGGTTCTACCGCAAGCCCCGCATCGATCGCGAACTGATCGAAGCCCACAACGAGGGCATCATCTGCCTCAGCGGTTGCGTCTCCGGCGAGTTCAGTCGAGCCATCCTCCGCGGCAATGGCAGTCCAGAGCTGGATCTCAATCAAGCGATGGACGTTGCCCGCTGGTTCCACGAGCTATTTGGCGACCGGTACTTCATCGAGATCCAGAACAACAACCTCGATATCCAGCAGCAGGCCATGGAAGGGGCCGTCGATGTGGCCAAAAAGCTAGGGCTGCCGTTGGTGGCCACCAGCGACGCGCACTATGTGAATCGCGAGGATGCCGAAGCCCAAGACGTGCTGCTGTGCATCAACACCGGCAAGTTCCGCACCGACACCAACCGCATGCGGATGGACGGCGACGAGTTCTTTCTCCGCGGACCTGAGGAGATGTACGAATCGTTCCCGGGGCTCGAAGAGGCTGTCAAACAAAGCCAACTCATTGCCGACACCGTCGATATCCAACTCGACCTGGGCCAGCGACACTTCCCGGTGTTCACCCCGCCCGAGGGCGAACAGTCGTCCGATTATCTCCGCCGGCTGTGCCTCGAAGGCTTGCGAGAACGCTATGCCGATCAGCCCGACCGTTGGGACGGGGAAGACCTTTCCGATGAGGTGATGCAACGCCTGGAACGTGAGCTGGGCGTGATCAACAAGCTCGGTTTCCCGAACTACTTCCTCATCGTGTGGGACTTCGTCCGTTTCGCCGACGAGCAGAACATCCCCACCACGGCCCGTGGATCGGGCGTGGGCTCGCTGGTGTCGTATGCCCTGCACTTCAGCCACGTCTGCCCGTTGCGCTACGACTTGCTGTTCGAGCGGTTCCTGGACGAAAGCCGCGAAGAAGCCCCTGATATCGATATCGACTTCTGCAAAGATCGCCGTGGCGAGGTGATCCAGTATGTAAAGGACAAATACGGCGACGAAAACGTAGCCCAGATCGGTACCTTCGGCACGCTGGCCGCCCGGGCTGCCATTCGCGATGTGGGTCGCGCCGTCGGGATGCCCATCTCCAAAGTCGATTCGATCGTGGCCATGGTGCCCGACAAACTGGGCATCAAACTCGAAGCGGCCATTAACGAAAGCGCCGACCTCAAACGGGTCTACGAGACCGAGCCCGAAGTCACCGAACTGCTCGACTTGGCCAAAAAAATCGAAGGCCTTGCCCGCAATGTCGGCACGCATGCCGCGGCAGTGGTGATCGGCGATCGCCCCTTGGTCGAGTACGTGCCACTGTGCCGAGTGCGGGACAAGGAAGAAACGATCACCCAGTGGTCGATGAACGACGTCGAACGCGCCGGCCTGCTGAAGATGGACTTCCTGGGGCTGCGGAACCTTACGATTCTGTCGAAGGCCGTGAACCTCATCGAGCAAACCACCGGCACGAAGGTCGACCCCTACAAGTTCCCGCTCGATGATGACGACACATTTGCCCTGCTGTGCCGCGGCGAGACCAAGGGCATCTTCCAGTTGGAAAGCGGCGGCATTCGCGACCTGCTGCAGAAGATGAAGCCCGACTGCTTCCACGACATCATCGCCACCAACGCCCTCTACCGGCCGGGCCCGTTGGAAGGCGGCATGGTCGACGACTACATCCAGGTGAAGCACGGCCGCAAACAGGCCACCTACAAACACCCGGTGATGGAGGAGATCCTCGAAGAAACCCACGGGGTGATGGTCTACCAAGAACAGGTGATGCGGATTCTCAACCGCTTGGGCGGCATTCGCCTGGCCGACGCCTACAAGTGCATTAAGGCCATCAGCAAGAAGAAGCTGCCGGTCATTGCGAAGTACAAAGAAGAGTTCCTTAACGGTGCCACCGAGCAGGGGCTCAGCAAGAAAGACGCCGACGAACTGTTCGGCATGATCGAAAAGTTCGCCGGCTACGGCTTCAATAAAAGCCACTCGACCGCCTACGCCCTGATCGCCTACATGACGGCCTATCTCAAGGCCCATTACCCGGTCGAATTCATGGCGGCCCTGCTTTCTGGCGACATCCCAGGGCGGAACTTCAAAAAGAAAGACTCCCTGGTCGAACATCTCGAAGACTGCAACCGCATGGCCATCGAGGTCGTTCCGCCCGACGTGAACACCTCGGGCGTTGACTTCACCGTGGCCGACGGCAAGATCCACTTCGGTCTTTCGGCGATCAAAGCCTGCGGCGGCCCCGCATCGTTGGCCATCGAAAGGGCCCGAGAGAAAGACGGCCCGTTCACCGACCTGTTCAACTTCTGCGAACGCGTCGATGCCAGCCAGTGCAACCGCTCGACCATCGAAACGCTGATCAAGGCCGGGGCGATGGACTCCTTCGGCGCCCGCCGTTCGCAACTCACCGCCGGGGTCGAACGGGCGATTCAAGCGGGGGCCTCGGTGCATGCCGACCGCCGGGCTGGTCAGAAGGGCCTCTTCGACGACATCGAAGATGACAGCGCGACCCAGGTCGCCGCCAATCTTCCGGACATCCCCGAGTGGGAAGAGCGGCAAAAGCTGGCCGCCGAGAAAGAAGTGTTGGGCTACTACCTCTCGGCCCATCCCTTGGATGAATACAAAGACGTACTCCAGACCTACGCCACCCACACCGCGCCCGAAGCCGCACCACTTCCCAACAAAACCGAAGTCGTGCTCGGTGGGATGCTCTCGGCCATCAAGTTCTCCAACACCAAGAACCCCCGGCCCGGCAGCAACGTCACCCGTTACGCCATGTTCGATCTGGAAGATGTCTCCGGGCCCATGCGCTGCATCCTCTGGCCCGAGGAGTTCAGCGAGTGCGGGCACCACGTGGTGCCCGACGCCATCCTCTTCGCCCGCGGCCAAATCGATAAACGCCCGGGCAGCGAAGAAGCCAACGTGGTGGTCAAAGAACTCATCCCATTGGAAGAGGCCGAACAACGTTTCACTCGGGGCATCATGATCCGCGTGTCCGAACCTGTGCACGGCATCGGGGCGCTCGACAATCTGCAAGAAATCCTCCGCGGATACCCCGGCAACTGTTCGGTCGACCTGGTGCTATGCCTCGACGATGGCGCGAAAGTGCGTTGCAGTTGTAAGGGGGTCAAAGTCGGGCCCAATGTCGAACTCCGCCGTCGGGTCGACGATCTCCTCGGCCCCGGCAACTTCCGCATGGTCGGTTCCGTCCCCCGCAAAAGCGCTAGCGGCAGCAATGGATCGCACCGTAACGGCTACCAGCGGAGTGGGGCGTAAGCGGCGACGCACTCCGGGGTACCACCGGCTCTCGATCCGATGCGGCACAGCCGCCAGAGGCCATCAGCTCGATCGGGCCCTCGCACGCTCGTTCCCCTGACATTCGACACAACCCACACACCCCATCCGCGGAAAACTCAGAGCGCAGACCTCACCTTGCGCTCTAACCCCGCCCGGCAGCCCGGCTTGCGGTTCGCGTTGCCGAACCAGAGCCGTCGCTGATTCCCTGCACGTCCACCCAATTCCCCGCCTGAATTTCTTGCCTTGCCCAAAGTGCCCAATTATCATCGAGACTGCTGTTAAACGTTCTCGTCTCAGCACTTTCGGTCTATCACTCAAACGCTCCCACCGCGATTATGGCAGGCCACCATCGTTGGTTTCCCGTCATGTGGTGGGGGCGTATCGGACAACTTCGCATTAGGAGAGGCCCTCGATGCGTGCGTTCACCCGCGTCAATTGGATTCCTGCACTTGTAGCGTTGGTCGTGGCCCTGGTGGCCGCCGAAGTGGCCCACGCCCAACAGTTGGCCGGCGTTTACGTCGACTCCGAGGGTGTGCTCCGCAAACGCGTCTTCGAAGACCCCAGCGGTCAGTTGATGCAGGAACGCATTCGCGCCTCGCGTGCGGAACTGGACGCCGACATTTCGAAGCCCAGTGCGATGCGAAAGATCTCGCTCAACCGGCTCGAAGCCGAACTGGCCCAACGCTTGGAAGAAGGTTTGCCGCCCACGTTCGAAATGCAATATCTGGCCGGCCTCACGCGGTTGAGTTATGTGTTTCTCTACCCTGAAACGGGCGACGTTGTCATTGCTGGCCCAGCCGAAGGTTGGACCACCGATCTCAGCGGTCGTGTCCGCGGGATGGAGTCGGGTCGCCCCGTGCTCGAACTACAAGACCTAGCCGTTGCCCTCCGGCTTTACGGACCCGGCAAGCAAGACAACCCGGTGATCGGCTGTTCGATCGATCCCACGCAGCAAGGTCTTGCTGAGATGCAAACCTTCCTGGCCGAAGCCTATCGTCGAGCCCAACCCACGCAGCAGTTCGCCGAGTATGTGGTCGATGGCCTGAAGAACAGCATGGGCCTGCAAACCGTTTCGGTGTTAGGTGTGCCCAGCGAATCGCACTTCGCCCACGTTCTGGTCGAGGCCGACTATCGCATGAAGCTCATCGGCATCGGTGTCGAGAAGCCGCCCGTGCGGATGGCCAGCTACGTCGATAAGGCCATTCCCGCCGAAGTCGCTCGCAACGCCCTGCAGCGGTGGTACTTCACCCCCGACTACGATTGCGTGCAAGTCACCAACGATGGGCTCGCCATGCACCTCGTAGGCGAAGGCGTGAAGCTCATCGGCGAAGATGAGTTCGTCGGCGGCGACGGCAGCCGTGCCCGCACCGACAGTACCGATCGGGCGAGCCAGATGTTCGTCACGGCCTTCACCAAGAAATACCCGGAATTGGCCGACAAATCGCCGGTTTACGCACAGCTTCGCAACCTCATCGACATGGCCATCGCCGCGGCCTACATCCAGCAAGAAGATTACTACGGCAAGGCCGGCTGGGAGATGAACACGCTCGGCGACGAGTCGGTCTACTCAGTGGAAACCTACGGGGCCCCCGCCCACGTCGAAACGGTGGTCACCTCCGTGTGGAAACGCGGCCAGCTCATGACCCCCGTCGGTGGCGGCGTCAACATTCAGGCCCACCTCGCGCTGGACTACGATCACGTCCAAGAAGACCCCGAAGGCGAAGTCGCCAAAGCCCGCGAAGCCACCACCCTCGACCTGGCCGACGGACAATGGTGGTGGGATTGATCTTCGCTGGAAGCGTTGTTCGTTCTTAGATCACGGCGAAGCGGTTTCACAACCATGCCCAGGGTAGGCTAAGCGGCACGGCCTCGCGGCGTCCTCCTGGGGAGTGAATGGAGTGAGTCCTTCGAACCCTGAATGGGTTTTGAAACTCATCTCACGCGTGCGCTTGCCGTCTGCGGTGGATGATCACCCCGGCCACACACAGTACCAGCACGGTGCTTAGCCCGGCGGCGGTGGTTACGGCCTCGGCGATGGTCCAGGCGCCCGCGTTGTAGTTGCGGATGTCGGTGCCTCCGCTGGCGGCCACGTCCTGGTCGGCGGGGGCGATGGCCATGGCGCCTAGCATCATTTCTTCCCAAGTCTGGTCGCCCCAGCGAACGGTGGCCGTGGGGTCGGGGTTGGCCAGGTTCTCGGCCGAGTTGTCGAAGTGTGCCACACAGTGCATCCGCGTGCCCTTGGGAATTGGCTTGGGTTCGACCAACTGGTAATAGGTTTGCCAGTTGAAGTCGAAGTTCGGGACGTCCAGCAAAATCTCACGATCGCCGTTGGGGTAGAACGCCTCGAAGCGGAACTCGCTCCCCCGCAGGTGCATGTGAGGGCTCATCGCGTACAGCAGCGAGTCCTCGTCGAACGTGTAGTCGGCCTCCACCCGATGGGCCTCATCCTGCGGCGGGATTTCGAACTCGGTGTTCGCCACCACCACCACCGAAAGCTGCTTCTTCACCTCCGCAGGGTCGGCGAACGACAGCGCAATCGAACTGCGGTCGGTCTGCACCGTGCCGTTGGGCGTGTAGTGCATTTCGAAGATTAGCTTGGTCCCCGCCGGCAGATATCGGGCCATCCCCTGCCAACCCGGGTGTTCCACGGGCCGTTTCCCGGGCGAGAAGCCACCCAGCAGGTTGATGCGGTCGCCGAGCTTCAGGTTCCAATTCAAGAACCCCGGCGGCTTGAAGTACACCGTCACGTGATGCACCACCTCGGGGTTGCCAGGCCGGCACTCGACGGCCTTCACCCATTTGTCTTCGGTGAATCCCGGATCGACCTCGAACCACTGGTATTCGATGATCCCCTCGGCCGGAACCGTAAACGGCTCTTCGCTCATGTAGACGACCTGGTCGGGGTCGGGAATGTCCCAACCATCGACAAACTCACGCGGCGGAGGAAGTTCCGCCGGGTCGCCCTCGGGCTGTCCGTCGGCCACCCATTGATAAATCAGCCCTTTCTCTTCGTCCGTCATGCGGGCGTCGTTGATGAAATCGCCATACCGAGGGTCGGCATGCCAAGGCGGCATCCGCTCCTGCTCGACCACCTCGCGAATCATGTCGCCCCAACCCAATACGTCGTCGTACTCGAGCAGCGGAAAGGGCCCAATCTGCCCGGGCCGGTGACACGACTGGCAATGTTTCTGGAACAGCCGAGAGATCTGGTTGCTCCAGGTCACGTCACCCTCGGGGTTCGTCTCCCGTACGCGACCAATCCAGCAGCCGGGGGCGTCGGTCAACGGAACGCTTACCGGCTTCTCGGCCAGAAGTTCGTCGAGGGCATTCTTCAGGTAATGCTCTTTCACATGATCGCGGGTGACCCCTACGCCGTACTGATCGTCAATCGCGCCGCGGTACCGAATCACCCCGTCGTGATCGAGCACGAACACCTCAGGCGTCCGTTCGGCCGCGAAGCCGTCGGCCACTTCGTTGCCCACGTCTTTGAGCAGGGGGAAATTGATTTGATGAACGCGGGCATAATGCAGGATCTCGGTGTTCGAATCCTGCCGATTAGCATTGATCCCGATGAACGCCACGCCCCGGTCGTGATACTCCTCGGCCAGCCGCCCCAGCCGGGGAGCATACACTTTGGCCAGGGGGCATTCGGTGCCTAGGAAAATCACCACCGCCAGTTTCGAATCCGCGGTCAGCTCATCAAAAGAATGCTCGGCCCCACGGAAGTCGCGCAGCGTGAACCCCTCGATCTCCCGCCCGATGCCGGCTTGCTCGGGAGTGCGCTCTCCACTGGGCTGCTCACTCGCAGCTAGCGCGGTACCGCAAAGCAGGGCAGCAACAATCATTCCCATCGCCGCAAGCATTATGCGACGCAGTGAGGTTCGACGTTGGTACCAGCTTCGGAGCATGAATCGAATACTTCGCGTTTCGCAGAGGGCCGACTGTTTCAGAGGCAAATGTTCTCGGCAACTCAATCAGGTTCGCTGCACCACGAACCACACCAGCAGGCTCAGCGTGACCAGTTGCGTGGTAACGATCCAACCGAGCCGCAGTCGGGGGCTCGGCGATGTCTGCCGGCCGACGAACTTCTGCCACAACCACGCAATTGGTGTGGCCCCGGCCAGGGCCAGCAGTTGCATCGCCCGACGGGGAATCCGCCGCAGGTCGTAGCTGCCTTCGCGCCGCGAGTACATCCACAACCCCACGGCCGCGATGTTCACCACCAGCAGGTACAGCATCACTAGCGGTCCGTATCGCATGGCGTACACGGCCAGCTTCACAATGCATACCTTCAACACGCCGCCCAGGTTGCCGCTGGCCCAATACTGGGCAATTGCTTTTTCGTAGTACTGAAAAGCACCGTGATAGTCGGTGCGGTTTTGCAGGAAAAACCCGTGGTCGAACGCCAGATCGCCCGAGGTATCATTCGCCGGGATGATGTGTGCCCCCGGAGGTGCAACACCTTCGGCCGGCTTTCCATCAATCAAGGGTAACGCCAGCCCCAACACGCCGACCATCATTTCGTCCTCGGTGAACCCGCTCCAGCGAATCTCACGCGAGGGGTCGGGGTTGCTGAGGTTGTCTTCCGAATTGTCGTACGTCGCCACGCAGTCGACCCGCGTTCCCTTGGGAATCGACTTATGTTCTTCCAGCCAGTAGACGGTTTGCCAGTTGTAGTCGTAGCCCAGCACTTCCATCAGCATCTCAGTGGTGCCATCGGGATAGTGCGCCTCGTAGGAGAAGTTCTTTCCCCGCAGGTGCATGTGAGGGCAATAGAACACAATCGCCGCGTCGCGATCGAACGTGTACGAGGCCTCCACGCGGTGGTTCGCCTCGTACGGCGGGATGACGAAATTCTGGTTGTAGGCCGCCACGTGGAGGGCTTCCCGCTCCACTTCTTCAGGGTCGGCGAAGGTCAGCCCCAACGCACTCAGGTCTTCTTGCGGCGTGCCGTTGGGGGTGTAGTGCTGCTCGAAGACCAGCTCCGAACCGGCGGGAATGTACAGCCCCGTACCGTTGAAGTCGGTCATCTCGGTGCTCTGCCCGGGCAGGAAACCCGAAACCAGGTTCACCATTCCCCCTCGCCATTCGTTCCAGCTTTGCCACGGCGGGCGGAAGTACACATTGATGTGATGCACCACCGCCGCGTTGCCGGGCCGGCACCACGAGGCCTTCACCCAACGGCCCTCTTTCCAGCCCGGGTCGACGAAGAAGTACTTGTATTCAGCTTGGGCCACCGCGGGCACCTGGTGCGGTTTGTCGGCCATGTAGATCACTTCGTCCGGCTCGCCGAAGGGCCAGCCATCGACCCATTCCCGCGGCTCGGGAAGATTCGCCGTGTCGCCCTCGGGGGCCCCGTTGCGAACCCATTCCTCGACCAGGGCAATCTCTTCTTCACTCAACCGCGAGTCGTTGCTGAACTCGGCATACTCGGGGTTGGCGTGCCACGGCGGCATCCGGCGATTGGTCACGACCTCGCGAATCATCTCCTGCCAGCCAACCGTGTCTTCGTAGGTCAGCAGATCGAACGGGCCGATCTCTCCGGGACGATGACAGGCCTGACAACGCTGCTGAAACAACCGCGAGATCTGGTTGCTCCAAGTCACCTCGGCGTCTTCATTCGCCTCGCGAACCCGCCCGATGTGGCAGCCCCACACCTTGGTCAGCGGTTCTTTCACGTCGCGACCGGCGAGAAGGTCTTCGATGGCGGCGGCCAGATAGTGTCGCGTCGGTTCCGGCCGCTGGAAGTCGATCCCGAATTGGTCGTCGATCCCCCCGCGATAGCGAACCTTCCGGTCTTGGTCGAGAACGTAGATTTCAGGCGTTCGAGCGGCACCAAACTGGTCGGCCACCACGTTGCCTGGATCTTTCAAGAGTGGGAACTCAATCCCATGCTTCTGAGCGAAGTGCTTCAGCTCAAGGATCGAATCCTGCTGGTTCGAATTCACGGCCACCACGGCCACACCCTGCGAGCGATATTGCTGCTCGAGTTCGACAAGCCGCGAGGCGTAAAGCTGCACCAAAGGGCACTCGTAGCCCATGAAGATGACCACCAGCACCGGCTTCTCAGAAAAGTCGCTCAGGCGGTAGTCTTTGCCGGCGATAGCCTGCAGCGAGAAGTCTTCGATCTGCATGCCCAGCGAGGCTTCGGCTTCGATCACCCCCGGGACGTGATGCTCAGCCTCTAGGGGAACTGACTGCAGCTCTTCGGCAGCCCACAGCGGCGCCCCGCCGACAAGCATCAGCAGCGCGATCGCGAGCGTTCGCGTTGCGATGGTCTGCGACATGCGACAACCCGGGAGACAAGAGGGACCAGCGAAGCCCCACCCCACGTGGAGCCCCACAAGATCGAGGCCAACATGTAGTTTATCATCGCGATACGGCTGATGCCATTATCCGGAAGCCCAGCCGGGGCAGTTTCGACGAAGCCCAACCCAGGGCTACTCACGGGGTTATGCTCCGGAAAGTGAGGCGATTCGGCACGGCCTGGTATGCTAGAATGTGCTCATCGCGAACAGGGTGCGGCAAATGGGCTCGGCGATGGTGGGACCGCTGAGGCTAGGCTCTCAAGACTCCGACGCAAGAGTCCGAATTCGGTGCGTAAATAGTGGCAAGTTGCGCCCGCCGTCCATTAGATTGACCTCATCTCTTCTCGAATAAGCTGCGAGCGAAGTGAACGATTCCATGGCGACATCTCCTTCCGTCACGCCCGATCCGTCGGTCGAACTTCCGTATTGGGACGGCTACCTGCGGCAACTCGAAGCCGAGGAGATGGAATACGACTACAAAGTACTGCACTCGCATGTCGGCTGTTGGGACGACCCAAGTTGGTCGAATCGCGTTCCGCTCGATTACGCCAAGGCGGCCGAGCGGATGTGCCAGTTGGTTTGCGAGGCAGGAACGGTGGCCCCCAACAAACGCGTGCTCGACGTTGGCTGCGGGCTCGGTACCGTGGTGGCCAGCATGAATGCCCGAGTGAGCCCCATCGACTTGGTCGGCGTGAACATCGACGATCGCCAGCTCGAAGTCGCCCGCGCTGGCGTTCAACCGCGGGAAGGCAACACCGTGGAGTTCATCACTTCCGATGCCTGCGACATGCCGCTGGACGATGCCTCGTTCGATGTGCTGATGGCCCTGGAGTGTTCGTTCCACTTCCCTAGCCGCGAAGGGTTTTTGAAAGAAGCCCGTCGGGTGCTGAAGACCGGCGGACGCTACTCACTGTGCGAACACTTCATCTCCGAAGACAGCAAGCCCCACAGCGAGGTGCGCCGGCAAAGTCGCATCTGGGGCCCGTTCATCGAACCCTGCAAAGTCTCGCGTTACGACGAGTTGGCCGAAGCCGCCGGGTTTCGTCGCGTTTACGAAAAAGACGTCACGGCCGAAACCATCCCCACCTACCCTGGAATTCGCAAGCTCCTACGCCGCGGGTTTCCCTTCCCACTGAACTGGCAAGCCGTAGCCATGATGTGGCTCACCGAGTTCCTCATGCGCCGCAGCAAACTCCGGTATATGATCCTCGCCTACGAAGCGGTGTAGTGAAGAAATTGAACCGCTCGTTGGACTCAGTCAACCATTTCGCATTGGGTGACAACGACAGCCACAACAGAGGTTTTCCGGGCTCTAGGCCATCCTCAGCGCGACATCGACCGTTGGGCGGACGCGCGGAAATCTTCCAGGTATACTAGCGACTACTCTAGAAAACACGACCTTCCACCGACGACTCGATAACCCACTTATGTCCACAGCTATGAAACAACTGCTCGCAACCCTGGCACTGCTTCTCCTTATTCCTGCCGCAGCCACGGCCCAAGACTTCGAATCGCTCTTTAACGGTACCGACCTCTCCGGCTGGGCGGGCAAGCCAGAGTTCTGGTCCGTGAAAGACGGAGCCATCTTCGGTCAAACGACTGAGGAAAACCCGACCGAGGGTAACACCTTTCTAGTCTGGCAAGGTGGTGAAGTCGGCGACTTCGTGTTCAAAACAAAGGTCCGCTTCTCAGGTAACAACTCGGGAGTTCAATACCGCAGCGAATTAGTCGGCGAACCTGAAAACTTCGTCGTGAAAGGCTATCAGGCAGATCTGCATCCGAGTCCCGATTACTTCGGAATGCTGTATGCAGAGAAATGGCGCGGGATCGTTGCTCAACGTTTTCAGCGAGTCGTCGTCGGCGCCGATGGTGAACCCAAGGTTGTTGGGGAGGTGGGCGATAAGAATCAGCAACTGGTCGATAAAGAATGGAACGAGCTAACCATCACCGCGGTAGGCAACCGGCTTATTCATCAGGTCAATGGCGTGACGACGATGGACCTGACCGACAACCACCCGGAAGCAAAACAGAAAGGCATTCTCGCGCTGCAGCTCCATGCTGGAGACCCGATGACCGTCGAGTTCAAAGATATCGAACTGCGACATCTCGAGGGCAAAGATGCAGAAGCCACACTTGACGCAGTGACGGAAAAAGCCGGCAACAAAGCCACGCCCGTCGATCGCATCAAAGCCGCCAAAGGATTCAAAGTCGAACTGCTTTACTCGGTGCCCGGCGATGAGCAGGGCTCCTGGGTCAATCTCTGTACCGACAACAAGGGCCGACTGCTCGTCAGTGACCAGTTCGGTGGAATGTATCGCATTACGCCGCCCCCGGTCGGAGAGGTTTTGGATGCGAGCGATATTCAACCGGTGCCCGCCGACATTCGCGCAGTGAACGGAATGGTTTGGGCCTTCGATGCCTTGTATGTGGGCGTCAATGATTACGAGAAGAAAATTCCCTCCGGACTGTACCGCCTCACCGACAGCGACGGAGATGATCAGCTCGACAAGGTCGAATTGTTGAGGGAAATGGACGCGCGCGGGGACCACGGAGTTCACGCAGTTGTGCCGAGCCCCGATGGCAAGTCGTTGTTCCTGATCACGGGCAACAATGCCAGGCTGACCGAGCTGGCCGAGACATCTCAAGTCCCTCAGGTGTGGGGCGAAGATCATCTGCTGCCGAGTTTCCCCGACGGGCGAGGCCACAACCGTGGGGTGCTAGCCCCGGGTGGAATCATCTACCGCGTCGATCCGGAAGGCAAAAACTTCGAAGCCTACGCCAATGGGTTTCGCAATGTTTTCGATGCGGCTTTTAATCACGATGGCGAACTATTCACGTTCGACGCTGATATGGAGTACGACTTCAATACTCCCTGGTATCGACCAACTCGAATCTGTCACGTCACCAGTGGAGCTGAATTCGGCTGGCGGAACGGAGCCGGGAAGCGGCCGACGTTCTATGCCGACAATGTGCCCGGCATCCTCGACATCGGCCCGGGCTCGCCGACCGGTGCGACCTTTGGCTACGGTGCAAAGTTCCCGGCCAAGTATCAGAACGCGTTTTACGCGCTCGACTGGAGCTGGGGCAAACTCTACGCGATTCATCTAGAGCCAGATGGTTCGACCTACAAGGGAACCAAAGAAGAATTCGTCACAGGCGCACCCTTGCCCATCACCGACGCCATCATCCATCCGGACGATGGTGCCATGTACTTCACGATCGGTGGACGCCGAGTGCAGTCAGGTCTCTATCGCGTGACCTACGTCGGCGATGAATCGACGGCGCCGGTTGAAGCGGTTGTCAACGAGAGCGAAGCCCGAGCAACACGCCACGCGTTAGAAGCGTTTCACGGTCACCAAGACCCGGCCGCCATCGAAGCCGCCTGGCCGTACTTGGCAGATCCCGACCGCTTCATCCGCTGGGCGGCACGCATAGCAATCGAACATCAGCCCGTGGAGACCTGGGCCGACAAAGCATTGACCGAATCCAATCCCGAGATTCAGGTCGAAGCGTTGCTGGCTCTGGCCAGGGTTACCGGTGTCTGCCCGTTGCACCGCGCCGAGGCCACCCCGCCGGTTGATACAGAGATGCGCGACAAACTGTTGGCTGCCATCCTCGCCATCGACTTACCCAGTTTGGACTTGCGAAGCCAGCTCACGCTGCAACGTACGCTGCAGATCGTTCTCACCCGCTTCGGACGACCGGACGATGCAACCATCCAGAGTCTGATTACGGCGCTCGATCCGCTCTTCCCGTCTGATTCGGCCGAATTGAATTGGCTGCTCTGCGAGACACTCGCTTGGGCGCAGTCGCCCACCGTCGCCGATAAGGCACTAGCACTGATTGAGTCCGCCCCAACTCAAGAAGAGCAGGTGCAGTACGCCCGGTCGATCCGCATGCTGACATCCGGCTGGACGGACGAACTGCACATGGCGTACTTCGATTGGTTCCTCAAGGCCGCGAACTACCGCGGCGGGGCGAGCTTCGATAAGTTTATTGAGTTCATCCGAGACGATGCGGTTGCATCGCTTAGCGAATCTCAGAAGGAGTCGCTCAAAGAGGTCCTTGCCAAGAAACCGGAGAAGAAGTCGGCGTTGGAAAATCTCGGCGCGATCTTTGCTGATCGAGAAGAAACCCAATGGACGCTCGATGAGCTGTCGCAGGCAGCGAGCGATAGCTTGAAAGACCGAGATTTTGAGAATGGCCGCAAGATGTTCGCCGCGTCGGGCTGCTATGCCTGCCATCGCTTCGGCAATCAAGGCGGGATGACCGGACCGGATTTGACCTCCGCCGGCCGTCGCTATTCGCCTCACGATCTACTCGATCAGGTGATCAACCCCAGCAAAGTCATCAACGACCAGTTTTCGGCCGTGTCGGTCATCACCGACGAAGGTCTCGCTCACACCGGCGTGGTGGTCAACTTGAATGGCGACGAGATCACCTTGAACACCGACCTCACAGACCCCAACGAACGGGTGAGCATCAATCGCAATTCGATCGAGGAGCTGATCGTTTCGAAAACCTCGCCGATGCCTGAGGGACTGTTCAACCGCATGACCAAGGACGAAATCCTCGACCTGATTGCCTACCTCATCAGTGCCGGCGAGTCGGAGCACGAATTCTTCGCAGATTAAATTGGGGGAGGCTTCGTCCAGAAAAATGAAGTCTCGGGCGAGACCATCTCGACTTCTCCCGGTATTCGCATGTTTACGCGACGCTGGTCTCCCAGATTGTGGGCCCAGACCGACTGCAGATGCGATTTGCTGCCTTACCGCCTGAGCGCTAAAATGGGGCCCACGGTGGTCAGTCGCTCTTGGAGCTCTCGGTAAATCTCCAGCGGCGTAGACGACGCTATTTAAAGCATCTCGGACGTAAGCCCAGGCGGGAGATCGAGGTACGCCTGGGCACCGGAGTCCGGAAAACAGTGGAAACCTAGTCCATGGTTGGCTAGGCTGCTGCAAAGCCGTGGCTCAATTGAGCCCAGGTGGGGAACAACGGCCGACCGAAAAGTCGGTTCGACGGAGCAGAGCGAGAGGGGGAAGGTATGTACCTTAGGCGGACAGTAGATCGTTTCATCCGATCCCGGCAAGGAAGACAGCGTCTGGCAGGCAATGCCGAAAGTCGCTCGGGCTTGTGCCTGGTCGAAAGTTTGGAAGCGAGGCTCGTTCTCACCAGTAGCCCGGTCGAGTTACTCGAGCTTTCTGGCCCGAGCCTCACCGAGCACATGGCGATTGTCGCAGGCGATCAGGAGTATGTGTCGAACGAGCTTGTGGTCTCGTTTCGTTCCACCGAGGCCGTGACAAGCATCGACGACATTCTCGGCGTCGCGGATCGGCCCGCATTCTACGACGAGTTCTCGTTTAGCTCGATCGAACATCTCTTCTCACTGAACCAGGGAGATTCCGGCGAGCTTTCGCTCTGGCACTTCTCTTGGACAAGCGATCAAGACGCCGTCGATTACCTCGATGAATTCGGAAGCCTCACCTCCGCCGAATGGGCCGCGCCGAACTTCGTCTACGAGTCGGAAATGGACTTCACGCCCGACGATCCCGACGTCGGGAATCAGTATCACCACACCATCATGCAGAACTATGCTGCGTGGGATACGACCACAGGCAGTCCTAACATCGTCGTGGCCGTGACCGATAGCGGGTTCGACTGGGACCACCCCGACCTCGATGACAACATCTGGAGCAACACCGACGAGATCGCAGGCAACGGGATCGACGACGACAACAACGGCTATATCGACGACATCCGTGGCTGGGATTTCGTAAACAACGACAACAATCCTGACGAGTCGTCCTCGTCGAGCCACGGAACCCATGTAGCGGGCATCATCGGTGCCGAAATCGACAATGCCACCGGCGTTGCTGGAACGGCGGGTAATGTCACCATCATGCCGCTACGCATTGGCAGCGGGCCCACCTCGACTCGCTACGCCGGCGCGTTCACCTACGCCGCCGATAACGGGGCCCATATCGCTAACACCAGTTTCAGTGTCGACAGTCGGGTTGGCGATCCTGTCTATCGAGCGGCCTTGCGCTACATGTACGACACCGGAGTCTTGCACTTCAACTCGGCCGGTAACGATGACGCGTTAAACCCGCTGCGGCAGAATATGCACGAATCGCTTTTCGTCGCGAGCACAAACTCCGTGGATGGAAGAAGCGGTTTCACCAATTATGGCATCGGCATCGACGTCTCCGCGCCCGGCTCGTCTGTTCTTTCGACCGTGCCGGATGGCAACTATGGAAAGAAGAGTGGAACCAGCATGGCAGCCCCCAACGCTGCCGGTGTTGCCGCCCTGATCTGGTCGGCCAACCCGACGTGGACGCGCGATCAAGTTGCCGCTCAGCTTCTGGGCACCGCCGACAACATCGATGCGATGAACCCCGGGTACGAAGGGCTCTTGGGTAGTGGGCGCGTCAATTCGAATCGGGCATTGAACGAGGCACTGGCTCCCCCCGAAATCGAAACAGTTGCCGAGCTTCCTGCGTCGGGCGGTGTGCTGACAGAATCGATCAGCACGCTTACGGTCGAGCTTGCCAACATCTTCGACAAAACCTCGATCGAAAACATCAGCAACTGGGAATTGCGCAGTGACGGGGCCGACAACATCTTCGGCAATGCCGACGATTACATCATTCCCCTGACGCTACTCACCGAATATCTCATCGGCACCAACGACCTCGAGTTCTCGCTTGGCGGCCCGCTCGCTCAGGAACACTATCAATTCCGGGCCTTTTCCGGTGGATTGACCGACCCATTCGGTACGGCACTCGATGGCAACAGCGACGGTACTGCCGGCGACGACTTCGTTGTTGAGTTCACCGTAGCGGCCCCCGATACCACGTGGGACCTGCAGGAGCCATTTGGCAGCCTGGTCAGTTCGTTCGCGGCCAACGACTATGTGCTCGCTGTGCCCACCGGCACTGAATTCACGTCGTACCTCACCGGCGGCCAAACGCTAACGTTCCAGGCGACCCCGGCATCTGGCTCGGCCACGCTCGCCGTAACTGTCGAGAACAGCGGAGGAGTGCTGGCCACCGCGACGGCCAGCGTGGCAGGCGGTTCGGTGTCGATGCAGGACATCGTCCTCCCTTCCACCGACGACTACACGATTCGCGTAACTTCCGACTTAGATACCGATTTCGACCTCGAGGTGTTCCGCAACGCCACTGTCGAACTGGTCGATTCGGCCGACGGCAGCGAACTGGCCATCGACGGGTCCGGGCTCGAACTCGGTTCGGTACGCTTTGCGGCGGTTGGAACAACCGAGTCCGGTTCCGACGTCGACGAGTACACAGTGAACCTCGAAGCAGGTCCGGTTGACGTGATCGTCGCGGGCATCGACGGTACCGATCTTTCCTCGGCCACAATCGAGTTGATCGGGACCGATGGAACCTCGGTTCTCATTGCAGCTAGCGATCAGCCGCTTGGCGTGTCGGCTGAGAACTACGATCAGGCGATCCTCGGTTATTCAATTTCCTCCCCCGGCCAGTACACAATCCGGATCAGCTCTTCAGACACAGGTCGCTACGGGCTCGTCGTAACCGAAGGCATCTCCTTCGACAGCGAGCCGAACGACACCAGCGATCCGATCCGCCAGCTCGACGACGCACTCTCAGCGATGGGATTCCTCAACGTAGTTCCGATCGACGGCAACTATGTCTTCAACATCGATATGACGGAAAGCAGCTTGTCGCTCTCGGGTGACGTTTCAGGCGAGCCTCTGTTGGCACAGGCGCCCGGGAGCCTTAGCTCAGCGATTATCGGAACCGTCAGAGCCGGGCTGACGTCGTCGACCATCTCCTTCATCGGTGGTAGCAATATCGACGTGACGGAGACACCCGGACTATTCATGCCTGGCAATGCACCGGCCGATTTCGCCGCCCAGTTGCTCTTCATTTCTGCGGCGGTACGCGACGTGGCGGCCGATGTCACGAGCGGGCAGAAGGCGATTTCAAGCAGCGGAGAATTCTCGGTCGCGGGAATGAACCTCGAGTTGACCAACGGAACGTTCGCCTACGAAGTGTCGGGTTTGATTAACGACACGCTTTCGATCGCGGGCTTCGGTGCTGTGAATGAAAGCACAGACCCGGGCCTGATCGAGGTGCTTCCCGGCCTGTTGCGTCTGACGGTACCCATCGAGGCCACTGTCATGCTCGAAGAGCCCACGCTGGGGCTCTTGGTGAATGCCACGCTGACCGGAGTGGCTGTGGGAACCGTATCGCTGCCAACCTCCCAAGACGCTTCTGACTTTTACACTTTGGATCTTGTCGAGGGTCAAACCGTTACCATCACCACCGATACCCCGTTCGACACGGCGTCGGGCAGCATTCTTGCGAACCTTGACCCGACACTGGCGATTTACAATCCGCTGGGTGGGCTCGTCGATACCGACGACAATTCGGCAACTGACGGACGAAACGCTTCGATCACATTCACCGCCACCAGCACCGGCACCTATCGGATCGACGTCGGAGCGGTCTCCGGAGCGGGCACCTATGTGCTCGATGTCGACGTTGCCCCGGCGGTGAACATCTCGGGTCCAACCTCCGGCGTTCGGGGAGAGCTTCTTAGCTTCACGTTCACCGCTGCCGACGCAGGGCCCGCCGACGTTCCAATAATGTATTCGATCGATTGGGACGGCGACGGCACCGTCGACGAGACGGCTATTTCCAACAGCAGCATTACCCGCCAGCACGCCTTCGCTACCGACGGGCCCGTTACCGTGAAGGCCACAGCCACTGATATCGATGGACTGACCGGCGGCGAAAGCACACATTCGTTCACGATCGACGTCTGGCAACTTCGTGCCGACGACGACAACCCCAGCCTAACGAACCTCGTCTGGGGTGGGACCGCTGGCGACGACCACGTCGAATTCGAACAAGTCGACCCGACAACCGTTCTCGTTCGCGTGCCCATGCTCGACGGCGTAGCAACGAACGACACCGAATCGATCTCCGGCGTAACCGGCAAGGTCATCGCCCTGGGTGGTCTTGGCAATGATCTGCTCGACGGACGACTCCTCATAGGAACTGCCGTCCAATTCATCGGCGGCGACGGAAACGACACCCTGCACGGAACCGAGGGCAACGACGAACTCTTTGGCGATAACGTCGGCGGAGGCTCCTCCGACAACGATGAGATCTTCGGCTACGGCGGCGAGGACATGATCCAAGGCGACGGCGCTGAAGGGGCCAGCGACCTCATCTTCGGCGGCGACGGCAACGACACCATCTACGCAGACGGTGCCGAAGGAGGTCTCGACGCCAATGACACAATCCTCGGAGGTGAAGGCGACGACCTCATCTATGCCGACGGATCCGAAGGGGGTAGCGACCTCCTCATCGGCGCCGCTGGGAACGACACCCTCTACGGTGGTTCGGGGGCCGATCTTCTGATTGGGGGCACAGGCAGCGACTCGCTCGTCGGCGATACCGGCCAAGATTTGCTCATCGCCGGCGATACCGATCTCGAGTTCACCGAACTCCAAGGCATCCACAGCGAATGGTCTTCAGGCAATTCCTTCACCGATCGAGTAGATAACGTCCTGGGCAACACATCGGGTGGGCTGAACGGAACAACATTCCTCATCCCCGGCGACACCGTCCTCGAGGATGACGCCGTCGACAGCGTCCTCGGCGGCATCGACGAAGATCTGCTCCTCTACGACTTCAGCGAAGATCTCTCCGACCACCAAGTCGGCGAAGACCTCTCAGTCGACATCGGCCCCTAGCGCGGATCAGGCGGCAGGCCAAACTGCCAGCGAAGTGGCCAGGAATCGCCTAGGTGCCGAGCGGAGGCTAGAAACTGTCTGGCGACGTTACCCGTTCAAGCATCATTCGCACCCGCGGATTGGCGGGTTCGAGCGTTGCCGCTCGGCGAAGATGCTTAATGGCGTCGGTCCGGTGACCCAACGTCCATTCCAGCGCGGCCGTATCACTCAGAAGCTGCACGGAGTCCGGGTCGGTGGCCAGTGCCAACTTGAATTTCTCCAGGGCCTCCGGCAGGCGATTGAGCTGTGCGAGCGCCATTCCCCAATTGGCATAAACCGTGACTCTCGCGTGTGGGAGGGCTTCAGGATCCAACGTCTCCGCCGCCGCCGTGAGTTCACGACGAGCCGCTTCGTATTGCCCCATCTGGCAATAGACCCAACCCAAGTTCGTGTGACTCAGCGAATCTTCAGGATTCAGGGCCACGGCCTGCTCGAGCGCTTCGAGTGCTTCTTCACGGCGTCCAAGTTCGAAGAGAGCGCGGCCATACGTGCTGATTAGCTTGTCATTCTCGCGACCGAGTGGAATGCCCCGTTCGGCATGCTCGATCGCTAGCTGGTATTCGCCATTTCCCAAATACTGATCGGCCAGAATGCGATGTGCTTTCCAATTGCGAGGCACGTTGGCCGCGGCCGCTTCAAAAAGCGTGATCGTATCGCTCCATATGCCGGCCTGCCGATAAGTGAGAATTGTCAGCGTAAAGAGCACACCGGCGGCAACGATCAGCATTATCCGACTGGCCACCGTGGACGGGAGTAGATTACGAAGCAAATCGGCCGCACCCCACACCACGGCGATCAGCAATCCCCAGAAAGGGACATACGCATAACGGTCCGCCATCGATTGCGACCCGACTTGCACGACGCCAATCACCGGGGCCATCGTCAATAAATACCAGAGCCATCCAAACAGCAGGTAACGCCGCCGCCGGCCAAACCTCACGGCTGCTATGGTTAGAGCTGCCAAAAGACACAGCGACCCGAACGCACGAGCCGCGGTAATATCCTCCTGGTACAACGGGTAGAAGACTGAGTATCCCTCGGGCCAGAACAGCGAGCCGAGATAACGTACGTAGGCGATTGCCACGTTTCCCAGCCTCATGCCGAGCGGATACTTCTCAATGCTGTTCATCGCCGTTTGCTGCGTGAAGAGCGTGACCGCTCCCGCGGCCAGGGCCAAGAGCAGATACGGAATCTTCTCGCGCAACAGTGGCCACCATCCGCGCAGAATCGATGCGGTAGTCGGTAACGCGCCCGCTTGCGGCTGCAGAGCTTTCCGTTCCAGCGGCCAGTAATCGAACAGCAACAGCGCGAACGGCATGGTGACCATCATCTGCTTCGATATCAGCGAGAGGGCGAAGCACTGCAAGCTGGCCAAGTACATCCAGCGACTCGACGTGCGTGCGTACTGCACGTAGCTGGCGAGCGTCAGGATCGCCAGAAACGTGCTCAACAGCGTTTTTCGCTGCGATACCCAGGCCACTGATTCGACGTTCACCGGATGGACGGCAAAGAGCGCCGCGACAACGAAGCTGCAACCGACATCTCCGGTCACCCAGGCCAGCAGCAGGAACAGCAGCAGCACATTGAGCAGGTGAAATCCGATGTTGACCCAGTGATGCCTCGGCCCATCGAGTCCGAACAACTCCACATCCGCCATGTGCGACAGCCAAGTGAGCGGATGCCAGTTGGACGAGTGGTATTGCGTGAACGCCCAGCGGATGCCGTCAAAGGTGAGGCCGCCGGTTACGTTCGGATTCTGCTGAACGTAGTCGACGTCATCATATGCAATGAAGTCGGCATGGGTCGCCGGCGCGAAACTGACCAGCGTTAAGATGCAAAGAGCCAGAGCGGCCAAGCCCAGCGCGTAGGGACGTGCGACCATAGATTGATACACGATGCTGTAGACTGGCGATGCTCGCTATCCGACGATTGATTCGCCAAAACGACAGGACGCAATTGGCGGCCCCGCCCATCGCCGCGACCGGGCGTAACAGTCCGATCGAGTGAGCAAATTATGGCCCCGCCAACTCACTCTGTCCAATTAGGCGGTTCCTATTCCGCCCCAGAACAATCCGACAGACCCTTTGAGTCACAGTTCGCCAGCCTGTTTCATGTGAATCGATTGACGAGCAGAACAGTACTCACTTCAAATCCACGGGCTTATCAGTGCGCGTCCACTGGGCAACAGGACGGCCATCACGACGCCACCACGAACCAGCTCTATCTAGTTGAACCAACTCGGGCGAGTCCTCCCATGTTTCCTGCCGTCCGTACGGTGTTAGATCGAGCAATTGCAGGGTGGGCATCATGGCCTCGATCCCACGCCATTTGGTTTCGTAGGTCTGGAACACTTGATCATCGGTGTTTAGATAACAGCGGAGGTCGCCGCCGTCTCGGGTAGCCAGCACGTCTGGGGAGTCGGCGGTCGAGTACCACGGAGTCTTCCAGCCCATGAATTCCCGATACGCGACAATCTCATCGAGCGGACCACTGCTAAAGACCGCGTAGGTCACATCGCGCTCGGCGAGATAGGCACAAACGGCCTCGGTCATGGCTGCCTGGCTATGTGTGCAGCCTTCACACTGCTTGTGGTGAGGTGCACCTTTTTTCCACATGAAGTGATAAACGACCAGCATTCGCCGGCCTTCGAACACCTCCTGCAACGAAACGGCCCCCTTCGTTCCCGTAACGGGGACCGGCTCCATAGGCGTCATCGGTAATCGCCGGCGCGCTGCAGCCAAGGCGTCGCCCGCGTGCGTATGTTCCTTTTCGCGAACAAGCAGTTCTGCACGAGCCGCAATCCACTCGTCTCTACTAACTATTTGGGGTGCCATTTTTTGACTCCTTGATGATGTATGGGAATTGGCCATCAGCGACGCCCAAACGACTCAAATAACGCGCAGCCAGATAAAGGAGGCAAGCCCCACAAATCACGAACATCGCCCACCGCAAGTAGGTTGCCGTGGTGAGTGACAGGCCAAGCCCGGTCCATAACCCAACGTACGCCACCAGGCACGCTGGACACTTCGGCACTAGAACGAGTACGGCGCTCGGCAGCAGCCAGGCTAGAGACTCTCGCACCCTTAGTGCCAAGCCCTTAGACTTCCCACTATCGGCAGCCTCGCAGCAATGGCTCATCGATCGATCTCCAGGTATTCCTTATTCCTGCATCGCTTCCGCATTCATCCAGAACATCTCCCAGACGTGGCCGTCCAAGTCCGCTAAGTTGCGGTTGTACATAAAGCCCAGATCCTGCTTGGGATTGATGTCGGCCGTGCCGCCATTCTGAGATGCAACGTCGTTCAGTTTGTCGACCGTCTCTCGGCTGTCGCAGGCGAGTGCCAGCATGACCTCGCTGGAAGTGGTCGGCGGAATGGGGCGGGTGGTGAATGTCTTCCACTTGTCGTGCGTCAGCAGCATCACAAAAATCGCCTCGCTCCAGACCATGCAGGCAGCCGTTTCATCGCTGAATTGCTTGTTGTTCTCGAAGCCGAGTGCCTCGTAGAGGGCCATCGAGGCCGAGAGATCGGAGACGGGTAAGTTGACGAAAATCTGCTTGCTCATGGATTCATTCCTTTCGGTTGATCGGAGGGCAATTTCGCCCCTTCATAGACCTGGTCGAATGACAAACGGCGAGATCGACAGCCACCCCCAAAAAAAACTCAGAAAAGCTGACCCTTCTTTTATGAGGCACCAGGGTGTTCACTACCTCGACGGGCAGAAACGACGACTTAATGCCTTCGACCCAGACTGGGTGAGAGTCGGCGTAGTGGGGCTAAAGGAAGGGGCCACCGCGGCCACACCAGGAATGAGCAACCGGCTTCTCGAGCATTGAAAGGTTCTTGGAGTAAGTCCAGCAATATTTCACACACTCCGAACATCTCATCTCGAAAAGTCGCAAACCCTTACGTCGCCAATTGCGATGCAGGATACTTGCTTATGAAACGACCCGCTGGTTCAACCAGCGGGTCGTTTTGCTCATAAGCAGCAATGAGAGTCAAGAATCACGAACGCGGACTATTTCCGTTAATGAAGTGCCAGAGGTCGAGTTCCTTTTCGAACTGCCGGATCAAGGTCAAAGCGATCAAGATTCATCACCTTGTTCCAGGCTGCCACGAAATCGTTCACGAACTTCTGTTCTCCTCCTTCACTAGCGTAGACTTCCGCGATGGCTCGTAGTTGCGAGTTAGATCCGAACACCAAATCCACGGAGCTGGCGGTCCACTTAAGATCGTCGGTCTTCCGGTCCCGGCCTTCATAAAAGTGTTCGCAGAACTTCGATTCCGACCATTTCGTATCCATGTCGAGCAGATTCACAAAAAAGTCGTTTGATAATGTACCCGGACTCTCTGTGAATACGCCCAACTCGGCCATCGGGCCGGCCCCCGCATTCGCACCCAACACACGCATCCCTCCGACGAGCACGGTCATCTCGGGGGCAGTCAACGTCAACTGTTGAGCGCGGTCCACCAGATACTCGGGCGCTGGCCTATCGAGTTGCCTGCCCAGGTAGTTTCGGAAGCCGTCAGATTTGGGTTCCAACACGGCAAACGATTCGGTGTCGGTCATCTCTTGCGATGCGTCAGTTCGACCTGGTGTGAACGGAATAGTAATGTCGTGGCCTGCGCTGCTTGCGGCCTTTTCCACCGCAGCACACCCGCCGAGCACAATTACGTCGGCCAGCGAAACTTGCTTGCCGCCTGATTGAGAGCGGTTGAACTTCTGCTGAATCTCTTCAAGCGTGGCGAGGACCGCCGCCAGTTGCTCTGGTTGGTTGACCTCCCAGTCCTTCTGTGGGGCCAGGCGGATACGGGCTCCGTTGGCACCGCCTCGCATGTCGCTACCGCGGAACGTGGCGGCCGACGCCCAGGCGGTGGATACCAACTCGGAAATCGACAGCCCCGAGTCGAGAATCTCGCTTTTGAGTTGCGTAATGTCCGCCCCGTCAATCAATGGATGATTCACAGTGGGGATCGGATCTTGCCACAGCTGCGGCTCGGCAATTTCCGGGCCCAGCAGGCGCGAAACCGGCCCCATGTCACGGTGAGTCAGCTTGTACCACGCCTTAGCAAAAGCCCGTTCGAACTCCTTTGGATTCTCGTGGAACCGCTTCGAGATTTTGGCATACTCTGGATCCATCTTCAGTGCCAGGTCGGTCGTGAACATAATCGGAGCATGAAACTTCCCTGCTACGTGCGCATCTGGCACGGTGTCTTGGGCAGCTTCGTCCTTGGGTGTCCACTGGTGACCCCCGGCGGGACTCTTCGTCAGTTCCCATTCGTAGCCAAGTAAGTGCTCGAAATAATCGTGCGACCATTCGGCGGGCGTGGTAGTCCAAGCGCCTTCCAAACCGCTGGTGATCGTATCCTCAGCATTGCCCTTTCCAAAGGTGCTGATCCAGCCAAGACCCTGGGCCTCAAGGCCGGCGCCTTCAGGTTCAGGGCCGACGTATTCCTTCGGGCTGGCAGCGCCGTGCGTCTTCCCGAACGTGTGACCGCCGGCAATGAGGGCGACCGTCTCTTCGTCGTTCATCGCCATGTTACCGAAGGCAATGCGAATGGCCTTGGCGGCGGCCAGCGGGTTCGGTTCACCCTTGGGCCCTTCCGGATTGACGTAGATCAAACCCATTTGTGTTGCGGCTAATGGATTCTCAATCATGCCGTCTGCTTTAGAGTACCGCTCACCACCCAACCATTCCGTCTCCGGCCCCCAATACACATCTTTTTGCGGTTCCCAAACGTCTTCACGCCCTCCCGCGAAGCCGAATGTTTCAAAGCCCATCGATTCAAGGGCGACGTTGCCAGCCAACACCATTAAGTCGGCCCACGAGATTGTGTTTCCGTACTTTTGTTTGATTGGCCAAAGCAAACGACGGGCCTTGTCGAGGTTAGCGTTGTCGGGCCAGCTATTGAGCGGTGCAAAGCGTTGTGTGCCGTCGGAAGCGCCGCCACGACCATCGGCCACTCGATACGTTCCCGCGCTGTGCCAAGCCATGCGGATGAAGAGCGGTCCATAGTGTCCGTAATCCGCGGGCCACCAGTCCTGCGATTGGGTCATCAACTCTTCCAGGTCATTCTTCACAGCGACGAGGTCGAGCTTCTGAAACTCTTCGGCGTAGTCGAAATCCTCGCCGAGCGGATTCGCCTTGGCCGAATTCTGATGCAAGATGTCGAGGTTCAACTGATTGGGCCACCAGTCCTTGTTCGAGTACGCCCCGGCGGCGGTGTGGCGTTGGCCGGGCTCGACCGGGTTCATTACAGGACATTTGGCAGCGCCTTTCTCCGCGTCCTGCGCATGGGCCGAGCTTTCTACGTCGGCGCACAGGGCTGCGATGAGGGCCACCGCTGCGTAATGAATGCGTGATCGGATAAGCATGGGATATTCCTTTCTGTCGGAAGTTTGAGCGGATCCGAGTGATTTCGTTGAGTGCGCAGGTCTTAGTGCACCATTCGGTGCCTACTTGAGGGCCACATTTGTAGTATTACAGCCCGCAAAGTATGATTCCAATGCATTTATAATATGATTGCCATGCATCCAAGGTATGGATAGTGGAGGGTTCTGGTGGATCTCGATCAGTTGCGTTATTTCTTGCAGATCGCCCAGCGCCACAGCTTCACGCGAGCGGCGGAAGACTTGGCGATTTCGCAGCCAGCTCTCAGCCGATCCATTCAGAAGTTGGAGGAAGAACTCGGCCAACCTGTCTTCGAGCGCAAGACGCGCTCTGTCACCCTCACCGACGCCGGCACACTACTCCAGTCCCGAGCGCAGCAGGTGCTCGCCATTCTGGAGGACACCAAGGCCGAGATCACCGACGATGGAAGGACCGGACGCGTACGCGTGGGGGCAATTCCCACCATCGCTCCATACTATCTGCCGGAGGTGCTTCGCAGGTTTTCGCAAGATTATCCACAGGCGACGATCATCGTTCAAGAAAACACCACCGACGCGTTGCTGAAGAGCTGCCGCCAAGGGGAAATCGACTTGGCTCTCCTTGCGTTGCCCCTGCCTGCGAAGTACCTCGAGGTGGAAGAACTCTTTGAGGAGGAACTGCTGCTAGTGCTTCCCCCAGACCATCCACTCGTCGCGAAAAAGGCGATCCGCCTGATCGATGTGGAACCATTTCCCTTTGTGCTGTTGGACGAGGCGCACTGCCTCTCAGACAACATTGCGTCGTTCTGTCGCGAGCGATCATTTCAGCCGGTGGCGGTGGAACGCACCAGCCAATTGGCGATGGTGCAGGAATTGGTTTCGCTTTCACACGGCGTGTCCATGATTCCAGAGATGGCCCGGCGACGCGACCAAAGTGATCGCCGGGTCTATCGTTCTTTCACGGGAAAGAAACCTACGCGCACGGTCGCCGTCGCCTGGAATCCGTACCGCTTTCAAAGCCGTCTTCTCAGTGCCTTTCGAGAGTGTCTACGCCATGGTTAGGCATATCCCATCACGCTTTAGATTCGAGCCGCCTAAGGCAAGGGTAGAAGAACGCAACTAAGATTCACTGCGACCTAGACGCCCAGGCTGGGTGTCTTTTGGAAAAGTTAGCAAGGTCGGGCGAATACCTGGAACTGTCCACAATGGGCGGTGTGAATCACCGACATCAATTCGCCGCTTCTCAAAGTTGTGCAGGTTGCTTCCACCCCCTGCCGAATGGAAGCCCGGTAATTTTGGACATGAAAGCAGACCGTCTTTCGTTCCAAATAATTCCAACCCCACCGACTTCATCGTTCCAAGGCAATTGCTCAGCCCCAAGAAGGTTCACTTGCGTGCGTTGTGATTGTGGTTACTTGACCTCCAGTGTAGATAGTCCATGGAGGCGGTTACGCCGAAGCTAGAGTTACTCCAGCATGGTGGCTATCACACTATTCCTGAAGCGCCGCGCACAATTACTCCGGCTTCAACACCAGCGTGTTCACTGCCTCACCAGGTAAGAACGGCGACTGTTGGCCTTCGACCCAGGCTGGGTGAGAGTCGGCGTAGTGGGGAGAAAGGAAATGGCCGCTTTGGCCGCAGGGGATTTCCATGTAGCCTTCTTCCTCGCGGCCAGGCGAAACGGCCATGCGTTGAGAGGCCCCCGAGTCGGGGCGTTGGATGCGGGGCATGTTGCTCGATCCTCCAGCCAACGGAACTGCCGGCATGTCGAGCCATCGCGAAAGGGCCGGCACCGCTTTGCTTAACGGATGTTGGATTCGCGCGGTGTTGTACACACCCCAGGTTTGCTGAGCCAGGGGAAGCTGGTTCTTCGAAAGCTCTTCCAGCTCCGCATCCAATGCGGCCAGAAGTAGTGCGTCCCAGGTTTCGTAATTGGGGTCGAGCAAATGCTCGGGCTGTTCGGTAATTAGTTGCCACACGGGCCCCTCGACCTTGGTGGACCACGGCACTTTGAATTCCGAATCGTACTCCCGGCAGGGCACCGTCAGGCTCTCGCACACCATCTGCAGCACCCGTAATCGGTAATCGCGAACGATGCGGTAGCCCACCGAGTCGATCGCAGCGCGGTCGCCCCACTTTTCAAGTTGTTCTTTGGCTTCGGCGCGTTTCGGTTGGCCTTCGAGCGCTTCCTCATCGAGCAGACCGACCAGTTGTTCTTGCCAGGGGCTGAGGAACACTGCTCGATCGTCGAGTTGGATGGCCAGCATGTCGGCCTCGGTGGCCTTGTCGACCTCATATAGATCATCGCGAATCTGACCAGCCCGAGCACCCAGGTCGTAACCCCCGTCGCGCAAGATGGCCAGCTTTTCGCCACCCACCACACGGGCGTTGGCCGTCCAGATACGTCCATCCTCGGGCGCAACAATACGGGGATAGTCTTTCGGTTCGAGCCAGCCTTGCCACTGCCGTTTCCCATCGGTCCAACTGGCCGGAATCCGTCCGTCGATATCAGGCCGACGCGGGATACGTCCCAAAATCGTCCAGGCGATTTTGCCCGAGTCGTCGCCCACCACGAAGTTCTGCGCCGGCGATCCGCTCAAGGCGGCCATCGTCAACGCCTCGTCGGTGGTCTTGCAGGTTTCCAGATTCAACAGGTTCAGGTTCACGCCTTCCTGGTCGTGCGCCACCCAACGCGCCACGCGACGTCGTCCATCGGGATCGGTATCAATTACCGGCCCCCAAATGGTTTCCAGCACCTCGAACTTCTCGTCGGGGCTCCGGCTCACGTGGATCACCTGGGGATGGTGTTCGAACTTTTTCGAACCCTCCGGGGTGAGATACGCATCGTCGTCGTTGGGGTCCGGTTCCAACACCACCACGTCGAGCCAGTCGCCTTCGCTGTTGGTGAACGCCCAGGCTACGTGACCGTTGCTGCCAACCACCATCGCCGGCGTTCCGGGCAGCGTGACACCGGTCACTTCGTGCGGCTGTCCCTCTTCGTCTTTCCAGCTCAAACTCGCGCGATACCAAATCCCTGGCACGCTGATTCCCAGGTGCATGTCGTCGGCCACGATCGCTCCGCCATGGGCCGAGTGCGAACCGGCCACCGCCCAGTTGTTACTCCCGGGAGCGAAGGCCGCGTAGTAATCCAGTTCAGCCAACTCATCGAGTACCGGCCGATTGCTGGCAGTTTGCTCGACCACCTCCTCGGCTTCCTGCGTTCGCAGATTGACAATGTCGGGCCCCGGATAAGTTGGGGCCGGCAGTGCGTCGCCTTCGACCGGGGCGTCCCACTTCGAGCCGGGGGGAATCAAGAAGTCGACCAACTCCTCCGGCAAGGTGTCGCGCATCACGCCGTAACGGCACTCTTGCTTGAAATCGCCCCATTGCAGGTCGAGGTACATCGAGAACAGAATCAGGGCCGAGTCTTCGATTTGCCACGGGGCCGGCTCGGCGTCGAGCACCATGAACAGGTACTCCGGTGGCTTGACCGAAAGCGAATTCAGCCCGGCGTTCACGCCATCAGTATATGCCTGCAGCAAAGCGATCTGCTCTTCGTCGTATGACTCAGCCATGGCTTTGGCCCGATCGCGGAAACGGTGCAGCCGCATCTCTTTGTCGTGATTCACCGCCGCCGGGCCGACCAGTTCCGAAAGCTCACCTGCTGAATTGCGGCGGAGCAGATCCATCTGAAAGAAGCGGTCTTGCGCGTGAGCAAACCCGGTGGCAAACGCCAGGTCGATTCGGTTCTCGGCTTCAATCCTCGGAACGCCCAATGCGTCGCGCTTGATGCTGACCGGGGCGGAGATCCCCTCGATCACAATCTCCCCATCCACCTGCGGCAAGCTGCCGGCCAGTTGACTGTAGAACCAACCGCCCACGATCGCCGCGACCAGAATCGTCAATACCGCAATCAGACCGAGGATTTTAAGAACGCGTTCAAACTTAGGGTTCATGACTACTCTCAGAAACGATTAACAAGAATAAGCGAGATGATTTTGGCTTCGGTTGGCCCATCCACGCGGCGAAGGTTGCCTTAACGATTTCGCATCAAGTCATTTCAGCCTTTGATGTACTCCACAATAACGACTTGAGCGGTGGCCTCGATTTGCTGCAGTTCATCCTGCATTAGCGAGAGGGCCTTCTCCTTGCGGAAGCCTCCTGAACCGGCACCGATGATCGGGAAGGCAACGCTTTCGAAACCCTGTTTTTCGACGATAGTCATTGTGTTCCGCACCGACAAGCGGATCGACCGTTCCGAGGCTCGCCACAGCACATTAATGCCGGCCACATGGATAATCCCCTTGTACGACAGGCGGCCCGCCGAGGTGAGTACGGCTGTCCCCAGCGGCATCGCCCCGTGACGAGCAAGTTCCTGAAACGGCCTGATGCCGGCCGACCGTTTGATGGCCCCCGAGACTCCTTGCGGCAGCAATAGCCACCAAGGAATGATGTTTCGATTCCAGGTATTCACGATCACCTCGACCGATTGGTCTAGCAGGTTGCCTTGCACGATGATCGGGTTCATAGTCTGGCCGTTTCAACGACGCTCACCCCTGCGGCTTCCAACCATACGACACGTACTGCTGGTCGAATGACCCGTCCTTGTACAAGTCCACGACGGAGTAACCTTCGTCGGTGGTGGCGTGGTCGCCTTTCCACCAGTAGCCACTCACGGCTCCGCCGCAGATGTACGTCACGCCGGAGTATTCCACACGCTCGAGCAAGTGCAAGTGGCCGCTGAGGCACAGTCGCACGTTGGGGTGTTGCTTGAACAAATCGACAATCCGCTTCGCGTCGGTATGCGTGGCCCCGCGTCGGCGGCTTGGTTTAGCGGCCAGTTCTTTGTCGAATTCGATGTAAGCCACCGAGAGAATCGGGATGTGCGAGATGACAATCACAGGCGTGTCGGCATCGCAACGCGCCAGGTCTTCGACTAGCCAGGCGAACTGTTCGTCGTCCAGTCGTGCGATGTAAACATCTTCCGCGTCGGGAAACACACTGTCTAGAACTACGAAGTGCCAGCCAGCCCGATCGAAGCTCCGATAGCGTCCAGGCAACTCCAGCGCATCGAGCGCCCGTTGTTTCCCCCAGGCCGCCTCTTCGCCGGTCGTGCCGCTTGGTTTTTTGTCCCATCCCCACACGTCGTGATTCCCGATGCAATGCTCGACTGGCAGCGAGCACTCATCACGCAGGGTTTGGTTCCACAACTTCCATTGCAAGTCGGTTCGCGCCACGTCGGTGGCCAGCGTGTCCATCACAGCGTCGCCACTGTTGATGACCAACTCCGGCGAATCGCTTAGCTCTTGCAGATGATGCAGGGCGGCCGCCATGCCTTGCACCGCTCCCCGTTCCGGCTGCACGTGGATGTCGGTGATGTGCGACAATCGCAGGGCCCGATCATCGGGCGAATGGTCTGCAGCTTGCACACGACTGCCCAACAGAGATCCGCCCGGCAACAGCAACCCCGAGCCGACGGCTAGCGAGGTGCCAAGGAACGTGCGACGGGTTTGCTTTGAAGCATCTTGCATGGAGTTGTCTAAGTTCGGTGGGTCAGAAGATGGATTGAACGGTTCGGAGTGGCTTCCAGGTCCAGGCTGGAGTAGTCGCTTGCCTCACACTCACGGCCGGCACGTTTTAACATGCGCGCGACGAAAGCACAGCGGTGACGTTCGATCGACGGCGGCTAAGTGTCTACGGTTCCTAGGTCACCAGGCTGGAAAATGGACGCATCGTCAACAATCGATGGTAAATGCACTTAGGCGTGCTGTCAGTAAATCATTCTGGCCGCCGCGCGATCCTTCACCGCGGTCGCTGCGTATGCTTCTGAGTGACGGACCTCTCTTCAGGGCCATGGCCGGCTCGCACCGCTCGACTCCTACCTTGCGGCGATTGCTCGTTGTAGCGATCGCACCGGCCGTATCACGGTGGCCCTCATCCCCACTTTATACGTCACGGTTCCCCCTCGGTGTGTCGATCGGCACAACTTTTTTTCGCGGTTTGATACGGCCAAACGTCGCAGGCGGAGCCCTGTGGCAACGGCTGTAACGGTCGCGAGATAGGGGCTCGAAAAACTTTCTTCTGGTTTTTTGACCACCCCCAAATCGTGACCTATACTCGCTCGGGCCGGAAGCAGACCCGAGTTTTTGGCCCTGCTAGTAGGAAACGCCAACTGGTGCCCCCGAGCACCCTGCAGGTTGAGACGCTCGACCGCGGGTGCCGCGTTCCGCTCGCCACGGAACAGGGATCGTGCAAGCCACGGGCACCGGGCCTCGATGGAAGAGGATTGCTATGCAACTTAGGGTTCTTTCGCGCCTGTCGGTGCTTCTGAATTGTGTGCTGTTGTTCGCGCTGGTTGCTTCGCCAGCCGTGGGCCAGGTTCGCATTGTCACGCCCGAGCAACCGACCACGAACGAGAGTGGTCAATCGCTCGATTCGATTCTTAGCCACGGCACCCAACTCGAACGCGAGCACCGCTGGGGTGACGCACTCACCCACTACGAACAGGCCGTTCGCGACTTCCCGAATCAAACCGACCTGCGGCAGCGATTCGAACTTGCCAAGCTGCACTACGACCTAGGCCGTCGCTACAGCGATCGTAGCTTCCGCACCGGGGTCGACTACATGTCTCAGGACGACGCCCTGGATGTGTACGGCGAAGTGCTGATGAAAATCCAAACGCACTACGTCCACCGCCCGAACTGGAAACGGCTCGTCGAGTGGGGTACCAGCAGCCTTGAAGTTGCCCTCACCGATCCCGACTTCCAAGCTCGCTTCTTGCCGAACCACACGGTCGAGAGCATCGACGGCTACCGCGCAAAGCTGCGAGCCTGGGTTCGCCAACAGTCGATTGAAACCCGACAAGCTGCCCGAGACTCGGTCGCGGCGATCGGACGCATGACTTTCAACGAACTCGGCGTGCCAGCCTCGGCCACCGTGATGGAGTACACCTGCGGGGCCACCAACTCGCTGGACGATTACTCCGCCTACCTCACCTCCGACCAACTCCGCGACGTTTACTCGCAGATCGACGGCAACTTTGTAGGGCTGGGTGTCGAACTCAAGTCCAGCGATGGTTCGCTGCTCATTGTGAACACCATCACCGGCAGCCCTGCCGAACGATCGGGTATCTCGGCCGGCGACCGTATCATCGCCGTCGATGGTCGCAGCACCCAAGAGCTTTCCACCGACGCCGCTGCTTCTCTGCTGCAAGGCGAAGAAGGCAGCCTCGTCGAATTGACGGTCCTCTCCACGAACGATCAACAACGCACCGTGTCGGTTCGTCGTTCGCACGTTGAAGTGCCCAGCATCGACGATGTCCACATGCTGCCGGGCGAGAACGGCATCGGTTATCTCAAGATGACCTGCTTCCAGAAGACCACCACCCGCGACCTGGACAAGGCCCTGTGGGACCTGAGCCGCCAAGGCATGAAGTGCCTGGTGATGGACCTGCGTGGCAATCCGGGTGGTTTGTTGACCTGCTCGGTCGAGATTTCCGATCGCTTTGTCGAGTCGGGCACGATCGTCTCCACCCGCGGCCGCAACCCGCACGAAGACTTCAACTACTCGGCCCATCGTTCGGGCACCTGGGATATTCCGCTCATCGTGCTGATCGATGGCGACAGTGCCAGTGCCAGCGAGATCTTCGCTGGAGCCATCCGCGAACATCGCCGCGGCACGATCATCGGCACCCGCAGCTACGGCAAGGGTTCAGTTCAGGGGATCTTCCCGCTGGCCCCCACCCGTGGTCTCCCCGGTTCGGGGCTGCGTTTGACCACGGCCAAGTTCTACTCGCCCTCGGGCCATGCCTATAGCAAGGTTGGTGTCGAGCCCGATGTGGTCGTCCACCGCACGGCCCGTCCCACCGGCGATCAGTTCGTGGCCAGCACCAGCGAAGCCGAAGACCCGTTCATCTCGGCGGCCATCACCGTAGCACGTCAGAGTGTGGCTCGTCGGTAAACACTGCCGATGCACCTGTCTTTCACTCGGCAACATTGACGCGGCCGAGCCCCGCTGCGCACCATGTCATCTGGCCCTGCAACGATTGAGCTCGATGACGATGCCATGCCGGAAGTGAATCCAGACAGCTCAACCAGCCGCCATTGGTCGTTCGCCACCGGCGGGCAACTGGCCGGAATGAGCTTAGCCCGCGAGTCGCGGCACACCCTTGCGTGGGATGACGAGGGTGTGCTGTACCTGCTCGATCCCGATGGCCGACTGATCGTTCATGTGCAATCGCCCGAAGCGTTGGCCGGAGCGGCCATCAGCGGCGACGGAATGGTGATCGTCGCGTTGTCAGCAGGCGGCAAACTCTCCTGGCTCGATACCTCGCTCGACGTTCGCCGCTCCGACAAAATTCGCTACGAACCGCTCGACGTAACACTCGATTCGCGCGGTTGGTACGCGGCAGTCTCGGCCAAGAATTCTCAAGCGGCCGTGCTCGACTGCTACGGGCGACACATCGGCACCATTCGCTCAGCACAGTCGCTAGAGCAAATCGTCTTCTTAGCCGAGCAACCCGAACTAATGGCCGTCTCGGCCCAGGGCTTGTTGGCACGTTACGACCTGCGTGGACAACCCGTTTGGCGAAAGAGTCTTGCGACCCGAGTTGGTTCACTCGGCGTCGACGACTCGGGCGACCTGGCCGTTATCGCTGCTTTCGCTCACGGCCTGATTCGCTTCGGTCGTCGCGGCAAACCACTGGGCAGTTTGCATCCCGAGGGAACGCCGCAACGGGTCAGCCTCTCTGCCAACGGTCAGCTGATGCTCGTCGGTTCGCTCTCTCAGCAAATCAGCTTGCTGGACCCCGACGGTGACGTACTGTGGCAAAAGAGCACGGACCATCCAATCGTCGATATTGCGCTCGATGCTCTGGGCCGCTGTGCCTGGTGTGGCGTCGAGGACGGTACCATCGTCTGCTTCGACCTGCCTCGCAATCTAAATCCCGAGCCCACCAACCCCTCGCGTAACAAAGGGTAGGCCGCGTTACAGATTCGAAATGCACGGTGGTCCAGCACGCTGGGGCTTGCGCTAGCCCCTGTCACGTTCGTGCAACAACCCACATGATTCATGTCGCCTGGGTAATTTGGCTAAGTTTCCCTGGGCATTAAGGCGCTTCGCCCGAGATTCAGCCCTGCTTCCCCTCCCTCTGAGGAGATCCAGCGGCCACCATTTGGCTGCCAGCACGCAGATATCCCTACTTCGCCCCGAAAGCCGGCAACCTTGGCGACCTTCTGGCAATCCGGTACGATTAATCGCCATAGGCACACAGTATGGGCACCCCGTGTCGCGGCTATGACGTGCATGTAATGAACCGAAAGCCTTGGTGGAAGCGGGCAGAGGACTCCACCTGAATCGCGTATCCTTCCTCTCGGTCTTCTCACCTCATGTACGACCGCTTCGCGACTCTGATCGCTCGACACTGGCTCATCGTGATCCTGGCCTGGGCCGCGATCATCTACGGTGCCAATCACGTTGCCCCGGTCTGGGATGAAGTCACCCACGATGGCGACCTGGCGTACATGCCAGAACAAATGACCTCGGTCCGTGGCCGCAAGCTAATGGACCAGGCCTTCCCCAACAGTAAGGCCAAAAGCCAGATCGCCCTTTTGGTTGAACGGCGCGACGGTGCTCTGCGAAGTGAAGATCTCGCAATCGTAGATCATTTGTCGGCCATCTTTCGATTGCTGGCCGAACCTCGCGGCAACACGATCTTCGGATCCGACGCGGTTATCAATAATCTGATCGCCGAGAACTTCCGGCTCTTGGTTCGCCACCCCGGGGGCAAGCTTGACGAATCAGATCGCCAGATGCTTCAGCAGTTGGTCGAATCTTGGCGCCCACCAGATGCGAACGAACTTCCACTGGTCGAAGTGTGGAGTCGCCGCGATGAGGTGGTTGGCGAGAAACTTGTCAGTTCTCAAAACGAATATGGCCAGGCAGCCCTGGTGCTGCTTCTGCTACGCAACGAGTTCATGGCCACGGCCAATATGAAGCTGCTCGACGCCACCGAGGCGCTGCTTGCTCGCGTGGAAGCGGCCCCCGAGTTCGAGCCCGGCGGATTGCAGTTAGCCATCACCGGCTCGGCAGCCATCGGGGCCGATACCCTTCTGGCGGCTCAGGAAAGCATCAGCAATATCGAGCTGACCACCGTGATCCTCGTGGTGGCCATTCTCGTCGTGGTTTATCGCGCACCACTGCTGGTGCTCGTCACGCTCATCACCATGGTCGTCTCGGTGATGGTGGCGGTCGACTTCGTTGCCATCCTCACCCAACTCGATCTGTTCGGCTTCAAGATATTCAAGACGACGAAGATCTTCGTGGTCGTCATTCTGTTTGGGGCAGGCACCGACTACTGTCTGTTCCTCATCTCGCGCTACCGCGAAGAGCTGGAGAAAGGACTCGACAAAGAAACAGCCGTGGCCAAAGCCCTGGCCGGTGTGGGCGACGCATTAGCCGGAAGCGCACTGACCACCATGGTCGGTCTGGGAATGATGGCCTTCGCCGCCTTCGGCAAGTTCCGCTATAGCGGACCGGCCATCGCCTTGTGTCTTGCCGTGGCGCTGGCCGCCTGTGTCACCTTGACCCCTGCCTTGCTCCGCATGTTCGGCACCGCGTTGTTCTGGCCCTTTGGCGTCAATGTGAAACGCGAGCGCAAAGAGCACAAATCACACGGCACCGTCCGCAAGTTGCTCGACCGTCCCATCTTCAGCGGGTTCTGGGGACGCATGAGCCATGCCATCACCGCCAGGCCCGGGCTCATCCTCATGTGTAGCCTTCTGCTGATGGCCCCCTTCGCCGTCGCCGGCTATCAAGTCGATATCAGCTACGACCTTTTAGGCGATCTATCGAGCGATCGTCCCAGTGTGCAAGGAGCCGATTCGCTTAAGCGACACTACGAGCCCGGCGACATCGGCCCGACCACCGTGTTGGTTTACCAGAAGGATGGTGATCTCGACTCGGTCGAAGGTCGCAAGAAGATCGCCAGCCTCTCAGCCCAACTTGCTGAAATCCCCGGTGTAAAGAAAGTTCGTAGCCTCACCCAACCCACCGGCGATCCGCCCAGAAGACGAGGGCTGACGCTCAGAGGATTGCGTCGACAAACCATCAACGTCCATCCGCGCACCCAGGCCATCTATCTCACCGAGCAACCCGGCCTGGCGGGCGACGTCACCCGACTCGACCTGGTGTTGACCGAAGACCCTTTCTCAAAACGCAGCGTTGCCCTGCTCAATCAGGTTGATCGCTACCTGCTCTCACTGGGACAAGATCCAGACTCTCTCTGGTACGGAGCCAACTTCGAGTTCCAAGGCACCACTGCCGGGGTCCGCGATCTCGAGGCCGTCACACTCGGTGACTCAAGGCTCATCAAGCAACTCGTTGTGATCGCGGTACTCACCGTGCTCATTATCATTCTCCGCAGCCCGTTGATCTGTTTTTATCTCATCGCCTCGGTCATGTTCAGCTACTTTGTCACCATCGGGGCGACCGAGTTGATGTTTGGCTGGGCATACGGCGAAAGCTTCAGCGGCCTGGACTGGAAAGCCCCCATCTTTCTTTTCGTAATCCTCATCGCCATCGGCGAAGACTACAACATTTACCTCACTACGCGAATTTTCGAAGAGCAACGTGAATTCGGTCTCTTTGAAGGTCTGCGGCAGGCGGTTACCAAAACCGGTGGCATCATCACCAGTTGTGGGCTGATCATGGCGGGGAGCTTCATGTCGATGATGACCGGCACCCTCCGGGCCATGTCAGAACTCGGCTTCGCACTCTCTCTAGGTGTACTTCTCGATACCTTTGTGGTGCGACCGATTCTAGTGCCGTGTTTTCTGGCGCTGCTGTATCGCTGGCGAGGCGTCGAAGACCCTTACGCCGAATTGACACACAACAATCCGGCAACCCCCGGGGGAGCTTCGGTGCCCGCAGTGCAACCTCGCTCACCTCAACCTCAGCGAGCTGGTAGTTAACTACCACGCTTACCTCTTCTTTTGCCCGATGCCGATTACGTTTGACCACGCCGTGTGGTCATATCTTGTGTGAGCAGGGGCCGTTAAAAAGATTTTTCGGGCGATGTTTCCCCGATGGCTCGCATTGGCATTCAGGTTTGTTATGATTTTGGCCTTAAAGCGGTTCTTTGTCGTTGCGCGCCGGGCGGGCGGTTTCACGCAGCGTTGGTCCAAGTTGGTTGCTAGGCGAAAAGGGGAGCAACGTGACTCCACAAGAGGTTTTGGCTCTTTGTCGTGAAAAGAACATTAAGTCGGTCGATCTCCGATTTATGGACTTTCCTGGACTTACGCAACACTTCACCATTCCCGTATCGAAGCTCGACGAAGACGTCTTCGAGAACGGTCTAGGGTTCGACGGATCGAGTATCCGCGGCTGGCAGGCCATCAACGAAAGCGACATGCTGTTGGTGCCGCAAACCGAAACGGCAATCATCGACCCCTTCTGCGAACTCCCCACGTTGGTCCTCACCTGCAATATTCAGGACCCCATCACCCGTGAGGATTACACTCGCGACCCTCGTAACGTCGCCCGTAAGTCGGTGAACTACCTCAAGAGCTCTGGCATTGCCGACACATGCTTCATCGGTCCAGAAGCCGAGTTCTTCATCTTCGACGACGTGCGATTCGACCAACGTGCTCACCAGGGATACTACTACCTAGACAGTATCGAAGGTGAATGGAACCGTGGTCGCGACGAAGGCCCCAACTTGGGCAACAAGCTGCGGCACAAGGAAGGTTACTTCCCGGTGCCCCCGGCCGACCAGTTCATGGACATTCGCAACGAGATGATGCAGATCATGATCGACTGCGGTCTCGATGTGGAAGCCCAGCACCACGAAGTCGGTACCGGCGGTCAGGCTGAAATCGACCTGAAGTTCGACGAGTTGGTCAGCATGGGTGACTCGATGTGCCTGTACAAGTACATCGTGAAAAACGTCGCCCGCAAGCACGGCAAAACCGTCACGTTCATGCCGAAGCCGCTGTTCTCCGACAACGGATCGGGTATGCACACTCACATCTCGCTGTGGAAGGACAACGAGCCGTTGTTCGCCGGTAGCAAGTACGCCGGGCTCAGCGAGACGGCCCTCTACGGTATCGGCGGCCTGCTCAAGCACGCCCCGGCCATCCTGGCGTTCACGAACCCCACGACCAACAGCTACAAGCGGTTGGTGCCCGGGTTCGAGGCTCCGGTCAACCTGGCCTACTCGCAGCGTAACCGCTCGGCTGCGGTTCGTATCCCGATGTATAGCGCCAGCCCGAAGTCGAAGCGTGCCGAGTTCCGTTGCCCCGACCCCAGCTGCAATCCATACCTCGCCTTCTCGGCGATGTTGATGGCGGTGATCGACGGCATTCAGAACAAGATCGATCCGGGCGATCCGCTCGATCGCGACATCTACGACATGCCGGCCGCAGAACTGGCCGAAGTGCCCAAGGCTTGTGCCTCCCTCGAAGAGTCGCTCAACGCTCTCAAGGAAGACCACGAGTTCTTGCTGCGAGGCGATGTCTTCACGCAGGATGTGGTCGACACCTGGATCGACTACAAGATGACCAACGAGGTGGATGCCCTGCGTTTGCGTCCGCACCCGTTCGAGTTCTGCATGTATTACGACATCTAAAGAACTTCGCCCGGCGAACCGCAAGGTCGCCCGCGAATGACTTGACCCACAGCGCCGGGCTGGTAGTTTCTTGCCAGCCCGGCTTTTTTTACGGATCCACATCCCTCACTTGAATCGCTAGGACACCGCACATGTCGATCTCTGCCGAAACACTGGCCAAACTGGCCGAGTTTGATACGCCGACTATTTGCAACGTGATCGAATTGTTCGACGTGCGGCCTCGCAACACCGGCTACATGGATCATCGCATTCAGTGCGCCTTCCCCGAGTTGCCCCCCATGGTTGGCTTTGCCGCCACGGCCAGTTTCCGCAGCTATGCCCCACCCACCGGCGGCGATGCCTACGGCAGTATGGAGAAGCAGGTCGAAACCTTCGCCGACCTGCCCGGCCCCGCGGTTGTGGTCTTCGCCGATCTCGACGATCCCCCAGTGGCCGCCACCTTTGGCGAAGTGATGTGTTCCACCTACAAGGGCTTCGGATCCTCGGGCCTCATCACCTCGGGTGCGGGCCGCGACCTCGAGCAGGTGCACGACCTCAAGTACCCCGTCTTCACCGGCTCAACCATCTGCGCCCACGGTTATTGCCACATTCTGCACGTGGGGCTACCCGTCCGCGTGGGCGGGCTGATGGTCGACCAGGGCGATTTGCTGCACGGCGATGCGAACGGCGTGTCTTCCGTTCCCATCGAGATCGCCGCCGCCGTGGCCGACATCGCAGGCGAATTCGTCGACGCCGAAAAGATCGTGCTCGACTACGTGAACGGATCGGGCAACAAAACCCCCGCCGGGCTTACCGCCGCACGGCAGGAATACAGCGAAGTGGTGAAGAAGCTCACCGCGCGGGCCCAAGCCTGATAAGCCGCTTCCCCTCAGCTTGCTTCCCGGTGGGTGCCACGGTTAGCTCGTCTAGCCGTGCTTTTTGGGCTCTATGTCCCAACGAATCCCGGGCCTTCTAAGCCAGGGTCGCGACTCCGCGTATTCTCCGCCAGATGATGTAAAACGGCACCAGGTAAATGATGTCGGCGAAGAACAGAATCGGCAGGAACATGATCGGCAACTTGCCGACCATCACGTAGTAGATGCCCAGCGTCGAACCCAGCGCTTTGCTCCACAAGCCCAACAGCAGCAGGTTTCGGTTCTCTACAGGGCTGCGGAACACGAACCAGTAGCCCACGCCAAACAGTAGCACCAGCACGCCCACTAGTTGCAGCGGCATGTTCAAGTCAGGCTTCACCAGGCCCAGCATTTTGTAGGCCTCATGATAGAAGATGATCATGCCCAGACCGGCCAACAAGTTGTGCGCAGCCGCCAGCACCAGCACCACCCGCATCCAGGTGGCGAGCAATTCTTTCGACGAGGGATCGTTCACGGTCGTGGTCTCACACTTCCTTGTGTGTCGTTATCCAAACCCTGGATGAACTAACCGATCGACTCGGTCGTCTGTTGCTCGGTCCAGGCTGTCAGTTGATCGTTACCCACGCGGTGGCAGAAGTTGCCAAAGCTCTCACCGTCTTCACGGTTGTCTTTGAAGCAGCGGAACACGCCAACCAAAGTCGGCACAACTTCTTCCGCAGGCACCATGTCCTTGTAGATGGAGTTCAGTCGATCTCCCAACATCGTGCCACCGAGAAACACGGTGTACTTGTCTTTGGCCTTACCGACTAACCCAATCTCCGCGTTGTAAGGTCGGGCGCAACCGTTGGGGCAGCCCGTCATGCGGAGCGTGAACGCCTCGTCGGCCAGTCCCAGCTTGTCGAGTTCGACTTCTAGTTCGTCGATAATCCCGGGCAGAGCCCGTTCGCTCTCCGTGATCGCCAACCCGCAGGTCGGCCAGGCCGGGCAAGCCATCGACCACCGCCGCGCCGTAGAGATCTCGTGTGAAAGCTTTACACCGTGATCGTGGAGAATCTTCTCGATCTTCGCTTTATCGGCTTCTTCGACATCGCAGAAGATGATGGCCTGATGCGAGGTCAGCCGGATGCCCGGGGAAATTTCCTTGCAGATCTTCTTGAGTGCGGCCTTCAGTTTGAAGTGCCCTTCGTCTTTGATCCGTCCGTTCTCAACGTTCAAGCCATAGTACCAGCGACCGTCGCCCTGGGTGTGCCAGCCGATGTGGTCGTCGAAGCCGTTCACCTCTTCCGGGGCCGGATCGGGCAGCGACTCACCGTAATACTCTTCCACCTTCGCCTTGAAACGCTCCAGGCCCCAGTCGGCAATCAGGTACTTCATGCGGGCCCGCTTGCGGTCCTCGCGGTTTCCGAAATCGCGCTGCACCTTCACCACCGCCTCAGCGATATCGAGCACCCGCTCTGGCGGAACGAAGGTCATCTGTTGCGCCACGGCCGGGAATGTCTTCTTCGCACTCGGGGTGACACCGAAGCCACCGCCGACGAGTACGTTGTAGCCAATCACCTTGAAGTCTTTGCAGATGGCCATGAAGCCCAAGTCTTGCGAATACAGGTCGACGCAGTTGTCGCCAGGGAGGCCGACGCCAATCTTGAACTTTCGCGGCAGATAGGTCGGACCGTAGATCGGCTCGATCTCGTGACCGTTGCTACCGCCGCCGACCAGGTGCTTCGCTCCGCAACTTTCGTTGCTGACCCACAACTCGTGATAAGCCGTGGTGCGAGGGGCCAGGTGCTCGGCCAGTTGGTCGGTCACCTTTTGCATCTCTTCATGCACCGGATCGTGATGGTGCGGTGCAGGGCAGCACATCACGTTTCGCGAAACATCACCGCATGCGGCCAACGTGCTGAGCTGCACCTCGTTGATGCGGTGGATTAACGCACGCAGGTTTTTCTTCAATACCCCGTGGTGCTGCAGACCTTGCCGGGTGGTGATTCGCAAGGTGCTATTCCCCAGCTCATCGCACAAGTCGATCTCGGCCAGCAGTTGTTCGCTCGTTAGTTTTCCGCCGGGGATACGCGACCGTACCATGAAGCTATACGACTTCTCCCGCTTCTTGCCCTTCTCGGCACTCTTCGAAGACCGCTCGTCGCGATTGTCTTGTTGGTAGGTGCCGTGGAACTTCAGTAGTTGGCCGTTGTCCTTATTGAACGAGCTTGTGTCTTCGGCCAACTCTTCGCCAATGGAGCCGCGAAGATAATCGCTGGCTACCTTAAGGGGTTCCATCGGGCTGAGCTTCTTTGGTTTCTCTGTCATCGCGACCCACCGCGTCACATGGTTCAAACTGGCCGGGCTCGGCCGAAAACATCACTGCCACATTATATATCACTTAATCGATCATCATAGTGATAATAATGAGCTTTCCGCGTTAAATATACCGCTCTGGGTGCTTTGAGGCCACATCAGCTAGCCGTAGAGTTTCCGCGAATTGCCCATCTGTCCGCCGTCTGGGGGATGAGGGGAGCTAGCTGAACAAGGAGCCTATGGTTTGGTAGAATGCCGGGCTTCTAGCAGGAAATTCGCGTAATTCGCGGGTTTAGCACCAAGGCGCCCCCGCGCCGCAGAATCGAAAGCAGGCATAGACGTGACCGCGGAGATCCTCGACGGCAAGGCGTTGGCCAAGACGATTCAGGAGGAAATCGCCGACGAAGTCGCCGAATTCTTCCAGGAAAGCGGTATCACTCCCTGCCTGGCGGCCGTTCTGGTGGGCGATGATCCGGCCAGCGAGGTCTATGTCCGCAGCAAACGCAAGGCCTGCGAACGCACTGGGCTAGATAGCCAGTTGCACCGTTTGCCCGAGGACGCCACGCAAGACGATCTGCTGGAACTCATCAAGAAACTGAATGTCGACCACAACGTGCACGGCATCCTGGTTCAACTGCCGCTGCCGAAGCAAATCGACGAAAGCCGCATTCTCCAGGCCGTTCATCCCTGGAAAGACGTCGACGCCTTTCATCCCGAGAACGTCGGCCGCATCGTCCAGGGCCGCCCCCGCTTCCTGCCCTGCACGCCGCATGGGGTCCAAGAGATCCTGCTACGAAACAACATCGAAATCGAAGGCCAGCACGTCGTCATCGTGGGCCGTAGCGACATCGTGGGTAAACCCCTGGCGGCAATGCTCATGCAACGCGGACCCGGGGCCAACGCCACGGTGACAGTCTGCCACAGCCGCACAAAGAACCTCGCCGAGGTCACCCGCATGGCCGACATCCTGGTTGTCGCCATTGGCGTGCCCGAGTTCATCAAGGCCGACATGGTTAAGCCGGGGGCCATCGTGGTCGATGTCGGCATCAACCGTCTCGAGGCAGAAAACAAGCTGGTCGGCGACGTCGATTTCGAAGGTGTGAGCCAGGTCGCAAGTCACATCACACCCGTCCCCGGCGGCGTGGGTCGCTTAACGGTTACGATGGTGATTCAAAACACCTTCGAAGCAGCTCGACTCCAACTCGCTTAGAATAGGGGTACGGTTTAGCACTCACTCAGTGATCTAACTCGGAGTCAGACAGGCGGATGACCCAACAGCACGACACTGCGTTCGAGATGGCCACATCCAACTTGCGGTATGGCCCAAACGTGACGCGCGAAGTTGGGATGGATCTGGCCGACCTGGGCTTGCGACGGGTGCTTGTCGTCACCGACCCTAACGTCGCAAAACTGCAGCCGCTCGAGGTCGTTCGCGAGTCGCTCACCGCCGAGGGCATCGACTTCGACGTCTTCGATCAAGTCCGCGTCGAGCCGACCGACAAGTCCTTTCAAGCCGCCATCGAGGCCGCCACCAAAACCAACTGCGACGCCTTCGTTGCCGTAGGCGGCGGGTCGGCCATCGATACGGCCAAGGCTGCCAACCTCTACAGCACGTATCCCGCCGAGTTCATGGACTATGTGAACGCCCCAATCGGCAAAGCGAAGACCGTGCCGGGGCCGCTCAAGCCGCTCATTGCCATTCCAACCACCGCGGGCACCGGCAGCGAAACCACCGGCGTGTCGATCTTCGATCTTACTGAGATGCACGTGAAGACCGGCATCGCCCACCGCCGGCTAAAGCCAACCCTGGGAATCATCGACCCGGAAAACACCCGCTCGATGCCGCCCCTGGTCGCCGCCGCCACAGGCCTCGACGTGTTGTGTCACGCTCTGGAGTCGTACACGGCCATCCCATTCAACAGCCGGCCTCGCCCTGAACGTCCCGTGGCTCGCCCCGCCTATCAAGGCTCGAACCCCATCAGCGACGTCTGGTCGGCACAAGCCCTGCGGATGGTGAACACCTACCTTCCCCGCGCTTGGCGCGACCCCAGCGACGACGAAGCCCGCGGACAAATGATTCTGGCCAGCGCCTACGCCGGCATGGGTTTCGGCAACTCCGGTGTGCACCTCTGTCACGGTATGTCCTATCCCATCAGCGGAATGGTCCGCTCGTATTACCCGCAGGGCTACCCGGACGATCACCCGTTGGTTCCACACGGCATCTCGGTCGTGCTCACCGCCCCGGCCGTGTTCCGCTTCACCTCGCCCGCCTGTCCCGAGCGGCACCTACAAGCCGCCTCCTGGTTGGGTGCAGACACCACCGATGTGCCGGCAGAACAAGCTGGCGAAGTGCTCGTCAATCGCCTACTCGAGTTGATGCGCGAACTCGAACTCCCCAACGGCATCGCCGAACTCGGCTTCACCGCCGACGATGCTCCGGCCCTCGCCAAAGGCACCCTTCCCCAGCACCGCGTCACGAAGCTCTCGCCTCGCCCTGCCAGCGAAGCCGACCTGGTGGCGATGTTCGAAGACTCGCTCACGCTGTGGTAGCGGATCGTCAAGCGGATGCTCTCCGCTGCTACTACTCCTGTCAGTGCTGCAAACGCTAGCCCTCGGTGTAGTGCCACCGTTGAACGAACCTCATGTATCGCCGTGCACCAAGACGATACGAGGAAAGGGCAAATACCCCGCGAACTGGGATAAACGTACACGAACAGCGACAGGGACGTTGCGATGCTCGTGGTCATCAGCGACTTACATCTGACCGACGGATCGAGTGGCGCAACGATCTCGCCGCGAGCCTTCGACATCTTCCTCGATCGACTTCGCGAGGCCGCCTACAGCGCCTCGTGGCGCAGTGACGGCCGTTATCGTCCCGTTGACCGCGTCGATCTGGTCCTCTTAGGCGATGTGCTCGACGTCATCCGTTCGAGCCGGTGGACGCACAACGCCGGGGTTCGTCCCTGGAGCAGCCCGCACAGCACCGAGTTCGTCGACCAAATCACGAAGATCACCAGCGATATTCTTCGCCACAACGACGAGTCGCTACGGGTCTTGCGTGAACTGGCCGGAGAGGGCGGGCTCGTCCTCCCGCCAGCCGATCAGAACGGGCGACCGGTTGCTGGGGCCACGGGCCAGCCAGTCCAAGTGCGAATCTTTTACATGACGGGCAACCACGACTGGATGTATCACATTCAGGGCACCAGCTACGATTTGCTGCGGCAGGCCGTCGTGCGGCACTTGGGGTTGGCAAATCCTCCCAACGAACCGTTCCCTCACGACCCGGCCGAGAGCGACGAACTTCAGCAAACGCTCCGCCGCCATCGCGTCTTCGCCCGACATGGCGACATCTACGACCCTTTCAACTTCGAAGGCGATCGCAACACCAGCAGCCTGGGCGATGCGATCGTGGTCGAGCTGCTCAATCGCTTCGCTTCGGCAGTCGAGTTGGAATTGGGCGACGAACTCCCACCCAGCACACTGTTGGGCCTCCGCGAGTTGGACAACGTTCGTCCGCTGCTACTGGTCCCCGTCTGGATCGACGGGCTGTTGGAACGAACCTGTGCGTTCCCTTCGCAACGCAAGCAAGTCAAACAAATCTGGGATCAACTGGCCGAGCGGTTCCTCGACCTCCGCGTGGTTCGTGAGCGCGACACTTGGAACCCGGCCGACCTGGTCGATGGCCTGCAGAAGGCCCTTCAGTTCAGCCGCAGTCTTTCGGTGGGTTGGGCCAGCTCGATCCTTTCCTGGTTATCGGAACTGCGCGTCCCAGGCGAAGGCGACTTCTACCAACACGCCCTGGCCGAACAAGAGTTCCGCAACCGTCGGGCGAAGCACATCGTGTACGGGCACACCCACGCGGTCGAAACCATCCCGCTCGACGCCAGCTTCAGCGACGGGCACACCCTGAACCAAATCTACTTCAACTCCGGCACCTGGCGACGTGTGCACCGGCAGACGCGCCTGGCGCTGAACGAAAAAGAGTTCGTCGCGACCGAAGTAATGACGTATCTTGCGTTCTATCAGGGCGACGAACGTAGCGGCCACCCATTCGAAACCTGGACTGGAAATCTCGGCATTCCTCCTTCCGATCTTTCCGTCCATCGCATCGATGTACCCAGGGGGAGCCATGCCAGCGGTCAACCGACTTCGACCTCAGGTCTACACCGACACGCGCCCCACTTCACCCCACCGTCTGTTGGTGGCGGAGTCGTCCCCACCCGTCGCTTCGGACGCGTTTAATCGCGATATGCGGCAAGTGGGTCAGGCGCTGCTCGACGCCAATGTGGCCGTCGTGTATCTCGCCCACGGTACCTTCGTTGGCGAAGACGCGCTCGGCATCATCAATGGTCTCTCCCGGTTCTTCCCAGAAACCGGACATTCGCTGCGGCAGTTGAACAAGAGCCTCACCGATCGTGTGCTGGGCGAAACCGGCAATTACACGGTCGAGTACGCCAAGCTGTTCGAGAAGTCGATCCAGGTTCACGGCCAGCGGCAACTTCCGGTGCGGTTATTCTCGTGGTCGAGCGAAAACCATCACATCGGCCGGGCCGACGGCGCCGTGCGGCTCATCGCCGAGTTGGCCTCCCTCAAACTCGAGCCGGGGCAACGTGTTCTTCTATGGGGACACAGCCATGCCGGCAACGTGTTTGCCCTGGCCAGCAATCTACTATCCGGCGATGCCGAAACGGTGAAGCAATTCTTCGACGCGGCCCGAGTCTATTACCGCTGGCCGCTACTAGGCTGTGTCGACATTCCACTCTGGCGTCGCGTACGGCTTCTGTTGGAAAGTCCACGCCGGCCCTTGGCCGAAAACCCAATGGACATCGTCACGTTCGGCACGCCAATTCGCTACGGTTGGGATTCTGGCGGTTACGCCAAGCTGTTGCACTTCATCAATCACCGGCCCGTGCCAGGTCTGCCCGAGTATCGGGCCCAGGTCCCCAGCGAGTTAGATGCGTTGCTCACCGCCAAGGGAGGCGACTATGTGCAGCAACTCGGCATCGCCGGCACGAATCTCGTTCCCAACCCCATGTGGTGGCGCACCTGGCTGGCCGACTATCGGCTCGATCGCCTGCTAGAACCCGACACTTCGACCCTCGACCTGCCCGAACGCTGCGAACTCGGTATGCGTGTCCCTAACGAAGGCACAACGCTGCTAGTCGACTACGGCGAACCCGACGAGTCCGTCGCCCAGCACCACGCCGGTCACGCCGTCTACACTCAAAGCAAGTGGATGCACTTCCACGCCCAGCAAACCGCCCACGAGTTCTACGGCCTCCCACTGGAAGCCACACCCGAAACCGCACCCAACTGCGGCACGGCCGAGTAGGGCTTGGTTCACCCACACACCCTACTCAAGGCCTTTGATGGGTAATCGAATCCCCAACCCCCTCAATGCATCTCCGCTTCGCACGTGCCGATACCCGGCCGGTAGAAGTTGAACTGCACGTTAGGATGTTTCGCCAACAACGACATGGGCACCGCGCTATCAGCCAGCCCTTTGGAAATCATCAGCGTGGTTAGCCGCTGCCCGAGCGGGTTGTCGTGGGTGCCTGCGTGCCAGATGCTCACTTTCTCAGCCTTCCACGTTTCTACAGGTCCCACGGTGATCGCCTGCCGTGGCACCCCGGCCACATTCCCGCCGCCGCTGGTTCGGGCATTCTGAATCAGCGTCATCGGGTGCAACTCGACGATCCGCGTCGATTGCTTTAGATACTCCTCCGCCGGGGGTGGCTCATCGGTCCACTCGCCCTCGCGACGCGGCGGGTCGTTGAACGCCCAGTGCTTCACTTCGCCCTGCCCGCCCTGCATCACCGCGCAATGTGCGTTCTCCCAGGTGGCGATGTACTCGCTGGTGTCGGCCTTGGGGAAATGAATCTGTTCGTCCGGCATCCGCAGCTTCTTATCGATGCGGTCGAAACACAGTTCGCGATCTGCCTTGGCGAATGACAACGGGTGCGACTCGGGGGCCTCGCGTCCGTCGAGCAACCATTCGTCCATGCCCCAGAAGTGAGCACTGCGGATGTCGAGTTCCAAGTCGTTCACCAGTCGGGCCACCAGCGGCAGTTGCTCGGTCGGTCCAATCGGCCCACAGATGCCCACCGGGTTGTCAGGCGTCGACTGCCGCCAAGCGTTGATGTATTCCAACGCCTCGGCCAAGTAAAAGTCTTCCAGCGAGTCGTAAAACACCACGCGAAAACCCTCGCGCGACAAGCCCAACATCGCCTCGGGCGTCAGAGCCGCCGCATCGGCCACGATCGCCTCGTCCAACGTCGTATAGTCCCACCACCCAGGCGCAACACAGCTTTCTCGACGGGCCATGGAAGTTCCTCTCAAACCTTCGAAGCAAAACGCAACAGCAGTCGCCCCGTTGTAACAACTGCACCACCGCCGCTCAACAATCACGAAACAACATACAAGTTCAATCCCGGGTAGCACCCGCTGAATCTGAAGAACAAATAAGCTCAACCCTGCCCCCCAACCCATCCAGACCATGACTCTCAATCGGGAACTGGCTAGGCTATGGTCTCTTGAGAACCTACTCGCTCAACCTGCAACCTAAGGACCACCACGATGCCACGCGGGGATTTGTCGAACGCCAAGTCAGAAGGCGATGTGAACCTCTCGCCGCGTCGGGCGGCCTGGCAGGAGCAATCGCTCGATGCACAAACGCGGGCGCTGCTCGACGACGACGCCCGTTACTTCCTGCATCAATCGCTTTCCACGCCCTGTCTCAACGGCATCGTCCGCTCAGAAGGCATCTACATCGAAGACTTGCAGGGCCGGCGGTACATGGACTTCCACGGCAACTATGTCCACCAGGTCGGGTTCGGCAACCCGGCAATCGTGGAAGCCATCAAGTCGCAACTCGACGAGCTTTCGTTCTGCACCCGCCGCTACACCAACCAGGTGGCCGTCGACCTGGCCAAGAAACTCGCCGAACTCGCACCCGGTGACTTGAACAAGATCCTCCTCTGCCCCGGCGGAACCAGCGCCATTGGCATTGCGCTGAAGCTAGCCCGAGTTGCCACCGGCCGTTACAAGACGATCTCCATGTGGGATTCGTTCCACGGAGCCTCGCTCGATTCGATTTCGGTCGGCGGCGAAGAGGTCTTCCGTGGCGACATCGGCCCGCTGCTTCCCGGCGGCGAGCATGTCCCTCCGCCCGACGAGTACCGCTGTATGTGGGACTGTTCACAGCGAGGCGGGTGCGACCTGAAGTGCGCCCAGTACATCGAGTATGTGCTCGAGAAAGAAGGTGACGTGGCCGCCGTAGTGGCCGAGCCGGTCCGCAGTTCGCCTTACATCCCCACGCCCGCGTATTGGCAGCGCGTTCGCGACGCATGCGACCGGCATGGGGCGTTGCTCATCTTCGATGAAATCCCCCACGCCCTCGGTCGCACCGGCACGATGTTCACCTGTGAGAACTTCGGCGTAGTGCCCGACATCCTGGTGATTGGCAAAGGGCTTGGCGGCGGCATCCTCCCGCTGGCCGGCATCATCGCCCGCGAAGGGCTCGACGTCGCCGGCGATCGGGCACTCGGCCACTACACCCACGAGAAGAACCCGGTCCTCTGCGCGGCGGCCCTGGCCACCATCAACTACATCGAGTCGCACAACCTGCTGGAACACTCCCGCACGTTAGGCCAAAGGGCGATGAAGCGGATGCAAGAAATGCAATCCCGCCACCAAGCCATCGGCGACGTCCGAGAGCTGGGCCTGCTGATGGGCATCGAACTCGTCCGCGACCGCACCACCCGCGAACGAGCCACCGACGAGGCCGACGCCATCATGTACCGTGCGCTCAGCAAAGGCCTCAGCTTCAAACTCAGTATGGGCAACATTCTCACACTCACCCCGCCGCTGACAATAACGGCCGAAGAGTTGGACACGGCGTTTGATATTATTGAGGCGTGTATTGCGGAGGAGATGGAGTAGACTCAACAGCCAAACCGATAAGCGGCTTTCAACGATCGTTACCTTCAGGCACTTTACTTATGGAGGAGTTTCAATGCCTTGGAAATTCGAGATACATGAGAAGGGGCATGTCCCTGAGTTATTTAGTTGGATCACTACCAAGTTTGAAGGGTTCGACCCAACTGTGAGGGCGTCGGCAAAGATTGGTGTGGCAGACGCACTCGAAGATAAGGCACGAGCAATCATCATCTACAACCCGTCGCACGCCGGGATGACGCCGCCGGCGCCACCCGAGGGCGCTACCATCGTAGTAGCCGAGTCAGGAATCAGTGCGGATGAAATAAAGGTGGCTGCGCAAGAATGTGTGAAAACACTCAATGGATTTGGTGATGATTCTCCGTCAGGATTCTATGCCAAGTTCAGCTACAGTGACGGGAAGTTCCAATCGGCCCGTCTGATCCTTTGTTGGCAGGGGTTCCCCGACGAATAAGCTAAGAACATAAGCTTCCTAGATCTTGGCTCGAGAATAGGGGTAGCACCTCGTACTCACCGCCTACGGAAAGACCTTCTCATGCTCGATGGCGCGATGTTGGTTTGGTTTGTGCTCGGGCTCGGTAGCCTGGCGTTTGTGATTTGGGATTCGATCACCAACTCGCCCACCAGTTGGGTGCAACGTGTGGCATGGATTTTGGTCGTGGTTTACACCGGCGTGGTGGGGTTGGTCCTGTACCTGCTCGCCTGCCGAAGACCGTTCCCGGGCGCTCACGATGCCTTCACCCGACCGGTCTGGAAGCAGGGCGTGAACAGCGAAATGCACTGCCTGGCGGGCGACGCTACCGGTATTGTTGTGGCCGCGGCGATTGTGCCTGTGTTCGGGCTGGCCAACGGTTGGGACGTAACCATCGAATACCTGGCCGGTTTCATCTGCGGGTTGTTCATCTTTCAGGCACTGATGATGGTCGGCATGTACGACGGCAACTACTTCAAGGCCGTTCGCAAGACGTTCTTCTCCGAAACCGTCTCGATGAACATGGTGATGGCCGGGATGATCCCCACGATGGTCGTGCTCACTTCGTTCTGGCCCGAGTCGGAATCGCCGCTGAACCCCGCCTTCTGGTTCCGCATGGGGTTGGCCACCATCGTTGGCGGCGTGATTGCCTTCCCGGTCAACTGGTGGCTCGTCGCCAATCACCTCAAACACGGCTGCATGACCCTGCCCGGCAAAGATGCCCCCGCACCCTGCCTGGGCCACTGCTCGATGGAATGCGAAACACTATCCCCGGCCCAAGCGAAGCCCGAGCCTGCCATGGCGATGAACATGGACATGCCCCACGAGGGTCATATGCACGAAGGCCACATAAAGAACATGCCCATGCACGACGACTCGATGGGCCAGATGCACCATAGTGAATCTCACAGTGATGAAATGCACGGCGGCGATATGCATTCGGGGCATTCCGCCGGCGGGCACGAAGGTCATCACATGATGATGCGCGAGTTGCCACTTCCCATCGCCACCGCCTGGGTCGTGGCCACGTTCGTCGTGCTGTTGCTGGCGATCTACATCACCAATCTCTACGTGCCAATCCGTTTTACGGAGTAGTGATTTTCAGCCGGAGCAATACCATGCTCGAAATCGAATGTCTGTGGGAGTGCAACGACGGGCTGGGGGAATCGCCGATTTGGGTTGAGGAAGAGTCGTCGGTCTACTGGTGCGATCATGTTGGCCCCGCCATCGATTTGAACACTGAGCGCCGCCCGGCGATCCGTCGGCTGAACATCGCCACCGGCGAGCGACGCACGTGGGATATGCCCCAGCAGGTCGGCTCGTTCGCCTTCCGCACCGCCGGAGGGCTCGTCGCCGGCGTGAACTCCGGCTTCTGCACCGTCGACCTGGAGCACAATCGCCTTGAACCACTCGTCGACCCCGAACCCGACAAGCCGCACCATCGCCTGAACGACGGCAAGATCGATCGCCGCGGTCGCTATTGGTGCGGCAGCATGAACACCCAACTCAAAGGCAGCGACGCCCACCTGTACCGGCTCGATCCCGACCACACCTGCCACAAAGTGGCCGAAGATTTCTCGTTCGTCTGCAGTAACGGAATCGCCTTCGATCCCGAAGACACCCGCATGTACTTCGGCGATACCGCGGGTGGAATGATCTACGTGTTCGACTTCGATCTCGACGAAGGTCGCATCTCGAACCGCAGAGTGTTCTTCTCCTTGGTCGACCGGAAGCCGGCCATCGTCGATGGTGCCACGGTCGACACCGAAGGCTACTACTGGTGTGCATTGAACTTGGGCGGAAAGATTCTGCGGATCGATCCCCGGGGCCGTCTCGATCGCGAGATCGACATGCCGATTCCCAGCCCCACCTGCGTCACGTTTGGTGGCGACAACTATGAAACGCTCTACGTCACCTCGCAACAGGCCTTCGTCACGCCGGAACAAATGGCCAAACATCCCCAACCCGGCAGCCTGTTCGCCATCCACGGTCTGGGAGCTCGAGGGATGCCTGAACCAAAGTTTGCAGGCTAAGGATCAACGCCCACTCTTGCGTTCCATCGGATCCAACTCCCCGCAGACGAAGCAAACCCTCCTCCACCGGAGAAATCCCCCTCAAAGAACCGCAAATCCGCCAATCTAGCCGCTTGACTGGGGCCCCCGGGCGGATGATATTGCTTGTTTCTGCCGAAATGCGTGACTTCTCACTGGGGTTGTGCGGGGACATGCTGGGTCGGGTTTCGTCGGGGTCTGCTTCCTAACCACCGCTGCCGCTTGCCGTTGTGCTGTTTGTGCCCGAAGGGAATTTGGTCAATTCCCTCGCTCCTGGGGCATCTAACGCCGCCGGCAATTCTTTGTGGTTGGTGATGGCGACCTTTCGACGGCGCGTTTCGTGCATTCGTGCCCTTTGGGCGACTTGAGCATACAGGAGTAGGTGCACATGGGTGCAAACGACCCGAACGCCACCCGAGAGAGCCGTGAACTAAAGATCCGCAGCGGAGTTGAAAGCCAGTACAGCGACGTCCTTACCGACGCAGCCAAGTCTGCGATGTCAGCCCTGGCCAGCTTTAACGACGACCGGCGGGAGTTGATGGCCACCCGCACCCAGCGGCGTAAAGAACGTGCCGCCAAGCAGCAACGCATCGAGTTCCTCGATCCCAACTCCACCATCGGCCGCACGAACATCAAAGTTCAAGACGCCCGCAATGGTAACTTCGTCGGCAGTGAGATCCCCCAAGATCTGCAGCGGCAGTGGATTCAGGGCACCGGCCCAGCCGCTCGCCCGAACACGCCCACCGAAAAAAGCATCCGCAATGTGGCCTACGCCCTGCTCTCCGGCGCCGATGGCTGGATGTTCGATGGCGAAGACGCCCTCGGTCAGGTCGATACCATGTCGCTGGACAACCAGCGCAATCTGAAGCTGGCCATCGACAAAGACCCCATGTTCTTGAAAGTCGCCGAACAAGTCGCCGGCGAGATGAACGCCTGGGGCAAAGAGTTCTTCGGTCGCGAGATCATCGACGACTGGAAGAAGCAACTCGACTTCACCACCAAAATCTTCCGCGCACGCGGCCTGCATCTCGACGATCGCCACGTCAGCGAACCCGACGGCACCGGGTTTTCCGCCTCAATCGTCGACATGTGCCTGTATGTGACCAACAACCACAAGGCCATCCGCGACGGCGGCAACACCGTGGTGCTGTACCTGCCGAAAATCCAACGCGCCGAAGAAGCGGCCCTTTGGAACGACATGCTCACGGCGCTCGAGCAACACCTCGGCCTCGCAGTCGGCACCGTGAAAGCCTATGTGCTGGTCGAGCAGTTGGAAGCCTCGTACCAGTTGATGGAAATTCGGGCCGCCCTCGGCAAGCACTTCGTGGGTTACAACACGGGCCGTTGGGATTACATCAACAGCGTGGCCGACGCCATGGCTTGGGATGCCGGCTTTGTGAATCCCAACATCGACGCCATCACCATGACCTACGGCTATATGCGGAACTACGAAGACCGCGTTCGTCGGGCCGTGAACACGCCAGATAAAGAAGGCAACTGTGCCCTCTGGCAAGGCGGCATGGAGCCCAACATTCCCGTCGGCTCTGAAGAAGGCGTGGCCGCAGGGATGAAGAAAGCCACCGCCGGTGGTCAGCGTGAACAAAGCGAAGGGGCCAGCGGCAAGTGGGTCGCCCACTGGAAGATGGTCCACATCGTACGGCCCGTGTGGGAGAAAGCCGGCGAAGCCAACCAGCTTGGCCGCAAGTTCCCGCCGCTCACCTACACCCAGGCCGATGCCGACGGGTTGATCGAACTCGAGCCGGCCCCGCGCACCGTGGATGGCGCTCGCGACCTGTTGAGCGTCGCCCTGCAGTACGGCAATGCGTTCGCCCAAGGTTTTCAGGCGGCAGCCTTGAAGCCGGCCGATTACTTCGGCAACGACGACGTGCTGTACCTGATGGAAGACATGGCCACCGGCGAAATTCGCCTCAGCATCCTCTGGGAATGGCTCCACAAGTCGGGCACCATGACCGACGATGACGAGCGCTCTGGCGTCAAGAAAGGCGATGTTTTCACGGCCGAACTCTTCGAGCGTCTGCTTTCCGAAGAGTACGACAAGCTGCTCGCCGCAGGCAATCGCGACGTGCACGACGACTCGAAGAAAACCACGCTCCCCATCGCGCGGGAGATCGTCGAGACCTACGTCACCGAAGACGTCAAAGTGCCGTGGTACATCGACCTGCTGAATATCAACTTGAATAATCACGATCTCTCCGTCGCGAAAGATCGCATCAAGCAATACGTGGATGCCTTCCGCCAAGACGGCACCCGGATTACCAAGAACCTCGACTTCGCCTAATGCCCGATGCCTCGGGCTGCAATCAAGCGAGGACCTCTTGCAATCGTCCGGCAAGTTCCGTCTCCAAGTTTCCTTGGAAGGTCGTCCTCTTCTTGGTTACACGCCCGCCATCGGTTTATTCCCCCCATGGCATGAAATACAAAGCCCCAAACAAGTAGCAGGAGTGTGAGCATGAGCACGTTTGACGAACAAGTGAACGCAACAGAAAAGTGGATGTCGAGCCCGCGGTTCAAAGAAATCACCCGGCTGTATTCGGCCCGCCAGGTCGTGCAGCAGCGGGGCTCGATCCCCACGGCCTACCCCATTGCAGAGCGAGCGGCCGACGAGTTCTACGCTCACCTCCGCAAGCTGTTCGAAGCCGGCAAGTCGATCACCACCTTCGGCCCTTATTCCCCGGGCCAGGGCGTGGCGATGAAGCGCATGGGCATCGAAGGCATCTATCTCGGCGGTTGGGCCACCTCGGCCAAGGGTTCGATCAACGAAGATCCCGGCCCCGACTTGGCCAGCTACCCCCTAAGCCAGGTGCCCGACGAGGCCGCCGTCATCGTGCGTGCCCTCCTCACGGCCGACAAGAACCAAACCTACCTGCGTTCGCGGATGACTCCCGAACAGCGTGAGAACTCGCCCGAATACGATTTCCGCCCCTTCATCATCGCCGATGCCGACACCGGTCACGGCGGCGATGCTCACGTGCGAAACCTCATCCGCCGTTTCGTCGAAGTCGGCGTTCCCGGCTATCACATCGAAGATCAACGTCCCGGCTCAAAGAAGTGCGGTCACCAGGGCGGTAAAGTCCTAGTGCCCGAAGACGAGCAAATCAAGCGGCTCAACGCGGCCCGTTTCCAGCTCGACATTATGAACGTCGGCGGCATCATCGTCGCCCGTACCGATGCCGAGTCGGCCACGCTGCTCGAAGGCAACGGCGACGAACGCGATCAACCGTTCATCCTGGGTGCGACGAATGTCGACCTGCCCACCTACAAGGCCGCCTACCTGGCTGTGCTTAAGAAGTTCTACGAAGCCGGCGTCACCGAACTCAACGGTCATCTGCTCTACGCTGTCTCGGATGAAGAGTACGCCGACACCGACAAGTGGCTCGCCAAAGCTGGCGTGACCGAACTGCTCGAGAAGAGCGCCGCCGACCACAAGAAGAACCCCGGCGACGTCGAAGCCCTGCTGGACAACGTGGTCAATCAACTGGTCGACGCCTGGCAAACTGCCGCCGGCCTGAAGACCTACGGTCGCGCGGTGGCCGACGAAATGCAGTCGCGTACCAGCGACGGCGAACAGCTCGAAATGTCGGTCGACGAGTGGCTCGAGTTCTCCAAGACCGCATCGCTGTACGCCGCCAAGGCCAAAGCCCAGTCGTTGGGCCTCAACGTAACTTGGGACGCCGAACGGGCTCGCACGCCCGAGGGTTACTTCCAGATCGAAGGTGGCATCGCCTTCGCCATTGCCAAGTCGCTGGCCGCCGCCCCGTTTGCCGACATCCTGTGGATGGAAACCAAAACGGCCGACCTGAAAGACGCCAAGGAATTCGCCGACGCCATCCATGCCCAGTTCCCCAACCAAATGTTGGCCTACAACCTCTCGCCATCGTTCAGTTGGGACACCACCGGCATGACCGAAGACGAAATGCGAGCCTTCCCTGCCGAACTCGGCAAGTTGGGCTTTGTGTTCAACTTCATCACCTACGGTGGTCATCAAATCGACGGCCTGGCCAGTGAAGAATTTGCCGCAGCTCTGCGACAAGAAGGCATGCTGGCCCTGGCTCGCCTGCAGCGCAAGTTCCGCCTGGTCGAGTCGCCCTACAAAACCCCGCAAACGCTGGTCGGTGGCCCGCGACTGGACGCCGCACTCTCGGCATCCTCCGGCCGCACCGCTACCACCAAAGCCATGGGCAAGGGCTCGACTCAGTTCCAGCACCTTGTGCAAACCGAAGTCCCCACCAGCCTGCTGCAAGAGTGGCTCGGGATTTGGTCGGCCCACTACGATTACTCGCAGCCACTCAAGGTCCAGCTTCGCCCCAATCGGGCCGGGTCCGACCTGTTGGAACTGAGCGTGATCGGCAAGGGCGACGAGAAGCTGGCCAACGTGGTGTTCGCCACCATGCAAGATCGCCGCAGCCGTTCGATCCTTTCTGTTCGCGATCAGAACACCTTCGATCTGTCGCTGCGTAAGAAGCGTCTCATGGCCCTGCTGCACCTGTTCCTCATCCACCGCTATCGGGCAGAAACCGTTCACTACGTCAGCCCGAACGAGGACAACCAGCTTCAGACCGAACGCATGAAGGACTTCGGCATCTTCTCCGATGTGAATCACGAAGTGGGCGAGATCATCGTGGCCGATGTCGATGCCAAGGGTGTGGCCAAGCTGCTGGAAGCCGATCGAGCCGAACTGACCAAGGTGATCCAGAAGAAGAGCTAGCATCCGGGATTGGCGATGCCGAGCATCGGACCGCTAGCCTTGGCGAACGTATCGGGTAGCATTGGTTAACAGCCCTTGCGGCTGCGCTTCACGGAACAGCGCGAGTTCGGAACCGATCGACCCACCAGGTAAAGCGAACCATGCCGGCATCAACCGACCGACGGGTGCGCCTTGTGCTCAACGGCAAGGCTGCCGACGACGAACTTTTGCGTCCGGCCGTCGAGCAAGTTCGCGCGCGAGGCCTGTCGCTCGAAGTTCGCGTAACCTGGGAAGAAGGCCACGCCACCGAGTTCGCCGCAGAAGCCACTGAAGCCGGATACGCCGCGGTGATTGCGGCGGGCGGTGATGGCACCCTCAACGAGGTGGTCAACGGCATCCTCAGTGTGACCACCACGCCCCAAACCGCTGCCGGCGTTGTGCCCTACGGCACGGCGAACGACTTTGCCACCTGCTGTGAAATCGCCAAGGGCGACCCGGCCGCCGCACTGGCTCTCGTTGCCGATGTCGCCCCGGTTCCAATCGATGTCGGCAAGGTGAACGATCGCTACTTCATCAACGTCACCAGCGGTGGGTTTGGGGCCGAAGTGACCGCCACTACTCCACCCGAGATGAAACGCGTCCTCGGAGGGGCCGCCTATTCGCTAATGGGCCTGATCAAGGCGGCGAAAATGTCTCCCTACAATGCCCGCCTGATTACTCCAGATTCGCAACACGACGGCTCCTTCCTAATGCTGGCCGTGGGCAACGGCCGTCTCAGTGGCGGAGGTTTCCAAGTCGCCCCTAAGGCACTACTCAACGACGGGCTGCTCGACGTGATCGTGGTTCATGATGTCGAATTGGGAAGCCTCGGCACCCTCTTGAACGAAATGCTCAACGTCGGCGCACCCCAAAACCAATACGTCTCTTACGATCAACTCTCCGAGTTCACCATCGAATCGGAAGAGCCGCTGCATATGAATCTCGACGGAGAACCGATCAAAGATACCAGGTTCCACTTCGAAATCCTGCCGCAGTGCCTCCCATTCATCCTGCCAGCCCGGGCTCCGTTGAAGCGTTTTTGAATTTCTCACGGCGGATCCGCGAACCGTTCTTCGACATCGCCTGTCGACCAAAGCAGCGGGGAATTCACGCTTTTTCCCGAGGGAGACCAGTCGATGCCGTCTGAAGATACCCAATCGATCGTTCTGCAGATCTTAGGGCCCGTGGATGAACACGTGCTGGCCAACGTGCACGACGACGTTTTCGATCACGCCATCGACGTGCGGTGGACCCGCGAGTTTCTGAACGATCCCCGTCACCATATTGTTGTGGCGATCGACAACTCTCAGGTCATCGGTTTTGTGTCAGCCTTGCACTATGTGCATCCCGACAAACCGCCCGAGTTATGGATTAACGAAGCGAGCGTGGCCGGCCCCTATCGCAATCGCGGTATCGGGCGACGCCTGCTGGCCGCGATGTTCGAGCACGGCAAGACCCTGGGCTGTCGTCACTCCTGGGTGGCCACCGAAAAGCATAACAAACCGGCCCGCCGCCTGTATGAAGTGGCCGGCGGTGTTGAGTCACCCGACGATATCGTCATGTCGGAGTTCGATCTCGCCCCCAGCCGCTCTCAGGGTGTAGAATTCCAATAAATCACTCGGATGAGACCGTGACTGGCTCGAACGCCTCGAGCTGAATCTCCTTCTCGTCCATTCCAGCCGACACCGGGCGATCGACCTCAACGGCCGTGATGCGACCGCTGCTCAACTGAACAATGAAGCCACACGCATCACTCAACCGCAACTCCGGCTGTCCGTCTCCGTCCAGGTCCAGCGAGTTGCCATACCCTCCGGCCGAGTAGCGTCCGAAGTAGAGCGTTCCGTCCACTTGTCCCAGCACGCTTCGAAACGCATCGTCTTCCGTGCGGAATGAGTCGTACACATCGCTGGCCGCCGGATCATCCGCCGAGCGAGGATAGACAAACACGGTGACTTTGTTGTCGGTGGAAGACACCCGGACCGGCCGCAAGTCGCCGTAGCTGCTGCGTAGCGATGGCTCAGCACTCGCTTCAACCCCAGGATCCAAACACAAGAAACACTGCTGATCTCCGTCCCTGGGATATCTCGTGCTCAAGATTGGCGGTTCTGTGTTCGTCACCAGCGGACGTCCATCGTTCTCCAGCAGGGGAACCGTCAGGCCGAACTCGTGGCGCGCATCGTCACAAGTAAGCGTCGTCAGCACTCCATCGGGCGTAATCACCAACTCTTGGCGAAAGATTGGTCCGCCCGCTCCCGTAACCGAGTGATACAGCACCTGCCCTTTCACCAGCAGCGGATGGCAAAACGTGGTCGTCCACGTCCCGCGATAGTGTTCCGGCAGGTCGGCCAGCCGCACCCAGCGGTTTCCTTGTTTCCACGTGGGCCCAAAACTCACCGCCGAGCCCGCACTCCGCTTCTCGCGCACCCCGTCCGACGGCCCCAACCGGCTGTCCCATTCCACGCGGCTGAACCGCACCAGCCCCAGGGGCGTCCAGTACTTTCCATATTTCGGCACACTGTCGCCCCGCAGGTTGAGTTGCAACTGCATCCCGCCAGCGTTCGCCACCAGGCTGCCAAACGCCGCGTCGGCCTCGACCGCGTAACCGCCAATCTCGCAGGGGGCCGGCTGCTCTTCGATTTCCGCCCGCACCGTTTCGTACGCTTCTGCCAGGTGCAACATGACGGCGCCGTTGTAATTCGAATACTGGCTCGCCGGCTGATACCCCACCCGTTCCGTCGGATCGAAGTGGTTTTTCGTCACGAAGAACGAACCACGCCACTCCCCGTCCTCGCGTCGCCAGCGATCGATCGACTTGAAGCTCAGCCGCGCCGCGCGCCGAGCCTGGGCGGCCAATTGCACATCCCCCCGCTCCCGCGCCAGTTCGGCCAGCACTTCGAACGCCAGCTGATACAGCACATCGTTAAACACATGATCGTCCGTGCGACCATTCGGCGGGCACTGACCTGTCGGGTCTTGCCACAGCAGTGTCATTCGCGTGCCGCGTTCGATGACCTCAACCATCTCATCCACCGAAGCCCCGTCGTACCCACCCGCAATCAAGGCCAGCAAATTTCCCCGCCCGACAGCCTCCACCGCATGCGACTGCGGATCGCTACTCCAGTCCTGGTAGAAGTTCATTCGGTCTTCCGCAATCCGTTCCCGCTGCGTTCCCCGCAGCCAGGCCCACTCAATGAACTCCCTCGCGTCTTCTTCCGGAATTAGCCCCGCCTTGGCCCGAGCCCATTCACCCCGCATGGCATACGTGCGCCAGTTATTGTTTCGCGCACCACCGTCCTGCAGCACCTTGGCCCGCGGTTGACGCAGTCGCTGTGTCCACCGCTCCAGCGTCGCGGAGTCGACATGTGCCGCGTAATGCTCCAAAGCACCGGCCAATGGTGCCAGAAAGAACTCGCCATGCTCCTCCGGAATGCCGGCCGCCCCTTCGGCGAAACAAGCAGTGGCGTACTCCATCGCGCGCGTGCCATGTGGCAAGAGGTCCTTCGCCTTCCCCGCATCGACCAACACCCCCACCGCGTAGGCGAAGTACGGCGTGGAGTACTGATGCTCCCGCCCCAGAAACGGATCGACAAACGCCCCCCGCTCATCCTGGTGACGAGCAGCAAACCGGCATAGCCCCTCGACCGTTTCCAAATAATCCTGGCGCGCCACCCCCGATGGCTTCCACGGCCGCGAGGTGAGGTGAAACGAAACCGCCGGCTCAGCGGTAGACACACCTTCCGCGCTCACCGTCCCGGCACACGTCAGCAATAACAACGCGAATGCCCACACACGTCGAACCATAACCACAGCCTGTGTTCCTCAGAAGCTCAGCCAACCCAAAACGGACTGCACCAAGCGAGTTGCCCGTTGTGCTGCACCGCGCGAACGTAATACCAGTCGGGCCCGTCTTCCACACGCCGGCGGTCGAGCCACCGCACCGTGGTCCCCGTCTCCTCGGGTGAAGCAAGACGGTGCACGATGAAACTCTCGGAAGTGAACTCCCCGACGAACTCCACACGATTCGTCGCGATCAACTCCGCGACCGGAATGCGATACGTCTTCGCGACCGGCTTCCGCAGCTCCAAAACGAACACTGCCTCGGGCGAGGCCTCCACGTCGCAAACCACGCCCTTCGTCGGGTCTTCGGCAAAACTCCCTTGCCGTGCGGTGGCCGAACTGAGCCGAATCTCACGATCGTCCACGGCCCGCATTGTGTCGCGACGCCCCTCGTCGAACGGAGAGGACTGAAAGCAACTCCAGGCCTGCACGAACCGCCCACCTTCGATCCGCAGCGAAAGGTCCCAATCGCAGATCTTCGAGAGATCCAACTGCCCCCACGGCCCCCAGCCGTATTGCACCCGGCACTTCGCCCGGCCCGGCAAGCTGGCTAGTCCCTGCACGTCGTCTTCAGGAAAGTGCCGCTCGATCACACGGCCATTGCGGATGAGTTCCACGCTGGCCAACGCATCGAACCCTTCAACCCGAACGTCGAATTGCCGATCGGCGACCGCTTCCAAATGGCTGCCCATCGGTTGGCCGTTGAGTGCAACTTCCAGGGCGATGCGATCACCAGTGGCCGCATATGTGCGCCGCTGGCGAAAGGCCGTAAACAGCGACTCGGCCGAAAGATCCTCGGCCCAAACTCCCACCACCCCCATCCCGTACGCCCCCGGGAAACCCTGATGGTCGTCGGTCGAGGCCACGAAGCCGAACTTCAATCCCCGCTGCATTTGCTGATGAATGGTGTTAGCTGTATCGCGGCCCGACATGCTGTGGCGAATGTATGGGTACGGCGAGCGATCGGTCATGCTGCAGCCGTGTTCGGAGAAAATCTCGACGAACGGCGTGGTCGCCTCGCGGAAGTGAGCGAAGTTGGCCCCACGCCATCCCTCCTTGTAGGCCACATGATGAGGAATGGCCAACGCCCCACGATCCTCTGCAAAGTCCAGCAGTTTCTCCACGTGATCGGGCAGATACAAGTCCGGCTGATCCTCGGGAAACAGCATGCAGTAATCGCCGAACTGGCTTGAATGCCATTCGTATCCCAGGATGGCCACGAAGTCGTCGGTGTTCGCCTCGCGAATCAACTTCCGTGTGCGCGGCCAATGCTCGCGATGCACCTTGAACCCGTCGATCCACTTCTGGTGACGATTCTGTGGCATCTGCGGTAAATCGTGCCACGAGGCGTGCCCGGTGAAGGCGAAGAAATCGAGATGCTCGCGAGCGTTATCAATCGAGCGCGGCAACGAACCCTTGCCATAACCCACCGCGTTATGATTGTGCAGGTCACCCCAATACAGCTTGAGCTTCGGCTGGTGTTCGGTCAGCGACGACTCGACTCGCATTCCGCCTAGCAGCGTCGCCCCCATGGCCGAACCCAGGAATTCGCGCCGCTGCATCGACATGATCGGTTTCCCTTCGCATACTTGTGGGTGTGTTAAATATCGCCCTGCTGACCCTCGCGGCCAAACCATCGATTGTCGTCCAAGCGTTGCCCGATGGCCAATGCTTTTAGGGCAGGTGAACGCCGGCCCCTGATATCTGGGGCCGCCCGTGGTATTCTTACGCTTCTCTCATCTGCGGAATACTCGGAGCCACGCCGTGTCGCGAACCATCACCAGCTTCCACAATCAACGTGTGAAAGACGCAGCCAAACTGCGGAGCCGCCGCCATCGCGATCGGCAGCAGCGGATCCTCATCGACGGCGTACGCGAAATCCAAAGGGCCATCGACGGCGGGGTGCCGATGCTGGAGGTGTTTGTCTGCCCCGCCCGGGCGAACACCCCCGAGGCTCAGCACTTGCTCGAAGTCTTCGATGACCTTCGGGTAGAAACATCCCAGGTGGCGGCCGACGTGTTCGAGCGGCTGGTCTACGGCGACCGGAACGAAGGCGTGTTAGCCGTGGCGGGTCAGCCCTCGACATCCATCAATCGCCTTCCACCACCAGAGCCGCAGGGGACGACGGGCATTTTGGTTGGGGTCGAAAAGCCCGGCAACGTGGGCGCCGTGGTTCGCAGCGCCGATGCCGCGGGCGTGGAGGCCATCATCGTGGCCGATGGGGCAACCGATCTGTTCAACCCCAACGCCATTCGTGCCAGCCTCGGCACCATCTTCACGGTGCCGGTCTGTTGCGCGACCACTGAAGAAACAATCACCTGGCTACGCAAGCACGAGGTGAAGATCTTCGCGGCCCGGGTCGATGCCAGGCAGATGTATACCGACGTCGACCTCACCGGTTCGGTCGCACTCGCCCTGGGAAGCGAATCGCGCGGTCTGCCCGCCGAATGGGACATCGACGAAGTGACCCCCATCGGGCTCCCCATGCACGGCACGGCCGACAGCCTGAACGTTTCGACCACGGCCACCGTGTTGTTCTACGAAGCACTCCGGCAACGGCATCACAACGCCGGAGAGTAAGTTGCTCCTAAGAGACTTACTTCGCCTGTTTGAGGTTCTCCTCGAAGAACTCGAACGCCATGTGCATGGTCCGCTCGTTTTCGGCTTTCGAGAAGCCGTGCCCCGCACCGAAGATCAATTCAACCCGGCCCGGAACGTTGGCTTTGGTCAACGCTTCAGCCATCCAGAATGCCTGGTCGTAGGGCACCAACACATCGCGGGTGCCTTGGAACAGCAACATGGGGGCATCGCCTTCGTTCACATAGGTCATGGGCGAGCACTTCCGCAGATCTTCTTCTTTTTCTTGCGAAGGCTTCCCAACGGCCGCATCGAGAATCGTTCGAACGGCGGCCACGTTGAATACATCGCTGCCGGCCAGCTCACCAATTTCGTCTTCCGGAATCGCCAGGTTCGCAGGCCCGAAGTAACTCACCACGGCTTGCACCTTGCTCGGCTGATCTTCCCAGCCGCCCTCGCCTTCCAGCCCGTCGCCCGAGTCCATCGTGCCGAGAATCATTGAAAGGTGCGCCCCGGCCGAGTGCCCCATCGCGCCGAGATGATCGGGGTCGAGCCCCAACTCTTCGGCATGAGCCCGCATCCACCGCACGGCACACTTCACGTCTTCAATCTGGGCGGGAAAGCGATGCTTGGGCGTGAAGCGGTAGCCAACCGAAACGGTCACATAACCCTCTGCGGCACATTTCTTGATCAGCGAGGCGTAAGAGCCTTTGTTACCGGCCATCCAACCACCACCATGAATGAGCACCAACCCGGGGGCCGGCTCGTCGAGCCCAACCGGACGGGCCAGATCCAAGTGCAGCGGTTCGCCACCGCCGGTGCCGTATTGGATATCCCGCTGGAATTCGATATTTGCCGCATCTTCGGCAACCGCCGTCGTGCTGTAAGACAGACAAACCAACGCCGCAAGCAGCACGAGACCAGTCGCTCGAAAACGCATGAGAATACTCCTATAGATGGATCTACCCGAGCTGTCGGGCGATGAAGACTTTACGAGATGCACCAAACACAGACCGCCGACACCGACTCAGTTGCATAGTCCTTATACCACCGTAGTCCGGGCCGGGTTTCAGGGCCACACTCCTTCGTCACCCCCCGGGGCCGCGCCTTTGCCAGCCTGGGTGTAATTATTTCTTCGAGTCCTTATCGCCCATCAGCCGGTGAAACAACAGCGAGGCCCCCATCGCCGCCACCAGGGCGATCGACGAAGGCTCCGGCACTGTAGTGATCTCGACCGTCATATTGTCCAGGCCCAAGTCCACACTCAGGGCGCTGGTCGAATACTCGCCGGTGAACGCATACCCAAATTGAAACGGACGACTAAAGTCGGGCAGCTCGGTCCCACCATCGACGGCCATAAAATCGTCGGCCTCCAAATCAGTCTGACCAAACGTGGTCCAGTCCAATTCGGTTCCGTCGATGATCCCAGCAGCCCGGGTCGCTACGAACGGTTCGTCCTGAATGATCGTAAAAGCGATCTCCAGGTTCGACGTACCGGAGATCGTGTTGGGCAACACATCGAGCGAGAAAGCAAGCGATTCGGCATCACCGCTGCTTTCGGGATCGAACACAAAATAAGAGTCGATGGGAAACGCCACCGTCGCAATCTCGGGCGTGGTAGACGACTGTGCCCCGAAAGTCAGCACCGAACTCGGCGCGGGGTTGCCCACGGTCGCCGAGCCCTGATCCCCAGAGAGCAATGTTCCGGAAGTATCCGTCACATTCACGGTGTTACCGATGTTTACGTGTGGCTTGCTACGGTCGAAGTTTTCTTTCGCCATGGTCCCTCTCGCCAATAAAGGTTCTATGGTTGATTCAAAGTTCGCCGTGCAGTCAAAGTGCAGATGAGGAAGGCGCGCTTGCAGATGCGGCTGTACGCCTACGCTGCAACCCGTCGGAATGGCACCCCGCCCGAACGACAAGTGGGCATATTCTGCCCGCGATCGGTGCCCATGGCAAATTTGTCATGGTTCGACGTAAATCAGAGTCGCAGAAGGGAGCTACCTTAGCTCAGGTGTAATCGCCACTGATGCATACATTCGAAAGCGATCAGCCGGAGGTTTTTTCCTTTGCTTCCGGCGGTTTGGGCCCCAGGCTGTAGATCCGCACGAGGCTATCGTCGCCGGCCATCGCCACGCGGTTGGTGGGAAGATGCAGGGACATCGATCGTACACGGCTGGGCAACTTGTGCTTGAACATTTCGTGCTCGCCCTCGCCGTCCCAAAAGGCCAGATAACCACCGCTGCTGCCACTGGCGGCCCCAATCAGATACCCGTCGGGATGGAACGCCACGGCCCAAGTGGTTGCCCGCAGGTCTTCTTTGATCTTCAACAGCTTCGACTCGCCGCTTTCGAAATCGAACCGCACGACCGCCGGATTACCCACCCCGGCGAACGCGTTGCTGACGTTGGTGATCCCACAACAAGCCAACTGTTTTCCATCGGGCGAGAAAGCAATCCCGCGGATTCCCCCGATGTCGGCCTTGAAGCCTTTGTCGTACTTGTAGATGGCCGAAGCATCCAACTCGCGGACCATATTCCCGTCGGCCAAATCCCACTGAAGCATGCGACCCTTCAGATCGCCCGAGACGAGAAACTTCCCGTCGGGCGTAAATGCCAGGTTGTACACATGGCACTCGTGGCCTTCGAGCGTTCGCACCAGCGAGCCGTCGGCCGCATTCCACAACTTCACCAAGTGGTCGTTCCCACAACTGGCCACCAAGGCACCATCGGGCGAGAAGGCCGCCGCACGCGTCCAACCATCGTGGGCATCGACAATACGAATCGGCTCCGGCGTCTCAGCGGCCGTTTCCCACCAAATCAAACGTCCATCGTATCCAGCGGTCACTAGGACAGTGCCCGTGGGATCGAACGCGAGACTCCACACCCAACTGTCGTGGCCCTTGAACGTGGCGGTAGCATCGCTGTCGAGCGACCACCGCTGCACTGCCGGAATCTGTCCGCCGGCAAAGGCGAATCGCCCCAGCGGATCGATGCCGCACGAAACCAAAGGACTGGCGTGCTTGTACTCGGCCACTTGATGGGCGTCGGCCGGAACGATCTTGACAGCGGTATCGGCCACGGGTTGTTCTCGTATCAGCGGGTGAAGGTTGGTAGCAAGAAGTTGTGATGTAGAAGCTTCGGCAAACTACGACAACAGTTCCTCAATCGCCTCGGCCGAAGGGTCTGCAATCTGCACTTCGCGACCGTTCACCGAGAGCTGATCCATCGGGTCCAACCCGAGAGCACGCAAGTAGGTGTGGAACAAATGCCCGGCGTGCACTTCACGATCGACCACTTCGGTACCATTGTCGTTGGTGCTGCCCACGATGCCTCCCGGCTGAATCCCACAACCACCTAGTGCTACCGACCAGGCCTTGCCCCAGTGGTCGCGTCCGTAGCGGTAATTAATTTTTGGTGTACGGCCAAACTCCGACATCACCACAATCAGGGTGCTCTCCAACATTCCCCGTTCCGCCAAGTCGCTGATCGTGGTCGCGAAGGCCTTATCGAACTCGCCGAGTTGTTCGATATGGAAGTTGAAGTTCTCGTGATGCGTGTCGTAGTTCGAATGCGAAACCTTGACGAACGTCACACCATTTTCCAGCAACCGTCGAGCCAACAAACATTGACGTCCGAAGTCGTGTTCGCCGTAACGGTCCTGATCGGCCTGCGGCTCTTTGGTCACATCGAACACATCCCGCTGCTGCATCAACGCGGCGGCTTGATCGTACGTGGAAGTGTAAGCCTCGGTCCTGGCTGTGCGTCGCCCTTGGGCAAATCGGTTGTTGGCATGATGGAAAAACGCATTGCGGGCCTGCTCTGAAGACTCAGAAACCGACTCAGGGCGGACCGTGTTCTGCGGCGGCTTCCCGTTGCCGAGTGTGACCGACGCATACCGGGCCCCCAGAAACGCGGCTTCGCTAGAGCCCACACTGCCACCACCGCCAGGAGTGATGTTGATGAAGCCCGGTAGTGCTGAATCTTCCGGAGCCACCATTTTGGCCACCAGCGAACCAAGGTGGGGGAACTCGCCGGCGGCCGACTGTCGGCGGCCCGTCTGCATGAAGTAGCGACCCTTACCATGATCGTTTTCGGCCGTATTCACACCCCGCACGACCGTTAGGTGGTGCATCTGCTTGGCCGTGTACGGCAGCAGCTCACAAACGTGCGTGCCGGGGACTGATGTTGGAATCGCGCGGAAGGGCCCGCCCGTGTCAGTGCCCGGCTTGGGGTCCCACGTTTCAAGCTGGCTCACGCCGCCGGACAGATCAAACACCAGCACGCGCTTCTGCTGCTTCTCGACCTCAGCGGCCGCAGCCGAACTCAGCGCACCACCAAAGCCACCGGCTAACGCCCCCAGCCCGCCCGCCATCCCGCCGAGAAACTGGCGCCTGGCGAACGAGTGTTCGGTCGAATTGCACGCGTACTTGCATTTCATGGTCCTGCTCTCCCGTAGCAGATCGACTTGTCGTTGGTTCGTTGCGTGTGGTTAGTGGTTAAAGCGGAACTCGGCCGACATGCAAAGCGCCCAGGCCATCTCCTGCAGGGCCGCCTCGCGGGCGTCGGCCCTTGCTACTAGGTAGCCGGCAACTTCGCCACGCTCGATGTCGCTGGGTCTTCGCGAGAGAACGCTGATGTAAAGAGCTTCCGCCACCGCGCCCGGATCGCTGATTTCGTTCAACTGCTGCACCAAACCACCTTTGCCGGCTTCGAGCCAGCTATTAGTGTTTGCCCCATTGGCGAGAAACAGCGCCTGATGCACCGTCGGCTCGGTCGCCGTCTGCGGGCTGCCTGGCGGGCCGCCGAAGAGCTTCACGAAGTTTCCAAGGTTGCCTTTCAGTCGATCGTAGGCCGCTTGTTCTTTCAACTGCTCTCGCAATTCCTCGCGAGCCGGATCGACTGAGAGTAATTCATTCAGCCGAGGGTCACCCGTCGTAAATTCCTTCTCGGCCGCCGCCCGTTGTCGCTCGGCCAGCCCCAGGGCTTGCAACAAGCTGAAGCAAAGTTGCTCCGGTCCCAAAGGCCGCACCGGCGCCACGGCGAAACTCTCCGGCGGAACATCCTCTTCCGCTAAGCCCTCGGGCATCAAGCTCGAACGCTGGTAGGTGTCGCTGAGGGCGATCGCGCGCAGAAGCGACTTGATGTCGAAGTCGGCTTCAGTCAGTGCCGTAGCTAGCGTCTCGAGCAACTCGGGATGCGAAGGTGGGTTGTCGCTGTGGTGCAGGTCCAACGGTTCGACCAGCCCTCGTCCCAGCATCAGCGCCCATAGCCGGTTGGCAGTATTCGTGGCGAAAGCACGGTTGTCTGCGTCCGTCACGGCCAAGGCCATCTGTTCGCGACGGCTGAATTTCGGCACTGGTCGAACTCCATCGGCCGGAGCTACCAGATGTTCTTGCCCTTCTGGAAACTGCGGCTCTTCAATCGCTTCCCCATCTAAAACCCGCGGGGCCGTCTCACTCGTTTCGTCGGGATAAAACACCGACTTGAACGTCTGCACGTCGGACACGCCCTTCTCGCCGACGTAGGTTTTTTTGCTTTTGTCGGTGAACACGACGCTCCGGTTCAAGAACGCCACGAGCCCGTAGTAGTGCTGCTGCTGGTAATCACCAATCAACGGATGGTCGTGGCACTGGCAACACTCCATGTCCCGGCCCAGAAACAGTCGCCCGATATCGCGGGTGAGCAGGTCCACGTCGCCTTCGCGATCGAGAAAGAACTTCGCCGCCGGGCGTGTCGCGGGGTCGGTTCCATCGGCGGCAAGTATCTCACGCACCAGCTCGTCGTACGGACGATTCTCGAGAAAAGCCTTCTGCAAATAGGCTTGCCACTCGGGCGATGGAATGTGCGTGTCGCGGCGACGTTCCATCACCATCACGTCGAACCAAGTCTGCATCCGTCGCGCGAACTCGGGGCTATCCAAAAGTTGATCGACCAGGACCGCCCGCTTTTCCGGCGAAGTGTCGTCCAGGAACGCTCGCGTCTGTTCGGCCGAAGGAATCACGCCGGTCAGGTCGATATAAATCCTCCGCACAAACTCGGCATCGTCGCACTGCGCGGCGGTTGGAATTTCCAGGGGGGCTTCAATCGCCTGATCGATCTGCTCGGGCAGCGATAACTCGGCCGCGAATGACGAGGACGGCAGTGCGAACACAGCCAAAACGCAGGCAATCAAAGTGTGAAGACCGCGCAGCGTGTTGAAGCGACAGGCTGTCATCTCGGGCATGGTGGGTATCCCGATAGGTTGGCGTGGCGAGTGGGTAGGTGGGGTGCGACGCTGGGATGTCGCGTGGTCGGCGGATCTCACCTGCTAGGAGCTCTCGCAGCGCCGCAGGACAACCGACCAGGTTTTGGTGGGACTCTCGTGTCAATATGGTAGCGCAAGGTCATTTTCTGGTCAAGAAAACGACCGCCCAGCGGGGGGAATGCCCAAATTGGCCGAATCTGCGGGAGTCGGCCGCCACCTAAGACGCCGACTCCCGAGAATGACTATTTCACCACGCATTTGTGCAAAAACCGCACATGCATGACACCGGAGGCGTTTCTGATTACTGCTGTACCGGCTCCGAGGGTGGCGGAGTCGGAATGTAGTGGGCCTTCAGCAAGTCTTCCAGAACGAACGGCTGCGGGAACGGCTCGTCCGATTTCCGCAGGATTTCCCGATAGCGATCGATGACCGCCAGCAACTCGTCGCCGGTAATTCCGTCATCAAGCAGCACCGGGAATTGATCGAACACTTTCCGCCAGTGCTCGAGGCCTGCTTCGTATTTCTCCCGCGCGGTCTGTAGATCGGCCCCTTCGTTGTAAGCCAGGTCGCCTTCGTAGGTCAGTCGCCGAGCGGCCAAGGCATCGTCGGTTCGTTCGGCTTCGCAACGCACCTTCCAGTAGCGGTAGTTCACTTCGTTCTGCAAGGTGTCGATCAATTCGAGCTTGCTCAGATAGTTCATCGCTTCGCTGGCCAGGGCTCGAGCCTCATCGCGGTTCTCAACCGGAATGTTGTCAGCCACTTCCATCAGGTCGACCGTAAGCTGCGGCTGCAAAGCGCGAAGTCGCTTGATGTCGTCTTCGGTAAGCTCACTACGAGGCTTCTTCAGCAGGGCCTTATCCTCCTCGGGGAGATTATCCAGCTTCAGTTGCAGAATCTGCTGCTGCAGTCCGGGGTACATGGCCTCGATCGCGCCGGCCTTCTCACGGTATAGCTTCAAGTAAAGGTCGAGATCTTCCAGCCTTACCTTGGTGCCATAGAGTTCAAACTCACGCTCGCCGTATTCTTTCCACGCTTGCTGAGCACGGTTCCACGCCACTTGGGCCACTTCGCCGAAGGTGCCTTCTTCTTCGATTGCCGCAGCGTAATTGATCTTGGCCATGGCCGGATGAGTATGGAAAACCACCGGGTTCTTCCCTCGCAGTGGCACGTTCTGGTTATCGACCAGGTCTTGGGCCGATGCGAACCACTCACCGCCAACGAGCCAGTTGTCTCGTTCTTCGCCGGTGCGTTTGCCGCCATGGAAGTCGTCGTCGTTACGGAACAGCTCGCGGAACAGCTTGTGCTCGTCAGAACGACCAATCTTTTGGGAGATCATCCAGCCGGTTTCCCATCGCATCAGCGGCGAACGATCGTTGTACCGGACCCCATCTTTGGCGAAGTTGATGCCCTTGATGATCCAGAAGTACCGATCGCGGTAGTTGTCCCATTCAATCGAAACGTTGTATGCCAGGTTCCAGGCCTGGTTCCGCCAGGCGGCCACGAAGTGCGGCTGCAGTTTCGTGATCTGTTCGTTCACGGCCGACAGCGCGGTCCAGTCTTGTTCGCGCTGATAGTTTTGGGCCCGTTGCCACAGAATGGTCGAAGCCACCCCGCGCATGCCTAATGCGGCCAGCTTCAACGCTTCGGTCGTGGGGTCCAACTCGCCGAGGTTGGCCTGGCTCAAGCCTTGCTCGTTGCGCCATTGCGAAAGCAACCCGCCAGAAGAGCCCGGCCGCTCGGCTGAACCTCGAGTAGATGGTTGACCCAACAAAGCGATGGGCACCATGAGAACGGCGATGCCGATAAGATATGCGACCTTGCGTTTGAACGAACTTTGCCCGCTCATTTGGCCACCTCACGCATTTTGAGGAACAAATAGCCCGCCACAAAGACGGGAAGTATGAATCCAAGAGCTGTGAAGCCGTGAATGAAGACTTCATTCCAAGGGATGTTGAACCCGTTGGCCACCTGATTCGAATCGCTCAGCTCGTCGAGGCCGGGAATCAGGTAGATCACCCCGCTCATCACGTTCTGATACATGTCGTCGATCGTGGTCGCCACGTCGCCGCCAAGTCCGGCTTCCAGCGGGGTGCTCACGTTCGATTGCGTAACCAGGCGGATCAGCGACTCGATTGGCCCACCGCCCAACACCCGGTCGGATGCCACGTCGGAGATGAAGCCTCGCGTGAATCCGAAGATGATCAACACCAGCGTGCCGAGCATGGCCACCGCCGAGTTGAGGAACGTGCTGAGCATCACGCCGATGGTTGTGATGATGAGCATCTGGAACCAGATGCCGATGAAGCCCTTCATGAAGTTGCCGAAGAATGACGCATCGCGGGCTCGAATGTAAACGTCGGTCGGAGCCACACCGTAGTACTGACCCGGCTCGAGGCACACGATCATCACTTCCAGGCGTCCATCGGGGGCGAGGTCTTCGAACAGGTCGAGCGTTTCGCCATTCTCGCCGGAAAGCTCGCGGTTCATCAGCTTCAGGTCAGAACGATACTCTTGGGCAATGAAGTTCCGCGGCGAAGTGGCAATCTCGGGGTCGTCTGGGTTGCGGAGAATGATACTTCCCAAAATACCGCGTTCGCCCTTGTCGCCCTGATGCGTACGAAACACACCCAGGTTCAATTCCAAGGGCAACCCGTTGGGATAAGCCTCCGGCGTTACGCCGTCGAATTCCCAGATAGCCGCTGCCTGAGTACCGCCTTCGATCCACGATCGATACCGCGACTCTTGCCCCACCGACACGCCCTTTTCCGCCAGTCGGCCTGCGCGGTCGAGGAAGATCAAATCCCCCACTACCGGCACCCTGGCCTGCAATAAACCTTCGACTCCACCAACTTCGTAAGTACCGTCATCTCGCTTGGTCACCGGGTGCCAGTGACCCTGATCGGTCGAGGTGCGCCCGTCGCCTTCGCGGTACTGATGACGGTGGTTCTGCACTTGCGTGGTGCGAGTGAGTCCTTCGTCGTCTGATGGGTTCTCCGAGCTAGCCGATGCCACCGGCCTCAACTCTTCTATCTCGTGAGTGTGATTCAACCCTCGAACCACGAACACGTAGCTCACCAGCCCCGTGGCAAAGAGCAACACGGTACCAATGGCAGCGAACCCAAGAATTCGCCCCAACACAATCTCACTCGGCCGAACCGGTTTGGTCACCACCGTGTAAATCGTCTTATGGCGAATATCGTTCGGCAGACTGAACACCGACAAGAACAGCGCTAACAACAGCACCAGGTAACTGGTGGTCGAGAGCACGAAGCTCAAGTAAAGCTGGGCCGGGTTGTTTGACGTGGGGTCGAGATACCATCCGGCAAACAGCAAGATGATCAGGAACACCACAAATACGGCCAGCACCATCCGGCGGACCGATTCGAGCACCGCCAGTCGTGCGATCGCCAGCGTACGTCGCGGCGAAAGCCGCAGCAGGTCCATCACGGCCGAGCCAAGGAACGTGCCCATCCGCCCGAAGGCAGCAACCGGCCCAACTTGAACCGCCGTGAAGATATAGCCAAGGACCAGCGACACCAGCGCAACGGCCACAGCGACTGTCAGCCAGGTTAACGTCGCGGCAGTCCACCACTGGGAAAACGGTTCGAGCGGAGATTCGATTTTCATTTACAGATTAAGCGCCCTGACGGTGCGGCTGTTTTAGCGGTCGGGGAGTCGCACGAAAGATGAATAAGGGTCGTTGCGGCTCCAACGTAGGATCGTAGTAATTTGGTGATGAAACTCAGCCAGCACGCTTTCCAGGGCGTTGTTCGCTTTCCTGCACGATGCGAAGGAACAGATCTTCCAAAGTCGTGGTCGGATGACTCATGCTGACCAGCGAGGCGTTATCCCGCTCGATGATGGCTTCAATCTCGCGCTTGGCATTATCCGAAAGCCCTTTCGCGCGAATCTCTGTTTCGTCTTCCAACTTCAGCAAGTCTTCCACCCGCCCCAGTTCTTTCAGTTCACCTTGGTGCAGGATGGCGATGCGGTCGCATACCGTCTGCACGTCGGCCAGCAGGTGGCTCGACATCACCACGGTCTTGCCCAGCTCTTTTTGCTTGAGAATCAAGTCCTTCATCTCGCGGGTACCAATCGGGTCGAGGCCGCTGGTGGGTTCGTCGAGCAAGATGAGGTCGGGGTCGTTGATCAACGCCTGGGCGAAGCCGATACGGCGGGTCATACCCTTGGAATACTCGCGAAGCTGGCGGCGTTTGGCCCATCCCAGGCCCACCATGTCGATCAACTCGGCCGTGCGTTGGCGTCGCACTTTGGCCGGCATGTCGAACAACCGCCCGTAGAAGTCGAGCGTCTCTTCCGCATTCAGGAACCGATATAGATACGACTCTTCAGGCAAGTACCCGATGCGCTCGTTCTTGGTCACATCCGAGGCCAGCTTGCCCATCACTCGGGCTTCGCCGCTGGAGGGAAACAGCAAGCCCAAGAGAAGTTTGATCGTGGTGGTCTTCCCCGAGCCGTTAGGGCCGAGGAGACCGAAGATTTCGCCTTGTCGAATTTCCAGATCGAGAGCCTTCAGCGCCCGAACCTTCTGTCGCCCCCAAAAGTCGCGATACACTTTCGACAGGTTTCGGGTCTGAATTACGACGTCGTTATCCATATTGGTCTCAATCGATTAAGTCATCTGGCGACGCCTAAGGCGACACACTTCAGAAAGCTGACACGGAAGATGCTGACGTCGAGATTGCGTCTTGCGGGGAAAACGAGTCGTTACGGCCGTCGAGAACGACCGTCCCCTGATCCAAGCCGCGACAACTCGAAGCCCTAGTTCCCCACTACGCTTGCAGGCCGCCGAAAGTTCGATTTTTACACCCCATAGACGGGGCATACGCCAGATCGACGGCCACTCGAGTACCTGTTCCTAGACCGGGAGCGGACCTCGCGAATCGGAGGCACTCCACGACCTGTGCCCATAATAAAAGAGCCCCGGCAAATCCGCAAGCAATCTCGACATGCGAAAAGACTTACCAGGACGTAAGTTCGGACGATTACGCGGGTCGTCGGGGCTGCCCGAGCTGGCGACGAATCGTGAAGGGACGCCCTTGCCCGTGAGGGGGTGGATCTTTATATTCAAGAGCTTGTTTCCGCCCCCGCGCGGGGTGCTAGGCAGCGGGTGGACGGGGCGATTCTCGCCTTCGCGGCGGGAGTCACGACGGATCGAATCTGGCCATGGCTCAGGCGAGTGACACGGACCGGCGGCAACTCAGCATTACCCCCTGGGGAGCGTTTGCCGCAGCGGCGGTCATTGTCTCGGCACTAGGGCTGGCATTTTCCCTCGGTCGCTATGTGCCGATCGAGCCGGTCACCCCACGCCAAAGCAACGATACTTTTAACTCGGTATATAACCAACCGCCGATAACATTCGATAAATTACAAGTCGATCGTGGCAACGTCCAATAACGGGCGTGGTGCCCAATTACGACGGGAGCAACTCACCATGTCGATGGACAAAAGCCTCAAATCGCGAAGCGGCATGAGCGGAAGCCGTAGCGTGCTCACCCGCGAAGAACGCATTCTGCGTCTCAAAGAAGCCGAACGTTGGAGCGAAGACGACAGCCCCCTGGGCCTGCCCAAAGTGCGGGTCTACAAGCTGACGATGAAGAAGAAGAAAAAGAAGAAGGCCGAGGACGACGAGGAAGAGGCCAAGCCCGCCAAGAAGTAACCGGCTGGGCCCAAGCTCGATCCGATCTACGCTCGGGCGCTCATCGTCTTCCGCAATTCATCTTCTTCGTACCTACATCGACTCCATCGAAGGTGGTTCCTCACCTTCCCACGTGCGAAGAAAATGCGTCTCGAGCGCCGGATCGACCGGCTTGCCTTGTTGCTGCAAACTTAGGATCAACCCGTACGTCGAACGGGGATCGCCCGGGTTCACTTCGAGATCTTCGCGGAACGTCTTCTCGGCCTCGCCATAGTTTTGCTGCAGGAAGTACACCGCACCTAGCGATTGTCGCACCGGAAAGTACCACTCGGGCGGATCGTTATAGAACAAGTTGTCTTGCAGCGTGATGGCCGACTTGAGGGCCTCCACACAGACCATCTGCGGACTCGCGTTTCGGTCGACCGCGATTCCAAGCACGTCGCCCAACTCGGCCAGCACAGCCCCATCGTCCGAAGGCTGAATTGCCCCCGCGGCACGAGCCAGAATGATGTAACTGGCGATCTGGAAGACATCTTCCGCCCGGTTGGTTTGAAAACTTGCGTCCGTCGTTTTCGCCAGCCGTTTGAACTCTCGGGCATCGTCGATGGCGGTAGCCCAATCGCCCTGGTGAATGGCATACAGCGTGTTGCCATACTCGAGCATGGTCGAAACCACCGGCAGCTCGGGGCTCTCGGCTTCAACCTCGCTGAGCACCTGGCTCACTTCTTGCTGCACCTCGCGAACGCTCTCCTCGATCTGTTTCCACTGCTCGAAATCGAACTGCAGCGACACGGTAACCGGCACCGTGAGAAAACGCCCGGCCTCGTTGTTCACGTGCTCTGGGTTGTGCTCGGCATTGAAGCCCCTGGCGAACTTACGCACCAGATGCATCAGTCCCTGCGAACTCGCGAAGGCCTCGTCCTTTTTCCCCTGGGCAATCTGCGTGGTTACCAGGAAGTGCAGGTTGTGCCCCAAGTAGTGCAACGGGTATCGGGCCACCGGATGAAACTCTGCCACCGCATCGACGTACTCGCGGTCGGCAGCCACCGCTTGCTCGTTGGCCAGCGTGGCCAAGTCGTAGTTGCCCAAGTTGCGATACACGTGCGAAGGCATGTGCTGGAAGTGACCGGCTCCCGGGATCAACTCCGGCATTCGCAAGGCACAAGCCAGCGACTTTTCAATCCAGTTGATTGGCCCTTCTTCCACCGCATGAATGTAAAAATGATTCGCTCCCGGATGGTTCGGCGAGTTCGCCAGCACCTTCTCCAACAGGTCGATCGATATCGTGATCTGCGGCGTGGGCGCCTTCTCGTTCGACCACCACTGCCACGGATGCAACTGCATGAGTGAGAACGCGTACAGCACTGCGATGTCGGCGTCGTCTTCAAACAGTTGATGACTGACTCCCATCGCCCTACTGAATGCCAGCGACTCTTCATCGGTTACCCGATATTTCGCATCCAAACCACACTTCGCACAGGGCGTTGGTTCACACGAGTACCGCTCAGCGATTGCCAGCGAACAGCACAGCTCCGCGATCACCCGCATCGCCATCGGGTTGTCTCGGTGAGGGTTCAACAGATGCTGCACATCGCCGAACTCACCCGACTGTATCGCGGCGGCCAACTGCTCGATCTCTTTTTCGGTCACCCCGGCTGTTTCGGCCCGAGCCTTCGCTTTGTGCACCGCCACGTTCGCCGCGGTGTAACCGAGCTTCAACGATCGGCAAGGGATGTTTGGATAGTTCACATCGGGGCCGGCTCCCAGAGCAATTCCCCAGTAAGGCATGGGGGCCTCAGGGTCGAACTTGGCCGCTTGAGCGAACGAGTGCAGCGATTCCGGCATGTTAAACGCGTACCAAAGACGAAGCCCCTGGTCGAAATACTGCTGCGCGCGCTCGGCGTTATCACCAGCCGTGGAAATGGTGTGCTCGTAGTCGCCCAAGTTGTCGAACAGCGGTTCGATCACATCCTCAGGCAAGGGTTCAACCGTGTCGTCGAGCAGTGTAATCAACTCCGTAATCCCGGCGGTCGTGGGAACCTCGCAACTCGTGTCGGTCTCGGCATGCAACACCGAGCAATTCACAACACACAACAGCAGCGCAGGAAATACAAAACGCATGGCAGGCTCCCAAAATCGACTCACTCGTGCGGAGGGTGGTTTCGCAACTCTAGGTTATGAGGATGCGAATCCGAGCCAAGGAATCAATCGGCCAGAGCGGGCCACAAAGAGAAACGCGGGCGTCGAACAAGGGCCTCGCCAGAACTACAGCTGAACTTCGCGACCAGAGAAAATCGATCGCTACTGGGGTTGGTGCGGGAGTGCTTGTCCCGATTATTCGGGCAACTGCATCGCCCCGTCGGGCCTAAGCGGGGCCAGCGGATTCCAAGCCACTTCCCACAGATGGCCGTCGGGGTCGGCAAAGTAACCGCTATGTCCGCCCCAGAAAACATCCTGTGCCGGCTTCACAATCGTGGCCCCCGCAGCTTCGGCCTGATCCAGCACGGCGGCCACTTCTTCCCGCGTGGCCACATTGTGGGCGATCGTCACGCCACGGAATCCCTTCCCCTCCGCAGCGACCGTCGCATCTTCAGCCAAGTCATCCCAGGGATAAAGCCCAAGCACCACACCCCCGGTGCAAAAGAACGCCACGTTGTCGTTGCTCATATTCGACAGCGGCCACCCCAACCCGTCGCGATAGAAAGCAACCGCCTGCGGCAAATCGCGAACGCCAAGCGTGATCATCGTCAGTCGGGCATCCATGTCCTGCTTCCTTCCGAATTGAACTCGCGTCAAGTGAGTCGCCGCAGGC